AAAACTAAAATATACAGGATGTTCCATTTAAAAAAATCTATATACTCTTCGTTACGCGTAAATGGAACAATCTGTATAAGAAAAAATAATTTTACGTAATAGAAAGTGGTGAGTCAAACAACTTTTGTATAAAACATTTTTTTCTTTCTCAAACGGTTTAGCAACTATCGTCCGCCGGGATACTAATAACTCACCCTGTATATGATAACTAACTTCAGATTTAAAATGTCAACCTCAATTCTGACATATTTGTAATCTTCATTAAAAATCCTTTAAAATGAGTACAAACACGACATATTTATCTTCGATATTAATGAAGTTATGGTCAACTTCCGGTTTGAAATGTCAATGTCATTTTGATATATTCTTCATTTTTATAAAATGTCTTAAAATTTGTCATAAAAACAAAAATATAATAAAAAAATCTAAAATTAAGGTTGGTATTAATATTTAAAAATTAAATTGAAAAAAAATAAATAAAGCCGTCTTGAGAGACGTGCGGCTAAACCCGAATGATTCTAGTTCTAGCTCTAGTGTTAGTTCTAAATATACAATAATCTAACGTTGAATAACAATTAAAACTAAAATATACAGGATGTTCCATTAAAAAAAATCTATATACTCTTCGTTACGCGTAAATGGAACAACCTGTATAAGAAAAAATAATTTTACGTAATAGAAAGTGGTGAGTCAAACAACTTTTGTATAAAACATTTTTTTCTTTCTCAAACGGTTTAGCAACTATCGTCCGCCGGGATACTAATAACTCACCCTGTATATAATAAGTAACTTCAGATTTAAAATGTCAACCTCAATTCTGACATATTTGTAATCTTCATTAAAAATCCTTTAAAATGAGTACAAACACGACATATTTATCTTCGATATTAATGAAGTTATGGTCAACTTCCGGTTTAAAATGTCAATGTCATTTTGATATATTCTTCATTTTTATAAAATGTCTTAAAATTTGTCATAAAAACAAAAATATAATAATAAAAATCAAAAATTAAGGTTGGTATTAATATTTAAAAATTAAATTGCTATCTTCATTGTGGCTAACGTCGGGTTTAATGTTTGTCATTCTAACTTTTTTGTTTGTTGAGATAAGTGCGTCATGTTTGGACTCATTTTAAAGGTTATTTTATAATGATTACGAATATAACAATAAAATTAAAGTTGACATTAACACCTGAAAGTTTTTTTCTTAGCCGTGCCTCGAAACTATTTCAAGAAACATCAAAAGTATTTTTAGGCGCACGGCTAAACACGAACGTTTCTAGTTCTTGGTCTAGTGTTAGTTCTAGTTTTACACTATCACTAGAACTAACACAAGATCTAGAACTAGAAACATTCGGGTTTAGCTGTCTTAAGAGATACACGGCGAATTGTAAGTCCGAATGATTCTAGTTCTTGGGTTAATTGTATATTTTTGTGTATATTTTTATTGAACTAAAATTAAAGAAAACCTTATTTTATTTTAAGTACTAGCTCCAGTGCCTCGGCAGCACGGCTGTCTCGGTTTCTAAATAATATGTTATTACTGAAAACGAATTACTGCCTCGGGTTTTAAGCCTGAAAACGTACATTTAAACCCGAAACTTTGTAGTTCCAGGTCTAGTGTTGGTTTTAGTTTTAATTGTTATTCAGCGCTGACGTCACGAACGGGCCTTTCAGCTGTACAGCTGTTGTTGAGATTAGTATTAGTCGAGGATTTATTGTATTATCGTAAAAGGGAAAGTATATTTTAGTAAACGATTTAATAATGTATTAGAAAATGTATTATTCGATAAAGTTTTCTCTTAGGAAATCGTGAATTTGCGGAAAACTGCACCACAAAAGACAGAATTATGCACTTTCTTTTTTTACTTGATTAAAAAGAAGAAAAACTCACTTTCTTCTTATTTAAAGGATTCAATAAAACAACAAAAACCATAATTACTTTGAAAATTCGTTTAAAATGTTTATAAAGGATTCTATTAAAAGCAAAAGTATTTTAGTATTACGCGGTAATTTTCACATGCATTCTTATTTTACAATGAAAACAGAAACGTTCTTTTTACCTTTCTTTAGCATAATTAGAACGGTTGCATTACAAGTTGTATAACAAATTTTTAAGCCATTTTCACTTCCGAAAGAAAACTGATCACAAAATGAAATTAATAAAAAATAGCACACCCATATAAATAAAGACTGTCGTTTTCTAAATGGTGATGATTATGTTTATGCCACTTTCTCGAATTATAAACGAAAATTTAATCACGAAAATAATATGGTACATTTTTATGTTAATTTATGTGGATTTAAAAGGATTTAAATTCTTGTACCGGTTACCAGATGTTAAAAATAAAAACAAAAAGAAATCTTGCAAAAAATTCTTTCAGTCAATTTTTAAGCAAGATCCATTATAACTGTACACTCATGTCTTTGTGCGATAGGCTCAAAGGATTGACTGTGTTGCAATTTAACAGTTAACTTCCAGTCATTGTCTCTTCGTTTAGAATCATATAGAATTTGTTTTTCAAATTTTCTAAGAAAGATTACCGTTAAAAAAAGTTTTTCAAAAGAAGAGATACAAATCTAAATTTCAACACCATGGTTATTTTTTGCAACACAAACTTTTTTATCTATCCTATTGTTCAACTTCCTATTGCGTAAGAAAACCATAAAATTTAACATCGTTTAAAAAAAAGTTTTTAATATTTCGCCAATGTCCTTTAAAGTTTATGTAACAGGATGGCGCCGTTTCAAGATCTACACCGTTATCTTGTGCTACATAACACGGAAAAACTTGAATTTTTTATGTTGAAAAGGTTGTAAAAATGACTAAAAGTTGTAAAAACAAGGTCCCTCACTTTAGCGATCTATATCTTAGCAACCGCTCGATTAAAAAAATTGCGATAAAGTTTTATTGTAATTACTACGTAACATATTTCTTTTCATCGCGAGTTAAACGAAAAAGATACCCGATTTTTCGACAACTTTGTCTATTTTACAATTTTTTTGTGTTCCAGACAGGACGTCGCGCGTTTATGTTACCTACATAATGAAATAAAAGCGCGACGTCCCTTCTGGAATACACACCAGCACCATCGTTCCGCAAGGCTTCTTTTTAATTTATAATTTGTTTAAATTAAATTACAGAGACATAATTGGACCGTATTATGCATCACTTGACTAAGCGACAAATGAATAATGTTGAGAAAAACGGGATTTTCGCTTTCATTTCTCTAAAAATATAAGACTTTTCGGAATAGACAGGCTCAAACTACTGAAAATTGTTTGGTGCCTGTCTATTTCTATCACAGAACACCGATGACAGCTATCACAAGCACAGAACACGCTTGGTCACCAGTTACGTTTTACGATTATACAGAGTGTTTCTGTAAGTCGTGGCATAAATTTAATCACTAAAACTAAAGACAAAATGATGACGATTCATATAAAAAATTTTTGAAGAAAATAATCTAGAGTTTGATTTTGTACTTTGAAACTGGTTTTTATTTTATATAGAATTTAAATCTAACCAGTTTCGGTCCTGGGCCATCTTCAGAGACTCTACAAATAGATTAACATCTCTCATCTTATCCATTTTACAAACAAGTTTTTATTAATATTTCTTTGTTTTGTTAAAAAAGATCACGTATCAAAGTCGAAATCAGATTATTAGTTATTAATTTACAAAATTAAAGTTTAAAAAGTTGTAAAATGAAATTAAGGACAAAGTGACTAACACTAGTTGACTTAAAATGTCAACCTCAATTTTGACATATTTGTAATCTTCATTAAAAATCCTTTAAAATGAGTACAAACACGACATATTTATCTCCAATATTAATGAAGTTATGGTCAACTTCCGGTTAAGTATGTGAACATCAATTTTGACATCTTTTTCATAACCGTCGTGAAAAATCCTTTAAAATGAGTCCAAACATGATACGTTTAATTCCAATATTACTCGAGATATAAGCAACTTCCGGTTTGAAATGTCAATGTCATTTTGACATATTCTTAATTTTTATAAAATGTGTTAAAATTTGTCACAAAAACGAAAATATAATAAAAAAATCAAAAATTAAGGTTGGTATAAATATTTAAAAATTAAATTGCTACCTTCATTGTTGCTAACTTCGGGTTTAATGTTTTTTTATTATAACTTTTTTGTTTTTTGAGATAATTGCGTCATCTTTGTACTCATTTTAAAGGTTTTTTAATGAAGATGATAAATATGTCAAAATTGACGTTCACATACTTAACCGGAAGTTGACCATAACTTCATTAATATTGAAGATAAATATGTCGTGTTTGTACTCATTTTAAAGGATTTTTTATGAAGTTGACAAATATATCAAAATGAAAAGTTGACATTGACAACTGAAAGTTTTTTCACGATTAAACCCGAATGTTTTTAGTTCTCGTTCTAGTTTTAGTTCAATAAAAATATACAACATAGTAAAAAATCATTGGAAGCCATTCGGAGCAAATTAAACTCAATGAGAAGTACCATTAAGAACCATTAAAAGTGAAAGATATTAGATATAATTATTAGGATGAAAGTGGAATAGAATGTTGTAAAGACATGATATCTTTGTGCAATAAAAACCTTCACATTAAATAATGATTTCCAACAAAATTACATCAATTTTTTAAAATTTAAATAAATAGATTAACATAAAATTATAAACGAGTTTTATTACAGACAACAACCTCTTGGTTATCTTAATCATAAGGTAGTAATGACGAGTTTTAATAGAATTAAAAGAAATTATCGAGTCCTAAAAGATCATCGAAGATGGATTTATCGGCGAATTTTTTCTCCCCGTTAAGAGCAAAATTCGCTACAGAAACTTGAACGAAACCGCTGTTACAGGTTTTGCAAGGACGTTGACTTAGGAAAGAGTTCATCATCGTCATTTTTTTTCTTACCCAACGTCCGTTCTTAAAGCGCGTTAGGCCATCTTGGAAATACAAAATTTTTTCAACTTAATTTTTTTTTGCAGTTTCATCTTCAGCACGGAAGATACAATGGCGCCGAATTCGGAGGATGGAGTGCGAATTAATAATTTTTCGTGGAACGAAGAGTGCATATCAAAGGTGTGATTAATTGAATTATTTAATTATAAGAAAAAGGAAACAATTCAAATTGCGAAGTAATCTGTGAGATTAAAGTTAAATTGGATAATATATATCTTGGGATGTAGGTTAATGTACTTCAGTTACGTTTCTAATTTCCTGTCGTTACAAATCGACTCGTCTTTAATTTATTTGAGATTAATAATAGAAACTACTAAGTACGATTGTTAAAATCGTCCGGATCATGTGGTATTTAGTCCAAGCCTTTATTTCCATTTAAACGATTTAATTTTTGAGTTATTTTTCAATTCTTTCTAGGCGAGTTATGGTTTTAATAATACGCTTTCTAATAATTGATATTGTTAAAGCGGTTAAAGAAAGTTTCATTTCTGTATTATTTATTTTAACAGGAAAAACAACGTCCCCCGATTTATAACCCAGAAGATTACGCGTTATCTTTGAAAAAATGGGGAAGAAAACCCCCGGCAAACGGCCCCGGGTTATACTCAACTCCATCGGTTGTCGCAACTGTTGATCCGGAAAGATCCAGAACGAAAAGTCATTCGTTTCGAGATTATAGAAACCCTATGTTATCAGAAAATGAAATGACTTTAAGACAATTTGGAACAGTATCAGAATTACTTTGTAAATTAAAATCAGATTTACGATTATCATATGTAAGGTAAGTTAATTTTCTTTTCAATTTTCGTTTTATACTTTCACGTCTGGTGATAACAACGGTGTGTAATCGTTGTGAAAGTGTTAATATCAAAAACATTTCCCGAGATACCTATAACTCACAATCAGAAAGTGGGAGATGTCCCATTTTCACTGAAAAAGAAAAATTTCCCGAAGAAGTAGCACAAGATATTGATACAAAAAGGTACAAGTGAGAGGAGGCAATTTGTAATGTTACGGACAAAATCCTTAACGATAATATAGGATCTATTACTAATTTTTTGATTAAAAATTGAAAAACATCAAAAGTAACTAAGCTTTATGAACACGCTGTATAGCGTATCTAATATCTTTGGATACTATCATCTACCTGCTGGCTTTGACTATTATCAGACATAGTTTCAAGACAAAATTGAAAAAATGTCGTTTTTAAAAAGATCCTGCAATAGATACATTTTGGATAAACAATTGAATATCTCAGGAACTATGAACGCTGAGTTAGTAACATATACGGTTGCATAAACAAATTTAATTCTATTCATAATATGATAAAATATACAGGTGTTCCATTTAAAAAAATCTATATACGCTTCGTTATGCGTAAATGGAACACCCTGTATAAGTAAAAATAATTTTACGTTATAGAAACTGGTGAGTCAAATAACTTTTTTATAAAACATTTTTTTCTTTCTCAAACCGTTTAGCAACTATCGTCCGTCGGGATACTAATAACTCACCCTGTATATGATAACTAACTTCAGATTTAAAATGTCAACCCCAATTTTGACATATTTGTAATCTTCATTCAAAATCCTTTAAAATGAGTACAAACACGATATATTTATCTTCGATATTAATGAAGTTACGGTCAACTTCCGGTTCAACGTCAATTTTGACATATTTGTAATCGTCATGGAAAATCCTTTAAAATGAGTCCAAACATGATACGTTTAATTTCAATATTACTCGAGATATAAACAACTTCCGGTTTAAAATGTCAATGTCATTTTGACATATTCTTAATTTTTATAAAATGTCTTAATATTTTTCACAAAAACAAAAATATAATTAAGAAAATCAAAAATTAAGGTTGGTATTAATATTTAAAAATTAAATTGCTATCTTCATTGTGGCTAACTTCGGGTTTAATGTTTTTAATTCTAACTTTTTTGTTTTTTAAGATAAGTGCGTCATGTTTAGACTCATTTTAAAGGTTATTTTATGATGATTACGAATATAACAATAAAATTAAAGTTGACATTAACACCTAAAAGTTTTTTAGCACTACCTGTATATCTACTAATAACTCACCCTGTATATTAACAAAGTTTTTTGAGCTAACATTGAATTTGTTGATAAAAAAAAGTTTTAAATGGATCAACTTCACATTATTCATAATTTCAATTAAAACTTCACGATTTGTTGAAGTTTTTATGATTAATATTAAATATTGGAAGCAAAAATTACAATTTCGGAAAAGTTCTTAAAATTTCCTCTAATCTATTTTGATTACGTTGAAGTTGTTTTTACAACTTTTAATGTTTTAACATTTTTTTGTGGTAGTTCAGTTAGGTTTCAATGATGTTGTTTGAATTTAGTTAGGTTATAATGAAGTTTTCGAGTACAATTGACTACAATTAGCTTCATTGAACTTCTTTTGGTTAGGTTTTGATCAAGTTTTAAGGTTAATCTTAGACTTCTTGTTCAAATCTAAAATTTTGATAAATTCTTTGATGAAGTCTATGTCATATCATAGAAATTGGTTGAATGATAAAATTGAATAGATTTCGATGAAGTTTTTTGAAGACTTTGTGATCAAAACTAAGATATTGGTAAATTCTTATGTGTTAGGTTTAAGTTCATTGAAGTTCTTTCGCTTGGTGCTAATTTTTATAAACTATTTGATGAAGTTTCATGGACGAGGACGTATTTTAAAAGATATTTCTTGGTTTTGATTAGATTTCGACGAAGTTTTTGAGTTTAATATTAAACATTGTGGTTAAAACTAAGATTTTCATATACCATTTGATGAAGTTTTATGGTTAAACTTGTATTTCCAAAAAGATTTCTATGAACGAAGTGATATATTCATAGAATTGCTTGGATTTGTGATCAAAACCATGACTTTTATAAATTTTTATGGATTGCATTTAATTTTGTTGAAATTCTTTTGCTTGATAGTAAACTTTCGGACACAATTTGAAGGTTTTGATGAAGTTTCTGTAAATTCCTCACATTTTCATGAAGTTTATTTAGATTATTATTAAAGTTCCTATTAAAATTATATTTTTGATGAAGTTTCATAGATGAAATAACATTTTCATAGAATTTGCTTAGATTTGGATAGATTTTGATGAAATTTTGATGAAGTTCTTGTAAATTCCACACATTTTCATGAAGTTTATTTAGCTTAATATTAAAATTTCCTATTAAAATTATGTTTTTGATGAAGTTTCATAGATAAAATAACATTTTCGTAGAATTTGCTTAAATTTGGATAGATATTGATGAAGTTTTTGTAAATTCCCCACGTTTTCATGAAGTTTCTTTAGGTTATTGTTAAATTTTCAGTTAAAATTATATTTTTGATGAAGTTTCATAGAGGAAGTAACATTTGATAGAATTTGCTTAGATTTGGATAAATTTTGATGAAGCTTTTGTAAATTCCCCACGCTTTCATGAAGTTTATTTAGGTTAATATTAAATTTCCTATTAATATTATGTTTTTGATGAAGTTTTTATAGATGAAATAACATTTTCATACAATTTATTTAGACTTGGATAGATTTCGATGAAGTTTTTTGAAGACTTTGTGATCAAAACTAAGATATTGGTAAATTCTTATGTGTTAGGTTTAAGTTCATTGAAGTTCTTTCGCTTGGTGCTAATTTTTATAAACTATTTGATGAAGTTTCATGGACGAGGACGTATTTTAAAAGATATTTCTTGGTTTTGATTAGATTTCGACGAAGTTTTTGAGTTTAATATTAAACATTGTGGTTAAAACTAAGATTTTCATATACCATTTGATGAAGTTTTATGGTTAAACTTGTATTTTCAAAAAGATTTCTATGAACGAAGTGATATATTCATAGAATTGCTTGGATTTGTGATCAAAACCATTACTTTTATAAATTTTTATGGATTGCATCTAATTTTGTTGAAATTCTTTTGCTTGATAGTAAACTTTCGGATACAATTTAAAGGTTTTGTTGAAGTTTCTGTAAACTGGCCACGTTTTCATTAAGTTTCTTGAGGTTAATTTTAAATTTCCATGTAAAATTGTGTTTTTGATCAAGTTTCATTTTTGATCATTCAAGTTTAGATTTTGCTGAAGTTTTTGTAAATTCCTCACATTTTCATGAAGTTTATTTAGATTATTATTAAAGTTCCTATTAAAATTATATTTTTGATGAAGTTTCATAGATGAAATAACATTTTCATAGAATTTGCTTAGATTTGGATAGATTTTGATGAAGTTTTTGTAAATTCCACACATTTTCATGAAGTTTATTTAGCTTAATATTAAATTTCCTATTAAAATTATGTTTTTGATGAAGTTTCATAGATAAAATAACATTTTCGTAGAATTTGCTTAAATTTGGATAGATATTGATGAAGTTTTTGTAAATTCCCCACGTTTTCATGAAGTTTCTTTAGGTTATTGTTAAATTTTCAGTTAAAATTATATTTTTGATGAAGTTTCATAGAGGAAGTAACATTTGATAGAATTTGCTTAGATTTGGATAAATTTTGATGAAATTTTGATGAAGCTTTTGTAAATTCCCCACGTTTTCATGAAGTTTATTTAGGTTAATATTAAATTTCCTATTAATATTATGTTTTTGATAAAGTTTTTATAGATGAAATAACATTTTCATACAATTTATTTAGACTTGGATACATTTTGATGAAGTTTTTGTAAATTCCTCACATTTTCATGAAATTTCTTTAGGTTAATATTAAATTGCCTCCAGAAATAAATTTATTGATGAAGTTTCTGGGATGAAACAGTACTTTCATAGAAATTTATTGGAAAAGTTGAACGTTTTCATACCAATATTTCACATTGTAATCAAAACAAAGAGTTTGGCAAAGTTTTTGATGCAGTTTTATGGACAAAGTGGTATTTTATTGCTTCAATTTGGGTGACATTTAAATTATTATCAAAACTACGAAGACTTTACTATTACAAAGTCTATGAATACTAGAAACGTTCTGGTCACTGCAGAGAGAAAGAATATACGAAATCTGTACATACTGGTCTTCATAAAATCTTTGGATAGCGCGAATTATTTGGGTACTGCTAAAGAGTCTATAATTGCGTAAAGATCTGTGGATACTATAAAGATTACGTCTAAGACATTCTAAAATCTCTGGATCTTGCTAAGTCTGTGAGTACTTCAAAGTGTTGAGGCTCTGCAAACTCCTAAGACATGGCAGAATTTCTGGTTATTATAAACTGCAAGTTTTCTAAATATTACCGAGACTCTGGATACTGCAAAGTTCTAAACCTACAAACTGCGTCGATCTTGCTGAGTCTGTAAGCAGTACACAATCTTTGAAAACCTGAATAATTCTAGATCTAGATAGTTTCCCGTAAATTTCTAATTTAAATTTTTTTGACAATACCAACATGATAATAAAATGATATGATAAAATCTAGTAATCTTTTAATCAAAACAATTTAAAAAAATGTATACTAATCAAATAAATTGACAAATTGTCAATAGGTATTATCGAATTTTCCAAATTAATTAACACCGTTCGTAATTTTATATATATTAAACCCCTACAACAATGGCCGATTGCGAATGCAGCCCACCGCCTCCAAAATCACATCAGGATGGATGTATTCCATGCAGTGTTCCGGTCATTCCAGGTGGAACACCCGTAACGGTCGTAAAACCTTGTCAACCACCACCAGCAAAAAATACCGACGAATGTTGTAATGTTGTAGTGCCAATTGTAACGGCGGTGGAAGACCGACCAGTTCCGATAAAAAAAAAATGTCGATATATTCAACCAGCTCGTCCAAGTTCGTTTAAACCGGATAGAGATTATAAACCACCAGCTTGTCGAATGGACGATGGAACTACATATAACAGATCATATTTACCAAGTGAAACTGAAAGATCGAGCCAATTTCATCCATCGAATAATCTTTGTGTGGGTGAAGGTAGAATGTCGGATAATACCACACATAATATGTCTTTCCAAGGACACACAAATGTTCTTCCGCCGTGTCCAATTGTACCATGTGAACATAATTTCCAAGGTGAAGGTCCGATGCAAGATATTACAACTCAAAAGCACGATTACGTGCCAAAACCGTTTTCAAAAACAGGAAAGTTTAGTCCAACAAATAATATTTTCTCAAGTGATTGTCCATTAAGTGATAAAACAACAAATAGATTATCGTATATGCCGGTGAAAGGAGATAGAGTTGCTAAATTTATACCCACTAACGCACTCGAACTTCCAACTGGAAGAATGAGTGCGTGTACTGTTAATCGGATGTCATTTCTTCCATGGGAACAACAGGAAAAAATTGATATGCCTTGGGCGAAAAAACCGAAATTTGTACCACCCACAATGCGAATGGAAGGTTGTACGGTACAAAAGATGAGTTTTGGACCACCAGGAGAGTATGTTGAATGCTCGGAAGATTGTCCGGATGGTATTGATTGTCCGGAATTGGATTGTCACACGAGTGTGCCAAAACATAAACCTCAAGATTGTACTGCACCTTGTTGTTGTCCGAGAGCCTCTTGTTAAGAAAAAAAGAATTCTCTTAGGATTAACATGTCTAAAAATCTTTTCAAATTTTAGTATACAAAAAAATTGTATAATTTTTTTTTATATTGATATTTATTTTTATACACATGTAATAAAAATCCTATTGATTTTTAATTCTGTTACTTTTTCTTATTTAATTTTGTTTCAATTTAATTTTAGTTTTGTCCAAGAATTCGTAGCAGATCCCTTAGATGGCGCAACGTTACTTCTGGATGTATTAAGAATCATCCAATTAAGCCAAGCGAACAGTTCAACAAGCGGAAGTTCGAATACCACCGGAAGAGTTCCCCCTTCCGTTCAAAGAAGGGCTCTTTTGGACGAATTAAGTTGTCTTCAATGTCTAATGTATTGTGTTATTAGATACAACGAATCCGTAAGAACAATTTCGACGTCTTCATCCGGACTATTTACACTCTCAGTTTGCATTATGAGTAATGTTACGAAATCGAGAATCATTGCATTGCAGGTAATTAATTAATTTTTTTATCGGAAATAATCAGAAATGGATAAGATTTTTGTAATAATGAGAAAATTTTAACTAAATTTAATGTATTACACCCTACATCTGCCATAAAATTCATTTTTTAAAACATAGATGGCGCCTTTTTTAGTGTTTTGTTTTCGGCCATCTTAGATTTTATAAAAAGTAAAAAATCGGAATATCTCGGAAAGTTCCCTGTTAAAATAGATCATGTTTGGATTCATTTTAACGAGTTTTTTATAAAGATTATGATCACATACGAAAAAAATAAATTAATGTTGTTTTTAGGTTTTAACAAAAGTATGTTCCGTAGCCGATTTGGGACACACGTCAGTTTCGGAAGCTTTATCGACTCTTCGATTAAGATTTGGAGAACCGGTGAGGTTCAGATTTTTAGTTGGAATGTTAACATCATCAGGAAATCAATCAGAATTATTAGCGGCCGGTTTAGAATTTTTAAATGCGTTTTTAGATCATTGCGGAAACACCCAAAATCGGTTATACATCCAAGCTGAATTAGCCCAAGCGGGATTAGATATGGACGTTATTAAAAAAAATGTTTCGCTCGATAGTTCATCATCAGAACGGATATTAAAAGAATTCGAACGTTGGGAAAAAGGTTTCATCGACATCGAGGGCTTATCAAAGCGATTCGAGGATTTAGAAAAAAACAACGATGTCTTAAAAGATAAAGTTATGCTTTTGGAGCGAAAAATAAAAATTCTGCAAGAAGAAAAGGGCGTTTTGATGTCGTTAGAACAATGTTTAAAAACGAAATGTAATGAACTGCAAGATGAAGTGATTTCTTTGCAATCAAAAAATAAATCTTCGTTAAAAAAATCCGAGAAAGACCGTTTTTCGCCGGCTATAGACGAAGGAATATCATCATCCGAAAGGAGCTTAACGCCAAATATGATTGAAATCGAAGACGAAACCACAATAGAGGAAGTTATGGAAGAACTAAATAATATTATTAATAACGCGGAAAACGAAGATTTAAAAAGAGAGGAAGCCAAAAAGAAATTAAAAGATAAAGAGCGAATAAAAATAGAAAAAGCTCAAATTGAATCAAAATTAATAAAAACTAACGATATCTTTTCCGATTACGATTACGAATCCGAAATAATCCCAACAAATCTTCACCCTCAACCACCAAGAAAATCAAAAAGTATGGTCCATTTATACGTTCCAAGCGAAGATTATGATTGTCCGAAAGAATTCTTCGAAAATGAAACTGCATTTTCAAGCGAAGAAGGTTCCGATTCACTTTTAAGCGCCTCCAAATGTATTCCTAAATACAACAAGAACAATTTAAAGTTAAAATTATTAAATCAAAAAAGCGAATCGTTTAAAAATCCAACAATAATCAAAAAAAATTCTTTGGATAATAACAATATACAACGATCGAGAAGTCACCCGAATCGATCAAAAAGTTTAGACAGAATCGATGACGGCTTAGATGCCATCATCGATATTGTTGTAACCGATCAATTCGCAAATAAAAGCGATTCAAATGTATTCACAACGAAATTATCAAAATGTTTGAGTCAACAGAATCTGGAGCGAAACAAAATGTTTTTACCCGCGAATAAATTTCAATCGGCGGATACTCATTATTATTTTCCGAGGGTCCAAGAAAAACGGCACGCCAGTACAAGTTTTTTAACAAAACGTCCAAACGCTGGATTGTACTCTGGGCAACAAATTGTTACAACAGGGAGTAAAACGAAAAAAACTGAGTATTTCGCTTCCGTTGGGAGCAAAAATTCTTCCGGGAAAGTCACCGACATTCCTTCTGGTTTATATTAAAAAAAAATCACATTATATAAACGAATGTATACGATTTCTAATTTATTTACCTTAAATGTTATTAATTCTTTTAACGTGCAATATTTTTTGTTCTTGTGTAATCTTACTTTTACGATCGTATTTGGTCGAGGAATATATTTTTTTCTATTAATTTTATTAAACACTTAAGATATGTATAGAATTTTGTATAAAGATCTCAATAAAAATTATTAAACGTGCAGTTATTTGAATTAATACATTTCTAACCTATAATTTTTATTTGTAGGTTAGAAAAAATGACGTTTTAAAACGTAACTTAAAATACTCGAGACGAGTGAAGTTTGATGTAAACGTCAGCTAACTTCATGTTAGTGTCAAATTTAAATAAAATAATGCTTAATTTAATCATTTTGGAATCCAATTTGATTAAAAATTTGATAATTAATGTAGCTGAAATGATTTTAAGGACTTACTTGGTTATGTTTTTTGGGAAACTTGAAATTGAATCCTTTTGGTGGATCAGATTTCATTTGCAGCCTTACACAACGCATTTAAAGTCATTGTGGGGTTCTTTTCTTCTTGAGGATCTAGAATAGGAAGAAAAATAACGTAAATTAATAAAAATAAGGTTCTTAATAACTTGGTACTTAATAATAATCAATTAAACATAAAAAGGATCAACATACACCACTAATGAAGCATAAATCGCCCCAAAATTCGAAAATAAACCACTTTTTAAACAAACTTTAGAATTAAACGAAATCAAAACAAACTGATTACAGCGCTACCTGACGCTAACGGAGATACTTTGAACTCGTTTTTTTTTAGTTTACTCCATTAAACGATAGATGTCGCCCTATTTTTATTTATTATTTATTTTCAAAATATGTTTTTATAAATATTGGATTATATACAATAAATTAACAAAACTTTATTTCTTAGTATTATTCTCAAGATTTCCAGACAAAATCTTCAATAAAATATTATTTGTAGGTTAAAAAAAATGACTTTTTAAACTGTCACTTAAAATAATTGAGGTGACTGAAGTTGATGTAAATGTCAGTTAACTTCATGTTAGTGTAAAATTTAAATAAAATGTGTTAATTTAAAATACTTAATTTCATTTTAGAATCCAATTTAATTAAAAATTTGATAATTAATATGGCAGAAATGATTTTAAGGACTTACTTGGTTATGTCTTTCGGGAAACTTTAAAGAAACTTTCGAGAAGATTTGATTTGCAGCCTTCCACAACGTATTTAAACTCATTGTGGGGTTCTTTTCTTCTTCAGGATCTAGAACAGGAAGGTTAGGTTAGATTAGATTCCTAATAACTTGGTACTTAATAGTAACAATAAAAAAGTAATAATAATCAATTATACCTAAAAAGGATCAACATATACCACTAATGAAGCATAAATTGCCCCAACACTAGAAAATAAACCACTTTTAAATCAAATTTTAGAATTAAACGAAATCAAAACAAACTGATTACAGCGCTACCTGACGCTAACGGAGGTACTTTGAACTCGTTTATTTTTAAGTTTACTCCATTAAACGATAGATGTCGCCCTATTTCTATTTATTTTTAAAATAGCTTTTATAAATACTGGGTTATAAAAACATACAATAAATTAACAAAACTTTATTTTTTATTACTATTCTCAAGATTTCCAGACAAAATCTTCCCTAAAATATTATTTGTAGGTTAGAAAAAATGACGTTTTAAAACGTAACTTAAAATAATCGAGACGAGTGAAGTTTGATGTAAACGTCAGCTAACTTCATGTTAGTGTCAAATTTAAATAAAATGTGTTAAATATTTATAAAAATGCTTAAATTCATCATTTTGGAATCCAATTTGATTAAAAATTTGATAATTAATGTGGCAGAAATAATTTTAAAGACTTACTTGGTTATGTTTTTCGGGAAACTTGAAATTGAATCCTTTTGGTGGATCAGATTTGATTTGCAGCCTTCCGCAACGCATTTAAACTCATTGTGGGGTTCTTTTCTTCTTGAGGATCTAGAATAGGAAGGAAAATAACGTAAGTTAATAAAAATAAGGTTCCTAATAACTTGGTACTTAATAATAACAATAAAAAAGTAATAATAATCAATTAAACATAAAAAAGATCAACATACACCACTAATGAAGCATAAATAGCCCCAAAACTCGAAAATAAACCACTTTTTAATCAAATTTTAGAATTAAACGAAATCAAAACAAACTGATTACAGCGCTACCTGACGCTAACGGAGACACTTCGAACTCGTTTATTTTTGAGTTTACTCCATTAAACGATAGATGTCGCCCTATTTCTATTTATTTTTAAAATAGCTTTTATAAATACTGGGTTATAAAAACATACAATAAATTAACAAAACTTTATTTTTTATTACTATTCTCAAGATTTCCAGACAAAATCTTCCCTAAAATATTATTTGTAGGTTAGAAAAAATGACGTTTTAAAACGTAACTTAAAATAATCGAGATGAGTGAAGTTGATGTAAACGTCAGTTAGCTTCTTGTTTGTGTCAAATTTAAATAAAATGTGATTTTAAGGACTTACTTGGTTATGTCTTTCGGAAAACTTGAAATTGAATCCTTGATGGATGAGATTTGATTTGCAGCCTTCCACAACGCATTTGAACTCATTGTAGGGTTCTTCTTTTCTTCAGGATCTAGAATAAGAAGGTTAGGTTCCTAATAACTTGGTACTTAATATCGCCACAAAACTCGAAAATAAACCACTTTTTAATCAAATTTTAGAATTAAACGAAATCAAAACAAACTGATTACAGCGCTACCTGACGCTAACGGAGAAACTTCGAACTCGTTTATTTTTGAGTTTACTCCATTAAACGATAGATGTCGCCCTATTTTTATTTATTTTTTAAAATATGCTTTTACAAATACTGGATTATAAAAAATACAATAAATTAATTATTTTTTATCACTATTTTCATGATTTCCAGACAAAATCTCCTTCAATTCAATCGTAACCCCATTCGTCAACAAATTGTCATTCTCTGATGGTCCATTATCTAAAACAACACAAATTAACTTCACAAATTGGTCATTAATGGTAATTCACCTTCTAAAACGTTTTGTAACTCCTCATTGGAAGAAATGTATTGGAAATCTTTATGGATAACCCCTCTATAAACTAAAATAAATTCCTCGCTGGGGTTTAAGAAAAGAATTCGTTGATTTCTTAACGAAAACTCCTTGATTAAGTTTGCTATCCCTTTAGCGGCTGTAAAATCGATATCTGCAAACAAATAATTAATAAGAATTAAGCAATTTAAAGCAAATTACTTTGTACGAATCGACAATCGAGAACCACCGGGAGATGTGGCGAATTAAAAGCTTGTTTGGCGATGTTTGATTTAATAAAATCGATTGAAGGAAAATATAGGCTGTAACCAGGTGTTATTAAGATATATTCGTTTCCTGTTGGTGACCTTAAAATATCCACGGTGCATTTTGGCCTCGCGGATGGGTACAACAAAAAAATTAAATTGATTGAGACCCCAATTAAGATTCCTAGTTCAACCCCAACGATTAAACACAACAAAAACGTGGCGAACGTTGGAATTAAATCCTTTTTATTCGACCTCCACATCGGTTTAACGACTTCATATTCAATCATAAAGATAACAGCGCAAATTATAACGGCCGCTAACGAAGTTTTCGGGATGAATGAGAAGTATGGAGTTAAAAAACTCAAAGCTAATAACACCATTATCCCTAAAATGAAATTGTTGATTAAAAAATTTTTATTTAAACATGAATTACCTGTAAAAACGCCTCCTAAAGGTGTTTGTACCCCACTGGCGTGGTTCACAGCCGATCGCGAAAAAGACCCCGTTACCGGCATTGAGCTAAAGAATGAGCCAAAAATGTTACATAACGATAATGTTAAAAGTTCTTGGGTTGCGTCAATTTGTTGTCCACTTGCTTAAAAAAAATGATTTAATTTTTATTGTTTTTTAATTAAATTAAATGAATTACCGAAAGCTTTAGCGATCGCAACATTCCCCAAAACTGAAATGACGGGAACGAGAATCATGGAAGCTCCTAAATCGGATAACATCCCCGAAAATTCAACCGTTTGATTATTAAAGCTAGTCTCAAACGGGGGGAGCTTAAACGGCGGTAATCCAGCTTTTACATTCCCCGTTAACAAAAACGGAGATCCACTCCCTTTAGTTTCATACAAAAAAGCGGCTAAAGAAGAAAAAATAACAACCAAAGCGTTCCGGGAGGTCGCAAACAACCAAATAAGTTTCGACAAATACTTTTGCGTCTTCGTCGGTTTTTCATCTTTACCATAAAACTTAAATTCTTTGAGTTTCTAAAACAAAGCAGTTTATAAAACAAAAAAAAGTAACTCAAACAAATTCATTTAATATACCGACTCGTAAAAGTAATAAAATAATAATACAAATTATTCCCAATAATAAATCTGGATATCTTGTGTTATGAATGTTTTGAAACGTTTTCGAAACGGTATCGATAAATCCGGATGAGGTGTATTTCAATCCGAATAATCCTTTTAATTGAGACGCCGCAATTATTACTGAAGTAGCTGAGGTAAATCCAACGGTAACGGGAATCGATATAAAATCGACTAAAACTCCCAAATTTAAAACCGCCATAAATAATTGGACTAATCCGCAAATGAAACACAATAACACCGCGTAATCCACGCTTCTATTTGCGATTTGTTGATAGGTCATTAATGCCATAAGCGCCGTTGGACCTATTGTTATATCTTTACAACCGCCGAATATTGCGTAAATGAAACAACCCATAAACGCTGAGTATAAACCGTACTAAAAAAATTTTAATAAAAGAATTTATTATTTAAAAAAATTGAATGTTTCACTTGTGGTTCCAATCCTCCTAATGTGGCGTACGCCAAACTTTGGGGCATCACGGTTAATCCCACGGTTATTCCCGCTATTATATCACTGGTTAATTTCGATGTGTTGTATTTTGGTGCCCATTGAACGATTGGAAAACGTTGGTATAAAAATTTTAATAGGATTTGTTTTTCTTTGGCCATGTTTTGTTTCTTCAGTTTTGGTAAATCTGAAAAAAAAGGATAAACAAAATAATTAAAAAAATATCAATCTTTGTGTCAGAGATAAAGTTGATAACCAAAACTAAATTGCATTTAATTGCCAATGTTGAACGAAAATGAGGTTGAGAGATATCAAGGATGATATTTAGAAATATCATGAATGATATTGAGGTTGTTATATAATTTTCCGACTTATCAAGAAAGATTTTAATATCAGAAAAGATAATCGAAGGTATTAAAGATGATATTGATCTCTCATCTGAGGCAATGACTAAGGATATATATTTTATATATAACGATATTTAGTAAGGCCAGGGGTTGTATTAGGTAATGTCAGAAACAATGTGGAGATATATATATACAGGGTGATTTATTAGCTCACCATCAAACTTTGACATATGATAGCTAATCCAATCACCAAAAAAGAATGTTAATGAACATATGTCTTATTTCAATTATTTACGAAATTATAACACTTTAAAGTTTTAATTTTTATATCATAATTAACTGCTACATTTTTTTTAAACACTAGACTATTCATCTTAATTTTTCATGTATTATCTACTCTAGAAGTCTGTCAGCGGTTTTTTGAATCACCCTGTATATACAATATTATTTATAGAATCAGTAAAGTCAATAACCGAAAGTATGTAATGTTAAGGTATTCTTGAAATATTGAGCAAGGTCAGGTTTGTTTATTGAGGTAAATGACCTTGGGAAAGAAATATTTAACAATATAAATAATTATAGATATGTACTAAACACCACTTGATTTGAAAAAAAAACAAGCAATTAAAAAATTGATGTGATTTTTAAATTGGCCCTAAACGCCATCTAATGAAATATATTAAAACTAAAACCGAGAACCCGCTAATTTCAAAAAATATTAATTTATATATATAAAATCAATCAATTTCAAAGTAATATTATCACAGAATCTTAATATTAAAATTCTTAAGTAAACAAGTCTTGTTTAGTCTAGAAATTATTATTAAAACCCATCTCGAATAACATATAAATGAATAAACAATTCTTCGATAAACACCCCAACCAATTATTTCTTATTTATTCAAAACTTAATCACTGACAATCTCAATTAAGCAAAAAAGAAATTTTTAGTGACCTTGACACTGAATAATAATCGCGCGTTAAACTTTCAAATAGCCCGAACGTTATTCGAAGAGATCGAGAAAAACTAACTAAGACAAAATTGTGTTCGAACTCACCGAAAAATAAGAAGCACACAACGAATAAATTTAAAAGTAGTTCTCACTTTTTAAGCGTAAAAAACGACTGAAACCGTTTCTTCTTCCGTTTTCGATTTTTATACCCGCGGGGGGCGAGATTTTGCGCAGAATAAAATCGACGCCGAGTATTAAAATCGTATCGAGTATTTAAATCACGTCCGCAACAAAAAAATTATTGATAAAATTATCAATTGACCGTTGTTTATTAAATTTTTACGACGCTATTTGCATTATTAAGTTCGTTTTATCGAAGAAAATTTTCGCGAAATTGCTATGATTCATTTAGAATCTATTTTTTAGTTGTAACTTTCAATTTAATCTCTCTAAAAGATAACTTTGTTTTCTTTTTTTTTTTATTTTTGGGTGGAGTGATAATTTTTGCTTTTTGTTTATTTCAAATAAATTTTATTTATCTGATAATGATGGTAATAAGAGGTGTTTATCAAGGATGGTATATTCTAAAAGGACTGCTACATCCCGAGAATAGGTGTACAACGATCCGCCCGTATTTTGAAACACTTAACCGTCAATTTTCCAGTTATTATCATGGCACCAGGCAGTTTGATGTGTATGAGGGAAAATCTCTTGAAACTGAAGAAAAATTTCGGTAGTAAATTCGGTAGATCATGCAGATCAACTTCGACAAGTGTATGTAATAAACCGTCGTTTCAAGAAGTGGTGGCACAAGCTTTTCTATGCTTCGTCAATTATGTAATCAGCATCTTTTTTGACACTTTTAGGTTATACGAAAATGTAAGTTTTGTTTCAACATTTTTTTTCTCAATATTTTTCCAATCCAACCCAACAATTATTATACATCATTTTAAAGAGAAAGCTTTGAGCTTTAATTTAGAATAAGTCTCATTCCTTAATTTCAATAAATACGGCTTCCAGGAATTTTTAAATTAGCATCTTTTTTGACACTTTTAGGTTATACGAAAATGTAAGTTTTGTTTCAACATTTTTTTTCTCAATATTTTTCCAATCCAACCCAACAATTATTATACATCATTTTAAAGAGAAAGCTTTGAACTTTAATTTAGAATAAGTCTCATTTCTTAATTTCAATAAATACGGCTTCCAGGATTTTTTAAATTAGTATCTTTTTTGACACTTTTAGGTTATACGAAAAAGTAAGTTTTATGTCAACATTTTTTTTCTCAATATTTTTCAAATCCAACCCAACAATTATTATACATCATTTTAAAGAGAAAGCTTTGAGCTTTAATTTAGAACAAGTCTCATTCCTTAATTTCAATAAATACGGCTTCCAGGAATTTTTAAATTAGCATCTTTTTGACACTTTTAGGTTATACGAAAAAGTAAGTTTAATATCAACATTTTTTTCTCAATATTTTTCAAATCCAACCCAATAATTATAATACATCATTTTAAAGAGAAAGCTTTAAGCTTTAATTTAGAAGAAATCCCATTCCTTAATTTCAATAAATACGGCTTCTAGGAATTTTTAAATTAGCATTTTTTTGACACTTTTAGGTTATACGAAAAAGTAAGTTTTATGTCAACATTTTTTTTCTCAATACTTTTCCAATCCAACCCAATAATTATAATACATCATTTTAAAGAGAAAGCTTTAAGCTTTAATTTAGAATAAGTCTCATCCCTAAATTTCAATAAATACAGCTTCCAGGAATTTTTAAATTAGTGTCTTTTTTTGACACTTTTAGGTTATATAAAAATGTAACTTTTATTTCAAAATTTTTTTTCTCAATATTTTTCCAATCCAACCCAATAATTATTATACATCATTTTAAAGAGAAAACTTTAAGCTTTAATTTAGAATAAGTCTCATTCCTTAATTTCAATAAATACGGCTTCCAGGAATTTTTAAATTAGCATCTTTTTAACATTTTTACTTGAAACATTTCACTGAAAACTTCAACCTAAAGTTTGGCAAACCATAAATTGATAGTTGCTACCATGAGGATTCATAACCCTCATATTAATGACCTCATGGTGCACATCAGATGAGCTAAGAAATTCACTTCATCTCTTCATGATAGTACAAAGCAATCAAAAATAAGGAAAATGTCTTAACACTTGTTTTGGATTACATGCAAAAAGTATCTTTTGCCTACGACAACTTACAATAATCTTTTTTGTGTCTTCAACACCAAGACAGACTCAATCCACTATTTTCCAGAAACTTTTTTCTTGTCTTCGCTGCTTTTTTGGCCAACTTGTCCGCCTTTTCATTGCCCTCAATGTCTTTGTGACCTAAAACCCATTATTGAGTAACTTCATTGCTCCTGGCGAGTTCTCTCAGGTGTAGGGACAATTTATTTTAAAAATTAATGTGTCAAAATTCAGAGTACCAACTTTGAAAAAAAAATTTGATTTATAACGATGTTAATGAAAAATGCGTTTTGATATAAATGTTTATCTTACTTTTTTTGCAATTTCTTGATAACCTTAAGAAATTATTTTAATCTAATCCTTTTTTAAAATAATTCCATACAGTTCTTATTGGTCACAAGGAAACGAATCGTTTATTAAGCAATGTTTAACCCAGATTTTCACGTTCAACGGTGCGTAATAAGACGTGTCCTTTAAGACATACCAGAGGAATAATAATTGCGTCATTAATCTAGTTTCAACAAAGAATTTTAAAAACTTTTGATCGCCTCTGTATACAATTTCTTTTTTAATTCTTTTTCAAAACAATTAAATTTCCCGCCATTTAAAATCGATTTTTTTGTACGTCACAGCTGTCTTCGTTTACAAACACATTTCTTAAGATTAAATTTAATTTATATCGAAATAAAAACGTTTTGGTTGAATTTAAACCACACAATAATTGTTAATAAAAGAAAATTTAAAAACTTACGTTTTATATCCGTATTTGTATCCGACACTTGCGTGCGTTTCAGCTTTTAACCTTACATTTTCGGCACAAATCGAACGAATAAACAAACGATACCAGCGCCGTTGGATTTCCAGCGTTTGAAATGCGAACTAAACTCTATATATGAGTATCGATCTGGTTCTGATGCAGGAAAATGAGCCTTATTTATCGTCACCGTAAGGTTAAAAATGCAAGTTTAAGGTAAGATTAATAGGATTAAATAGATTTTGATTAAATTAATCAACCGATCAATTCTCCCACGAATTTTATTTATTAAACTAAATCACATTTTCGACTCGACGGTTTCGAAAATTGCTGGTAAATCTCCGTTTGATATTTGTATGCTTTTGTAACTGTTTAAAATATCGGAATTTCTTCGTTCTGGAATATAAATTAGAATTAAGAAAAGTATTTTCAATTTTTACGTAAAAAAATGCCAAAAAATCAGCTTATTTTTGGTTCCATAACAATTTTGTGTATAATAATATCCAAAATATTTCCTAGATGATGTCTAGTAATCCAATGCAGGTGGAAGCAAAAAAGAGAGGGTGTTGCTGACTTTTTGGCGAACACATTCTTAATGTTAATTAAAAACCTTTTAAAATTTCCACTAAAACATCATCTGTAAATGCAAAAATGCAATTTCGACAAGTTTTCGATAACATTTTGGTTAAATGCGGCTCAAGCTTCAAAAATGCGATAGTTTTTCCGCCTTTTTGTAAATCATCAGCTAAAGATCCCAAACACTAAAACCAAAAAAAAAATTAAATCAAATTTTAATTAATTTAATTTTTTTACCTTAGCCGTTGTATAATCGGTTTTACTTATTCTAGAACAATCTATAATCACAACTTTTCCCCCCTTATTCTTTTCGATTAAAACCCCACTTTTTATGATGCGATTTCGGATGTATTCGGCCGAGGGGTAATAAATGGACGAAGAGGGGACGATTTTTAAATACTCGTTTCCTTCAATCTACAATGAAAATAAATTAATTAAAAAAAATAATAAAAAAAGTTTTTTTTGTTACAATAACTCGATGTGCTTCTAATTTAGGTCTTGAAATGTAAAATAACAACATTAATAAATCGACAAAAATCCCAATAACGATCCCTATTTCAATTCCTAGGAATAAACACGCGAAAAATGTTGATGTTAATGGTATAACATCTATTTCTATAACAAAATTAAGATTATTTATTTATTTAGATTCAAAAAAAGTTTTGACTTACTATGTAATTTCCAAATATGGTGCGCTATCGTTGTTTCAACCATAAATATAACGGCGCAAATAATAACTGAAGCTAAAGCAGCTTTGGGAATATAAGAAAAATAAGGCGTTAAAAAGGTGAGGGATAACAACACAATTATTGATGAATAAACCCCCGAAAAAGTGGTTTTAACCCCGCTTGCATTAGTGACAGCCGCTCTGGAAAACGAAGCATTTATCGGCATCGAGCTTAAAAGCGAACTGGTTAAGTTGCAAATTCCGATTGCCGTCATTTCTTGGGATGCATTCACAACCTTTCCTTTAGCTAAAATGATATTGCCATACAAATTTTTTATTAATTAAATAGAAACTTACAAAAACTTTTGGCGACCGCTATATTTGCCAAAATAGCTAAAGCTGGCATCACTAAAATAGCAGTTCCAAGTTCTCCAATTATTTCGGGAAAAGTTAAGGTGTGATTATTGGTTGTTATTTGAAACGGCGGAAGAGATATTGTTGGTAATCCGGAAGGAACTTGACCTACAAAATTAAATTTGACAGATGTCAAAAATATAAATTAATGCGGGTTGTCAACGCTAGATGGGGATAGTTTAAAAAAGAAAAATATTTTTAAAGATTTTTTAAAGAAAATGTAGAATTTTTCACCTAAATAAATGTGATTTGCTACTTACTATCTCTATATGTAATAAATCACCTTTAAAAAGATCAAAAAATTTTAAATTGGGAATATAAAAAGTTGGGTTATGTCCAACATCACCCATTAATTTTAAGAAAAAATCTTGTAGAACCTAAAATCACTTTAAATAGATAGTTTGAGTGTTTAAAAATCAATTTTGAAGGATTTCTTTGTTCAATTAATCTTATTTTTTCTTGAAATTTAATAATTTTATAAGATCTGTAATCGTTGTGTCAAAAACGCGACTTAATATGGGGAATTAACGTTAGATGGGGTTAGTTTGAAAAAGAAAAATTATTTTTAAATAAAGAAAATGTAGAAATTCTCACCTAAATAAATGTGATTTGTTACCTACTATGTCTTTGTCTAATAAATCACCTTTAAAATGATCCAAAAACTTTAAATTGATGATATAAAAAGTTAGGTTATATGAAAAGTCACCGATTAATTTGAAGAAAAAAATCTTGTAGAACCTAAAATCACTTTAAATAAATAGTGTGGGCGTTTAAAAATCCATTTTGAAGGATTTCTTGACTCAATTACACTTTTTTTTCTTAAAATTTAATAATTTTATAAGATCTGTAATCGTTATGTCAAAAACGCGACTTAATACGGGGAATTAACGTTAGATGGGGTTAGTTTGAAAAAGAAAAATTATTTTTAAAGATTTTTTAAAGAAAATGTAGAAATTTTCACCTAAATAAATGTGATTTATTACTTACTATGTCTTTTTTTTATAAATCACCTTTAAAACGATCCAAAAATTTTAAGTTGATAATATAAAAAGTTAGGTTACGTCAAACGTCAATTAAATAGGGACAATCTAGTTTGTATACGTTTAAGTATTGTCATTTAACTACCCAACAAAAGATGGCGCTTATAGGAAAATAAAAATTTAAAATAGCGGGCATTTTAAGGGTTTTAAAAAAATGTATTTACCTGAGAATGTGAAACGTTTTTGATTATCAACACACCAAAAATAAGCAATAACCGAACTAGTAATAACTACAATAGCGTTTCTACTAACGCAAATAAACCATAAAATTACTTTGTACGATCTTTGACGATTCTTTTTCATTTCACCAGGAGATGAAGAAAAATCTTTTAATTGCTATAAAAAAAAAGATATTAATAAAATAATAAATAAAATTTAATAAAGAATTACCCTTAATAACAATAATAAGCAGCAACAAATCAGGCTTAAAGCGGCGTCGTAAAAATTAGTTTCCCCAAGGTGTTCAAAAATTTTTCTCCAAATATCGATAAATTTTTCCGCTCGATACTGTAACCCCAAAACACTTTTAATTTGTGCAGAAGCGATAAGAATCGCCCCAGCCGACGTTAACCCGACCACAACGGGAGTTGAAACAAAATCAACTAAAAATCCTAAATGAAAAATCCCGCAAAGTAATTCAACGAGTCCAGAAAAGAAACATAACAAAATTGTTGCTTGAACATTTCCAAAACTAATTTGACTCGTATAAGTCATCGTTAACAAAGAAAGTAACGCTGTTGGGGCGATGCTGAGTTGCGGAACAGTCCCGAAAATCGCATAAATAATTCCACCGCAAAGTGAAGAATATAAGCCATACTAAAATTAAATTAATCAATTAATTTTGTAGAAAAAAAATTATTTCTTACTTGTGGTTCTAATCCGGCCAAAGCGGCGTAAGCCATCGTTTGGGGAATGAGTGTTAATCCAACTGTAACTCCAGCGATGAAATCTGCCACAGCTTTTTCACCATTGTAATCTCCGATCCATCCCAAAATGGGGAACACTTTTACGAGGAAATCCAAGGGCTTTTTGTGCATGTTCTTTTGGTGGGATTAAAAATGAACTGGAAATAAAATCACAAAAAATCATTAAAGTATTGTTAAGAAAAAATGTTATGTAAGAAATTAGTCCTTGAAGCAATTGTAATAACACAAAAGAGATGAAATAAATAAAAACTTGGGATTTAATTTATTTTGAGTCGATTTTTTTACTTTTTTTTGTATATATTTTAAGTTTCAAATTTAGTGATTTGAAGATATTTGATGTAGCAATCAAGTAATGATCCTTAAAACTGTCTCTTCTGGAAGAAAACTTATCAAGATTGAAGAAATTCTTGGAGATACGTGTAATGTTTTCCACCTTAATCAAGTAGGCCATACGTAATGATAATTTGGCAAATGAAAAAATATCTTGCTAAATAATGCCTCTCAACCATCAAAGCATAAATCTTGCTGCTTTTAGGTTGGATTCCTCTTGAATTGGGTTCCTTCTGAATTGGATTGTTTTCAAGTTGGGCGTTTGAGTTAGGTTGCATTTGGGTTGAGTTCTTTCCAGGTTAGGTTGATATCGATGGGTTGATATAGGAGTTTTTTAATTAAGAAAAGTAATTAAAAGCCTAGTTTAGTATGGTAAGACCACATAGTTAATGGATGTTAAGTTCAAATTCCTATTGCCGTCATTTCTTGGGATGCGTTCGCAACTTTTCCTTTAGCTAAAATGATATTGCCATAAAAAAAAAGTTATTAATTAAATAGAAACTTACAAAAACTTTTTGCGACCGGTATATTTGCCAAAATAGCTAAAGCTGACATCACTAAAATCGCAGTTCCAAGTTCTCCAATTATTTCGGGAAAAGTTAAGGTGTAATTATTGGTTGTTATTTGAAACGGCGGAAGAGAAATTAAAATGTCAAAAATGTCATTTAATACGGGTTATCAACGCGAGATGGGGTTAGTTTGAAAAAGAAAAATTTTTTTTAAAAATTTTTTAAAGAAAATGTAGAAATGTTCACATATCAATAAATAAATTTGATTTCTTACTTACTATGTCTTTGTTTAATAAATCACCTATAAAATGATCCAAAAATTTTAAATTGGTAATATAAAAAGTTTAGTTATATCAAACGTCACCGATTAATTTGGAGAAAAAAATCTTGTAGAACCTAAAATCACTTTAAATAGATAATTTGAGTGTTCAAAAATCAATTTTGAAGGATTACTTGGTTCAATTAATCTCATTTTTCTTGAAATTTAATCATTTTATGAGATCTGTAATCGTTATGTCAAAAAACGCGACTTAATACAGGGAGTTAACGTTAGATGGGGTTAGTTTAAAAAAGAAAAATTATTTTTAAATTTTTTTAAAGAAAATGTAGAAATGTTCACCTAAATAAATGTGATTTCTTACTTACTATGTCCTTGTTTAATAAATCACTTTTAGAGTGATCCAAAAATTTTAAATTGGTAATATAAAAAGTTGGGTTATGTCAAACATCACCGATTAATTTGGAGAAAAAAATCTTGTAGAACCTAAAATCACTTTAAATAGATAATTTGAGTGTTCAAAAATCAATTTTGAAGGATTACTTGGTTCAATTAATCTCATTTTTCTTGAAATTTAATCATTTTATAAGACCTGTAATCGTTATGTCAAAAACGCGACTTAATACGGGGAGTTAACGTTAGATGGGGTTAGTTTAAAAAAGAAAAATTATTTTTAAATTTTTTAAAGAAAATATAGAAATTTTCACCTAAATAAATGTGATTTCTTACTTACTATGTCCTTGTTTAATAAATCACCTTTAGAATGATCCAAAAATTTTACATTGGTAATATAAAAAGTTAGGTTATGTCAAACGTCACCGATTAATTTTGAGAAAAAAATCTTGTAGAACCCAAAATCATTTTAAATAAATAGTGTGGGCGTTTAAAAATCAATTTTGAAGGATTTCTTGGACACTTTTTTTCTTAAAATTTAATAATTTTCGAAGAGATGGGTTGCTTTCATCATGGAAAATCTACAGCTTTAATTTCAGCAGTTGAAATTGGCAACCGCAAAAATAAGCTTTCTTCTTCCATCTCTTAGCCTGTAGGTGGATTTCATAACTCTGTGTACAGACTCTATATTCTAACTGAATTGTTTTCACGAATTTACGTTTACATTAGGTTGCTTGAGAGTTGGGCTGGGTTGGGTTGCTGTCAAGTTAGGATTCTTTTGAGTTGGGTTGCTTTCAGGTTGGGATCCTTTTGAGTTAAGTTGTAACTTATTGTATTAACTAAACCAGCTCATATATTAAGAAAAGAAATAATTTTTAACATTGGATATAAAACAAATTCTTGAGACATTCAACAAAACGCATTTGAGCTGTAGTTTGAGACTTAATTGAAAGGATAAAGAGAATAAACTTGACAATGTTAATAACAAAAACGTATTTAAATTTAAATAAATTTAAAAATTGATTTAAATTCGCTTACAATTAAAAGGTATCCAAGTTTATTAAAAAACACTCACACTCTCACCAGCTTTATGCAGACTCATTACTAAGAAAATTGACGCGTAAATGCTAAACGTTAACTGACCGAAGTAAACGATAAGCTGAACGCGTACATTTTTAACGTTTTTTTTTTACATACGTAATTCTAAAGGTATTCAATGATAAACATGGAAAATTCGTATCGATAAGAAAATAAGAAAGCACATTTTTTTTTTAACAATTTTTAATCGTTTCAATACACACCAATTTGAAGCAATTTATTTACGTTTTATGAAATCATAAATAAATAAAAACGTATTTACTTATGATCCGTCACTTTCTTGATTTTGAAAAGCCGCGACGACGTAATACAAAAGGGGTATTTTGGCGGTTCTTTCGTCGTCGGCCACGTTTAATTTAGCCGCTAAATTATCTCTGGGAAGCCGTTCGGAGTGCTGACTTGATTCGGCCGCTAACACCTGTTCCGAATAAACGTATCCGTTCCACGCTAAATATTCTCGTATTAAATCGTTGATCAGTTTCGTTTCGTCGGGCAATTGAGGCACGTTATCCTCTTTGCAATTTTTATTCAACACTGACATAATCGCCGATCTCAATTCGGCTTTAACTCGCCCCAAATGTCCATCGTTTTTTAACGAATCCCTCACGGCTAAAACAAACAATTTTAATGTTTCAAATTGATTTTTTTTGTTAATTAAATTAGTTTTACCGTTAACGAGGTCTTTTTCTGTCGTTTCCATCATCGTTTCATGTCATTCTATTTTATTCTAACCTTATTAAACTCGTAAAACGTTCAGAAAGGGTGGGTTAATGTTTACTTCCGGTTTGGGTTGCCTATGGTTACTAAAAATTATATATTAATACAGGGTGATTAAAAAAAACGTTTTTTTATAGCTGTCGTCACAAATTTTTTTCTTTATTAACTCGTGCCAAGACGATGTTGTACAATAAAAAAACGGCCGCGTTTTACAAACGAAATGAGGTATTTCTGTACATTACAAAAAAAAGTTTAAAAAAATGAAGTCGCAAGAAACGCATCTCGTTTGGGTTCTTGTTTTTTCGGTTTTATTATTATTACTATTATTCATTTTTTTTTATTTTAAAAAAATAGCAGCTTCTACGTGTCATATACTCGAATAATTCGTCGAGTGAACGAGCGAAAGGCACTTCTTTGCACCCTACAATACGTAATACAATAGTAAATAGTAGTAGTTGTAGTCGAATGGACGCGAACGGACGTGTGACCTACACAGTACGAGATATATTCATTTTTTAAGTAGAATTAATCTCAAATTGGCAAAAATTATTTCCTAAAATCAATAAAAAAACAAATTTTAATAAAAATAAGGTGTCCTAGATTTATTTTTTTTTGTTTTAATGCTGGTTTTGGAGAGATTTATAACTTTATTAATATTAATACATCGTTGATTCAGGATGGTTGAAAATAAATAATAAGGATTAAAAAATAAAAGAAATTAATAAAAAAAAAAGTATTTACAATGAAATACTGTACACAAGAAAGCGGAAACAATCGAGTTTTCAATTTGAAATTGTGTTATTATTAATTAAGTCATTTTATGTGCAAAATTCTTTTTTATTTATATACAAAAAAAATATCAATATTATATCAATATTTTTTCCCAAAAAAAATTTTATTCATATAAATCCATAAATATTTGTCATAAAAAATAAGTATTTATGGATAATATTCCAAATAAAAACGATTATCATAAAAAAATTCTCGATGAATCCGACAATCGAAGATTATTTAAATTATTTAAAGCTAAAATCGTTAATTTATTATTTCTCTTGAATTTTATTCTTTTTTCTTATTAACTTTTTCAGTCTAACGGCTTTATTTGGGCCATTATTTTCCCATCGAACGTTGGCAGCACTTCGTTATCTAAACTAATCTCTTCTTGTATTACTTGATTATCCAATTCTTCACACTCAGTTTTAAAGAAATACCTTTTAACCGGAAAATAATTAAAAAAAAATTAATTAATTTATATTTATATTTACCTAAAATTGCCCTTTTTCGGTAAGAAATCTTTAAATTGTCGCAATGTAATTTGCCTTCCGGGTATTTTCGTCCGATAAGGCACCTTTTCGTCATAAAACGAATAAACAACAATTGTTATATCTTCCGGATTCGATACGCCGGATGTAACAGGTTTTGAACTCCTCGTCGACTTTCTTAACGTCGATTGAGTACTTTGAGATATCTCCGCAGGATATTTGCTTGAATTTCTATGAATTAATAATATAAAATTGTTATTCAGCGCTAAATTGTTGTATATTTTTAGCCGTCTCAAAAGACGTACAGCTAAACCCGAATGCTTTTAGTTCTAGGTTTAAAGCTATACTTATTAAACTAAAACTAGAACTAACACTAGACCTAGAAAGTTTCGGGTTTAGCCGTGCGTCTTCAGACTTTTTTAAGATAAGTGCACCATGTTGGGACTCATTTTAAAGGTTATTTTGTAATGATTACGAATATAACAATAAAATTAAAGTTGACATTAACACCTGAAAGTTTGTTTCTTAGCCGTGCCTCGAAACTGTTTCAAGAAACATCAAAATTGTTTTTAAGCGCACGGCTAAACCCGAATGATTCTAATTCTAGGTCGTAATGTTAGTTCTAGTTTTACACTATCACTAGAACTAACACAAGACCTAGAACTAGAATCATTCAGGTTTAGCCGTCTTGAGAGACGTGCGGCTAAACCTGAATGTTTCTAGTTCTCGGTCTAGTGTTAGTTCTAGTTTTAACTATTATTCAGCGCCAGATTGTTGAATATTTTTATTAAACTAAAAGTAGAACTAGAACTAGAATCATTCGGGTTTAGCCGTCTTGAGAGACGTGCGGCTAAANGCAGGAAACTGTGGACCTATAACGTAGGTATCCATAACTGCACTTCTGGACAAGGTTTTATGTTCATGTGGGATGAATCAGTTGGAAAAAGGGGTAGTGATGAAATAGGAAGCTGTATTGTAAAGTACTTATTAGTAGCAAATGTCCACGCAAAGAAGTTGGTAATATTTACCGACAACTGCGGAGGACAAAATAAAAATTGGAACATAATGTCGCTTTGGTCACACCTTGTAGCTAGTAAACGTTTTGAAACAATAGAACATTACTTCCTGATAACTGGGCATACTTATCTTCCATCAGACCGTGACTTTTCAAAAATAGAAAAGTATCATACCAAGCACTGCCAAAATGTGTACAGTCCTGGGCAATGGAGAGAGATAGTAGCAAAGTGTGGAACAAAACACTGAACTTCATTGTAACATGCATGATGAGTGAGGATTTCCTCGATTTGTCTAGGGTGCAAGAGACCTACTTTAACACAAAAAGCAAGTTTTGTACAGATGGTGTTACTCCTCCACGATTTTCCAAAGCTATTTGCTTTAAATTTGACAGCGAAGAACCTTTTCAAATGAAACTCAAACACTTGATGAACGAAGAGTTTTTAGTGTTGAACCTAAAGAAACGTGGAAGGAGTTCTATTCCAGCACTACATTTAAAAAGAAATGCGCCCAACAAAATCAATAAGAAAAAATTAGATGATGTCAAATCCTTGATGCAATACATTCCTCCCATCTACCATGGATATTACAATGGCCTACAGTCTTCCGCTGAAGTAGACGACCAAAAGGAAGATGTTGTGGTAATATAGGCCTATTTGAAAAGTACCTTTTTGGTTAAGAGTATTTTTTGTCGATGACAGTGTGTGTTTTAATAAAAGTACAAACAAACCTAATGTCTTTTATTTTTGGGGAAAAAATGCCAAGCAACATTATTCAGTGCATATTTTTCTATACAACCATTTTTATCTTATAATAGCGTTTTTTTTACCTACATCTTCACTTTTAACGGTATATAGATACATGACCTTTGTATTAAAAAACTTTGGTTTGTTGTCTGCACTAAAATGTTATTTATGGATTTAGCCAAACTTTCAACTTGCTATATCTCAAAACAACAAACATGATGCTTGGCACTTTTTTCTCCCGACCCCTTCAATTGTTGTTTATTTTTAGCCGTCTCAAGAGACGTATAGCTAAACCCGAATGCTTTTAGTTCTAGGTTTAAAGCTATACTTATTAAACTAAAACTAGAACTAACACTAGACCTAGAAAGTTTCTGGTTTAGCCGTGCGTCTTCAGACTTTTTTGAGATAAGTGCATCATGTTTGGACTCATTTTAAAGGTTATTTTGTAATGATTACGAATATAACAATAAAATTAAAGTTGACATTAACACCTGAAAGTTTGTTTCTTAACCGTGCCTCGAAACTGTTTCAAGAAACATCAAAATTGTTTTTAAGCGCACGGCTAAACCTGAATGATTCTAGTTCTAGGTCGTAGTGTTAGTTCTAGTTTTACACTAGCACTGTCACTAGAACTAACACAAGACCTAGAACTAGAATCATTCGGGTTTAGCCGTCTTGAGAGACGTGCGGCTAAACCCGAATGTTTCTAGTTCTCGGTCTAGTGTTAGTTCTAGTTTTAACTGTTATTCAGCGCCAGATTGTTGAATATTTTTATTAAACTAAAAGTAAAACTAGAACTAGAATCATTCGGGTTTAGCTGTACGTCTTTTAAGACGGCTACACCAGAATGGTTCTAATTCTAGGTCTAGCTACTCTCTCTGGATCTAGAATTAGACCAAAATTTTGAAAATTAATATTATTACAAAAAATAAACAATTTTAGGATCTAAAAATGTTAACAATCCTTCTATTTTTGCGTAGTTTATCGATTTTTTTAAAGACGGTCTTTCTATTCGATTCAGGGTAAAGGCCCTGAAGGCATTGTATTTAAAATTAATTAAACTTAGCGAAACATACACAAAAATATCTGAAATTGTCAAAATGTGTCTAAAATTATCTAAACTCGGAAAAACTTTACAAAATTGTCTAAAATTATCTAAGCTTGCCCAAAATTGTTTAAAAACGCAAAAAAAAACTATAAGTAAAACTAAAATAGAACTAGAATCATTCGGATTTAGCCGTCTAGAAAAATGGGGTGTCGAAAGACTGTCTGTCGCGTCATTTATGACCCAATATACAGTGCGTTCCAAAAGTAACGGATAAATTCGATAAAATCATTACAAACAATTCATAAATTGTTAATAATCGCAGAAAAGGGTCTAAAGATTTAAATTTGTTTGAAAGAAATTGGAATTTGAAAGAGAATTTTTTTCTAAATTATGTACAATAAATATTAATATGGGTTACATAAGAAAATTTTCGAGAAAAATTAATTTAAAGTTTCATTATTTCCCATTCATTTGATATAGAAAATACCAGTAGCAGTGCGTAACCATGGCAACCAATTGTTTTGATTTGACATTTCCAAGTGTCAAAATTCAATTTGAAACAGTTTACTATGCGTTAATGAGATTATTTTGAGTAGTATTGTGGAGTTTCTTGTGTTAATTGTTGTTATTCATTGTTATTTGTTGCTATTCATCGCTATTCGTTCCTTTTTTTGTTGTTATTTGATCTTATTGTTTATCTATTATTGGTTATTTTTTAATTATTGACTGTTCGATAAGTAAGAAAGTAATAATGACGCTTACTAAAACTGAAAGAATCGAGATTCATATGATATTATTGGTAATATTTATTGTATATAATTCAGAAAAAAATCCTCTTTCAAATTCCGATATAAAAAGTGGGGTGTTCCTTTTAATAAAAACCTCGATGACGTCATAACTCATTTAAAAATGGCGGAAAAATTTTAAAACATACACCAAAAAATTGCAACAAATTTAAATCTTTAGACCCGTTTCAGCGATTTTTTGATAAATTGTTTGTAATAATTTTATCGAAATTATCCGTTACTTTTGAAACGCACTGTATATAGGAGTGTTTATAGATAATTTGTAGAGAATTAAATTCCCTTTATGATAGACTAATAAAATATGGGGTATTCCATTTAAAATTGTCGACTTTCTCACCATTGAATATACAGTAACGGTAATTCAATTTTTAACCAGCCTGTGTATAAGATACTCTGATACAACAAATGACAGCCCATTTGACACCATCTAAAGAGTAATCGTGCCAATTCAGAGCTTTTTTTGGATGAACGTTGGCTGAGATATGGGGTTTTAAAAAGCATGGCGAAATTTGCCAAAAAAGCATTCCATTTAAAATTACGATCTACTTCCGGTAGATCGGAAGTGGCGGCCATTTTGAAAATATTTAGATCGAAAGTTTCGAATGAACAATCCATGCTACCAAAGTTTCAAAACTTACTGGAACCTAAAAAAGTTGTAACGAACCAGTTACGTGAGACACCCTGTATATTATTAAACTAAAACTATTTATATGTATAAATAGGAACTCAAATATTCTTAATAATAAGTCATATTATAAAAATGCTTCTTGTTATTCTTCATCTTGTTTACAGTGTGTGTAAATAACATTTACTATTTTTGTACTATATACCCTGTATATACAGGATGGTCACTTCTAAAGGGAAACTCCTCTTTGTATAAGAGATAGAGGGAAAATGATATCAGTGTCTGAGGCTCGATTTTTATAAGAAACTTAATGGCGAAAACCGCATATCGATATCTTTTACGGTTTCAGAGATACAGGGTGTTTTTCAAAAAAGTCCATTTTCGAAAAATCTCCATTTCTGTGAAAACATTGGACGACTGAAGACAGCTACCAATAACAAAACTACAATAAACGATGTGTCACATCATTAATTTTTCACAATTGTTGAAACTGTCATTTTTTTTGATATTTAAAGCTGTCAACGGCGTTATTTCGGCGCCTACTTTGATTATAATTTGTTGGCATAATATTTTCAAAAAACGCATTTTTTTTATACAACCATATGATTTGATACAACCTCTATTAAAGTATGCAAAAAAAAACATGCATCCCATTTAAAATAACAATGTTGGTTGCCATAGTAACGAAACAAAAAACTATACAAACGAGCAAATATCGCCAAAAAATGCGCCACGATTAATAAAGAAAGTTGTATTTGAAACATTTTTCTTTAAAACCACAAATGGGGAAGTTATTGGCTATATTAAAGCCATTTGACATACAGGGTGTATAAAAGTATAAACTAATTGCATACAGGGTTAAAGAAAAGTTAATTTTTTTTAACCTTAGTGTTACCAACAGGGAATGAAAGGAACCTCATGTATTGTTTCTTAGGAATAAAATGTAAAATTTATTAATTTGACTTTGATGTGTTTCAACAAAAAAAAAGTGTGTCATAATAGACACATTTCAAAATAATACCTGAGGTTCCTCACATACCCCACTTGGTCACAATCATTAAGTTGTTTATCATGGTAATGCAAGGGTTGAGAACTAGAATTACTGCCTCAGCTTCCAAGTATTTACACTTTAGTGTAAACCTGTCATTTACCTTTGTCTTGATTTGGTTCTAACATCTTCTTCTAAAAGTCTCCTTCGTGCTTCTTCTAATTGTACAGCTGTATTAGGGATAGGAAGTGGGGGCATATTCGGATCGGCGACAAACGGTTGTGCGGGGCCCAAACTTCCCGCGGCAGTAGCTCGTTCCAAAGAACTTGACCTTGAACCATGTCCTTTTCGATGCCTTCCCGCCCCAGGACTAACAGCGCTCGGAGGACGATGACCGCGATATTTCCCGGACAACTCACTATGCGTGTAAGCGGTCGTTCGGGTACCTTTATCCGATTCCATCAACCACGCGATAACTCGAGTGTCTTTCGCAGGCAACGCATGGCAACTTTGCGAATTATCCGACACAACGGAAACTCCACTATCGGTTAAATCGGTTAACGTTTTCTTAGACGATCTGAATTAAGAGATAATTAAAATGCGATTAAAAGTAAGGGGGGGATTTATTTACCGTCTTCCAGGAACTCCTCTCGTAAATCTTTCATCGGAATATTCGGGCGTACTTTTTGATTTGACCATCTTGTGATCTGATAAAGTGTCAAGGGCGTAGTCGTGCACGTTTCCTGAGTCGCTACTGAACGTTGAAAAACCATCTTTTTCTTTTCTACGTGGTCTATAACCAAGAGCCCATCTAAAAAAATTAAAGTAATGAATAAAAATAAATTTGATTAATTAACTATGAAATACAAAGTGATGTTTTGTCAAGTATATATTGGAAGATATTGAAGAAAGATAACTTTATGCGATATCAAAGTGGTATTAAAATAATTTGGAACGATCTTGATTATAGTTAAGAATAATGTTGAGGTTGGATTGATTGATATTGTTACATTATTAACATAATAAAACATGGGACAATATTATTATGGTTGCGTAAGATACAGAAAGAAAGGAAAGTAAAATTAATTAACCAGTTTTAATAATTGTAATAACATAACAAAACAAAATAATAACTCAAATTAATCGTATTTTAGGTATTATAAGTGAAATGTGAGATAAAAAACAACGAATAATAATGAAATTGAATATTATAACTTATCTTAATCTTGTAGATTAATGAAGTTCTCGGATAAGGAAACTTGGACTCTTCAAAAAGGAATTGATAACAAAGATTCTTAATTGGATTAATTCTTCGGAATGGTATACTGGATTAATTGCATCAGGAACCAGTTAATTTTCTTGTTAATTATTAAAGGTGAATAACTTTAATTCAAATAATCTTATTTAACTTATTAAATAAGTTTACTATTTTTGAGGTTATGTCACATGGTTGACAGGTAACCTAAGTTTTTCTTTTCGATTTTTAAATGACCGCGGAAAAAATTGCATGCACTCCCCTTCACGTTCGAAATCACACTAAAATCTACCAGTTTCGTTTGTTTAATGCTAAAACGTTTTAAATAACGTCTTCTCATTGGTTAAATTCTTCAACTTGAAATTCGTAATTTAAATTTCTCCGGTATAGCCAACTTTGAAATGTCAAATGTTACCAATTAAATTTTATCAAAAATTATTAAAATTTCTATTTTAACAATATTTATGTATGAAGTGGGTTTAGTTTTGTTGCTTTAACGTTGTTTGTGTTGATTTCGGAACATTTTCTTTTAGATTTCAACGTCCAGCTTCAAAAATATATTCAAATATTTAATCTACGGAATTTCGTCCAATTTTTCATCAAAACTCCCATATGATGGATGGTTTTCGTTCTTGACATGCTAAGATTATCGTTTTGAATAGTTTCAACCGGACTAACATGAACGACAAAAAGAAATTAATGAAAAATGAAATTTGAGGTTATGTTACTGTCAAAATTCTACAAAACTACTTTGTATTGAGTTTACATGGATTTAATACAATAAAAAAAAGTAAATGGTCAATAATACATAATGAATTCTATCATATTGACAACATTTTATTAATACATAAGCAAATTTTTGTAGTTATTATTCGTAATCTCACCTACAATTAATACGATTATATAAAATTTAAACAAAAATAATGAATGACTTGGTTTGGTTATATTATTACAGTACATATTGTTGTGTACATAAGTTGGCAAAAATTAAGTTGCTTCAATATTTATATTGATACCACCTATACCAGTGGTGTCCAGAATTGTTGATTTTCAAAAATTAACTCAATTATAACTCAAAAACTAAAAGCGATGGGGAAATACTTTTTATACATAAAACCTTAGTAATGGACCATAAAGACTAGATCCATAAAAAGATTGAACCCAATTATTACCATTTTTTATTTATAAGCTCTAAATCGATTAAACATCAAAATTGTTGATTTTCGAAAATTAACTCAATCATAACTCAAAAACTAAAAGCGATGGAGAAAAACTTTTTATACATAAAACCTTAGTAATGGGCGATAAAGACTAGATCCATAACAAGATTGAACCCAATTATTACCATTTTTTATTTATAAGCTCTAAATCAGTGGTGACCATAACGTCGATTGCCAAAAAAATCATGAATCTGAATGAAATATCTATCTCTGGGCCTCAGAGCAAAAAAAAAGAAGGTTACTTTAAACCTTTCGGTCGATCTTGGCAAGACATTTATATAAAAAGTCGATCTTGATCAAAAATTAGTGGACAACACTGACCTATACTAATAGATGCTAGAAACTATATTATGGAGTACCAAGGATAATGTTTGAATGGTACTGAAGAATGGACTGAAACTATGGCATCAGTTAATACAAAAAAAAATAATCAACCTAAGTAGAATAAAACATTTTCCGTCATTCTGGATCTTCAACATGATCCAATAATTGTATTCTTTAACATATCTCCCCATGCAGTGTATATTTACCTATTTCTTGTTGGTGAATGTGATCTTGGACTTTTCGTTGGTGTTAAATCCTTGAAAACCCTGGAAACGTGTTGATCTAAAATATCTTGATCGTTATCATCCTCCAATTGTAATTTAGCACAAATCGCATTCGCCAAATGTAACGAACTGGTCGATTCACTCTAAAAAAAAAAGTAAATAGATAAATTGATTGACACTTTTTGTCAAAATATAGTAATAATAATTAATCGAAATTGCAGTCGCAAAACGTCATGATGGGTGGGAAAAAATGGGGTCGAAAGTGGAATAACCCAGCTTCAGATGTATCCGAAAATACAACAAAATCCGTTTGTAGCGGTTCATCGAAACGTCGCGGTAGTGGTGCAAAAAAGAATCATTTGGAATACCTCGCCTTGCCCAACATACACGTCGTCTCGGGAGTCTTGAAGGATCATTTTAAAACGCTCGACCAAACCCACGTTGCACGATTAGAACATCTTATCGATCAAATCAAAACGAAACATGACGAATGTTTTCCGAAAATTCCCAAATTCAACAATAAAAAAACCAAGAAAAATGACAAAAAGGAAGACGATGTTACAGAGATTTTTAGTAATCTTTCGATGATTAAAAGCGACGAGGAAACTTGGAGTACTTTAACACCATTAAAAGTCGAAAATTTAAATCAAGATGCTGATAAAAAATTAATTTCAACGAAATGTAACGAATCTCAAACATCGTATCATAAGATTTCTTATAAATCGGTAAATACAAGTTGTGTTAATTTGGTTGATGTTGCTACGAGTTTCCATGAAACTCAAAATTCAGAGTCATCAATAAAATCTATCAAACACAAATCAAGTATTGATTCGTTAGAACCCACAACGATGTTAGTAACGCATCAAGAGCCAATTATGATCCCATCAGTGCAATTTATTGAGAGTGGCGGGGATAGCTTTTACAGTTGTAGCACGGAATTAAGTAACTTTTCGAATAAATTAATCATGATAAAAATTTGTTTATCCGACGCATCGAACGATATCGCGCTCGATTGCAAATTAACGAATAAAAAAATCGAAAAAAGTTTTCCGTTTAACCCGAGGGATCGCTTAAATGGAATTTATCGCCTTTTCGAATCTTATAAACAAACGTTTTTGGAATTATTAGCGGTGACGAATTTTTCTTCGAACTTTAAATGCGTGTATTTGTGCTTATGGGGGATCGTGCAAGTTTTTTGGTCACTTTGTGCACCAAAATTTTCGCATTTAATCCGGCTAAAACCGCAACAAAAAAAGAATGTGAGAGATAAAGAGGATTCTGATAGCCTTTCAGAGCCGAAATTAAATAAATTCTTTCTCGAGCGACATTATAATCGGAGAAAAGAAGAAATCGTTGAAATGTTTCGTGTTAGTAATGTTTGTTCGATTTTGAGTTAATCTAAATTAATAAATTCTTAGTTTTAATGTTTACGATTTTTATAAAATGTCATTATTTTCTTTTCTGCAAAGACAAAGTTTTGTGTTTTCTTTTTACCAACTTTTTTATAAAATTTCTAAACACCGCCGAAATCTAGTGTCGAAATTTACAGTTTCCTGTAAATTACGCGACGTTAGGTAAAATCTAAAAAGTTAATAATTAAATAAGAAGATAACTTATGGTATTTAAAAACAAATAATTATGTTTATTTTATTTACATCAACTGTTAATACGGAAATATTTAATGGATTGTATTGTCTTGGATTGGAGAAATTTACAGGAAACTGTAAATTTAATTTCTTCGACGACACTAAAAAAAAAGTTTGTTTTTAGCTTTGTTCTAAAACAATAAGAAATAAACATGTCGAACCTTATATTTTTGTAATCAGAAAAAAATAACGAATTTAATAAGCGAATAATCAGTTTTTGTTTCCATTTAAAAAAATTAAAATTGTCATAATATCTCAAAATCTAAACCCGAAAAATTTTTTTTGACTACCTCATCAAATTCTCTGTAAAAAAGTGTCCATATAATGTCTTAGTTATAATACTCCACCTATAATAATAACCAAGATAATTGCATTTGCTAGTTTTACGATATTTTCAATTTTGGCCTCTAGGGGAAAAACAAAAGACGATAGCGCTTTAAGGTTTTCGACATTGGAATGTGTTTAAAAAAAGAGATTGAGAAATATGAGCTACTTTTTTTCTAACTCTTATAGTTTCCAAGATAGCCTATTCAGACATTGAATTTGAACCACCCTGTATGTACAACACTTCATAGATTATAACATGATAAAAACGCAGTACCATAACTAACTATTATAACCAATCATTTTAAACAATTTCCAAGAGCCAACACTGATTTAGTGAAAAAAATTGTTTAGTTGTTATGGAAGGAATACCTAACGTTTTGAAAAAATTTAAACATCTCTCTCCAGTTAAGGTTTCCTCAAAAAAGCAAAAACCCAGGGCAGTATCCCGTACTATGCATTATTTAATTTTGTTGTAACATTTTGTTTTGCCATTTTGTTGTAACTGATGTTTATTTTGAATAACTTAACAACCAGTTAAGATGATGTAACTGCTCGATTAACAATGGATTTACTGGAATCAAATTGCAAAAAAATTTAAATCTTTAGGGATTTTTCCATTTATAATGATTTTATCGCCTATATCCGCTACTTTACAGACAGACTGTATGTACGCGCCATTTAATGTTGTTCTATAACTAACCTCTTTTAATTTCCTGTCTAATAATTCTTGGGAATCCTGTTCTTTTTTCACACATTTTAATTTTTCGATTAAAATAGCTGCAAATTCGTCAGGGTTTAACATATATTGTCTCGTATCGATTCGTTGCGTTCTGGGGATAACAGCTTGATGAAGATGAGTCTCTTTGTTTAAAGCCGCCGATTCCCTTGCTTGCCTCGCATCGGAATTCGTTTTTCTTCTAGAGCGCCCCAAAGATCTCCCATCACTAAATAAATTATTAATCATTAATTTCTGATTAACGAATAAGATTTAAAATGAAATTAAAAAAAGAAAAATAACATGCACCATGCGCCTCTTCGATTTCTTACCTTTTAATTAAGTTTATTAATACGGTTGTGTTGTTAATTTTGTTTTTAATTTTTAATTTATACTCACATTGAACTATCAGTCATTGACAGGTTATCGGATTCGGTTCGGGCGTCTGAATGACTGCTTAGCGACTGCCTTTCGCTGTGTTGTCTTGAAACCGGGTTGTACGAGCTGTAGAGTGAATGTTGCACAGCCATGCCGCGGTAAATAAATGAACTAAAACGCCACACGCAAAACAGGAAAATAAAAAAAAAAACTTTCAAGCAATTCACAATCAAAATTAAAGGAAAAAATAATTTAAAAATTCAAATTTAGTCCGAAACTTACTCAACGTAAGCTTCGGGTTTCGGCCGTACATCCATCGCTCGATGCTTTTGTGTCACCAATAGGTTATCTTTCGTTAATCGGAAATTTGGGGTTTGATAACCAGTACTCATACATCCGGTTCCTAAAACAAATTTCATTAAAAACCATTTTTTAATGTAAATAAGAAACTTTCAGGTTAAGACAAAAATTAATGCGCCACTTAATGAAGCACTATGTTAACACTACTGTGGCCCATATGATCTTAATTAGAGAGTACCAGTTAAAGATGCTACATAAATCATGATTTTTATAAAAAAATCTAAATCAATGATATGATACAAAAATATACAAGAAAACAATATACAAGGACTAGTTCAAAGGTTCAGAGAACACCATGAAAAGTGCAAGCTCAGGATCTCTAATGGAGAAGACCCCAAAATAGTATTTACTACAACTTAAAAAGACTTAAAAAATATTCTTAAGATGTTCACCACTTCCGGTCTAGCGAAAATAGATTACTTAGTTATTTTAAATGGAATACTATATATTATTGTGTATTTTTTTGTAATTATCACCACTGTTTAAACAAATGAAATAAAATTTGTCATACGAAGATATGTCAAATTCAGAAATTATTATCTCAAGAACGAAAAGAGATATTTAAATGCGGTTTTGTTCGCGAGAAAGTACGTACTTTATTCTATAAGATGGGAGTATTTCATTACGATATCTTGAGAATTCGATTTTTTCCGATTTTTTAAAATAATTGTAAAAAGTTTTTAATTTCATAAAGTTACTCAAATTCAAAAATTATTATCTCAAGAACAAATTGAGATATTCATGTACGGCTTTGTACGCGTAAAAGTACATACTTTCTTCTGTAAAGTGGGAATGTTCCATAAAGATATCTTAAGAATTCGATTTTTCTCGATTTTTTAAAAATAATGCGATACAATTTTTTTATTACATAATTGAGGTTGAGTTAAAAAATTATTATCTCAAGAACGAAAAGAGATATTTAAATACGGTTTTATTCGCGAGAAAGTACGTACTTTATTCTATAAGATGGGAGTATTTCATTAAGATATCTTAAGAATTCGATTTTTTGCGATTTTTTAAAATAATTGTAAAAAGTTTTTAATTTCATATTCTTAAAATAATTGTAGCTGAAATAAAGCATAAGTGCTGCCAAGTGATATGAGGTGGAATAGTATAATGAAATAAAATCATACAGGGTGATTAATTGATAACAAATTGAGATCAATTTAGGCATTTCAAAGGGTTGATTAAAAGTTATGGTAATTTTGACAGATTTTTTAAATTCTAAAACTTTTTTTACTCTTATTATTTTTTAAAAAAACTTTGTCGTTTTCATAAAAAAAGTCAAATAATTAAAGACACGTATTTCTTTAATGTTTAACGTTAAAATCAGCGAAAATTCAGTAGTCGGCTATGAAATTGCACGTTAAACTTGACAAATGAGTTATAAAACCTTGCCGTTTACATAAAAAACGAAAATAGTAAACAAAAATGATGTAATGACTCAATTGGTTTCAACTTGCTACCAATTAAAACCTCTGTTACACTCATAACGTATACCAAATTTGGTTTTTCTTAATGTATTATGAAGATATTGAATATTTTAAAAAACCCTCAGGGGTACAACTTAGTATAGAGATAAGTTGCGTTAAATCGTCTTAATTTATTGTCCTCTACATGTCCCTGTTCTGTGTCGGTTCTTATGTGAATCACCCTGTATATAGGCATCATCCCTTTATTTTGATTGCATTAATGTTTGTTCTTTTGAACTTGAAAGTTTCTAGTTCTAGACATTGTGTTGTAAGGTTAGTTCAAAAAATTGTATATAATAACCTGGAGTTAAACCGAGTGGTGCTGATGAAACTGAACGAAATTCGGAATCTTCATAAATAATGGGAAGTGGATCAGGTCCCGTTTGAAGGTTAGAAACTTCTCGTAAACTCGCTGAACTACTCGATGAGCTAGATTCGCTACTAAACTCACTGCTGCTGCCACCAATCGGATTCTGAACAAGTTGTACTAATAGTAAATACGCGTCGCTTTTTAAAAAGTTCGGATAGGTCGTATTGTTTATTAAGTTTTCTATGTGAAATTGTGATTCGTCGAAAATTTCGGCCCCCAATTCGGAAGGACACGACGATTTCACACGACGAGTGACCTCGCGACGGATTTCGTCGGGAATTGGAAGAAGAAATTTTCCAAAGTATTTTCTATAAATAAAAAATTAAATTAAAATAATTAAAATAGTGTTATAAATTTTATTACCTATAAATAACTTTAACTAGTTGACTTTTCCTATCATGTTCCCGAACCATCCTTAACCCATTACACGCAAACCAAAAATCTAAAGCATCCGCATGATGTCCACCTTCCGCTTCTAAATATTTTCGAAACTCGGCGACTCCATCCGGATCATCTAATAACTTATGTAACGATTTCGCCCATCGTAAACAACCGGGAGAAGTTTCAGAACCCTTATCGGGTTTAACAAGAACCAAATTGGGTTTATATGATGGTTCCAAGTCATAACAGCCATCTAAAAATTAATTAGATTAAATCAAAAACAAAAAAATTACACAGGTCTGAGCCCAAAAAAACTTTTTTGACACTGAAAGACAATCTTTATTGATTTTTGGGTGCTGAATACGGGTAAAATAATGAAAAATTTCCATCACCCTTGGTTTTTTTTTAAAACTTGTCATCAAAAATACCAGAGAAACATTACAGACTTTGTTAGAAAAGTGTATTACTCCTATTTCGTTGTGCGACTTGGGAATAATCAAGGGTATAATCAATCAAAAGACGCTAAGGAAGAAATCATAATCAGTAAGAATGCAGTAACCAACAACTGGACATCTTCAGATTTAGTTTTGCAAAATACAAAACCAAATCTCAATAGGAAATATTTGTGTGAAATTTAATGACATTTTTTATATACCAGGAGACAAATTAACAACTACAAATTTATATAAACAAACAATAACGCTCAAAGATAATGTGGTCCCAACTTATTCAAAACCATATCGACTCCCTCATTCTAAAAGGTGAAATAGAACGTCAAATTAAAGAAATGACTGAAAATAACATAGAGAAAGTACAGAGCGACTGGTCATCTCCGATACTATTAGTACCAAAAAAATTTTATAGTAAGACACACAAGAATTGGAGAATTGTGGAAAAATTTTAGATGATAAGTTTCCATTATCTAACATTACAGATATATTTGATTCATTAGCTGACACAATTTACTTTTCTCACTTAGACCCTAAGTCAAAGACACTATCAATTAGAAAGAACCAAAATGTAGAAAATATAAAGCTTGTAGTACAAATAAAGGTCAATATCAGATGAAACGCCTTCCCATGGATCTTAAAATAAGTCCTCATGCTTGTTCACGTTTAATGACATTGCGACATAATTGTTTAACTGTCAATTTTTTGACATTTAAAGCTGTTAACGGCGTTATTTCGGCGCCTACTTTAATTGTATTTTGCTGATTTAGTATTTTCAGAAAACGCATTTTTTTTCGATTTTTTTCTAATACAACCATATGATTTGATATGTTTATCGCGTAGAGGGATTTATAATCTATTAAAATATGCAAAAAAAACATATGTATGCCATTTAAAATAACAATGTTGGTTGCCATAGCAACGAAACAAAGAACAATGTAAACAAGCAAGTTTGGCGCCAAAAAATGCGCCACAACTAATAAAGAATTTTTTATTTGAAACATTTTTCTTTAAAACCACAAATGGCGAAGTTATTGGCTATATTCCAGATATTTGACACACCCTGTATATTTAGATGATTTAGTAGTATTTGGTAGAAATTTACAAGATCATAACAAAAATTTAATGAAAGTATTTAATAGATTGCGTAAAGTAAATTTAAAACTTAACCCAGCAAAGTGTACTTTTCTAAAAAAAGAATTATTGTATTTAGGACACATAATTGTTGATCATGGTATTCAACCAGATCCAGAAAAGATTCAAATTTTAAAAAATTATCCTTTACTAAAAAACAATGATGAAGTAAAACGAAATATATTCCCAAGTTTGCCCAAAAAACAATTTCACTTAATAAATTATGTAGAAAAAATGCAGTATTCAATTGGTCAAAGTCATGTCAAAAGTCACTCGGATTCTGACATCAATTCAACTAAAAGAAATGAATGAAAACATAATTTCAGTAATGACTAGAGCACAAGTAAGAAAAGAGCAAGAAGTGGATAGTAAATTATTAGCAAATAATGATCAAAATAAGTAACATTATTTTAACATAATAATTAATGAAATTAGGAAATCGTTAAATAAGATAAACCACGATTCGTCTAAGAATGGATTTTTTTTATGTACCATCAAAATCTGTTATATTTTACGATCAAAAATCTTTATCACCAACTGCCCCAGACGCACTGCTGAAAGAATTGGTCTTATTATGTAAACAAGAAAAAATTGATAATATAAATTATATAAAAAATAAGGCTGATTTTAGTCTTTTAGAAAAAATTCTGCAAGCGATAAATAGGAACTCCAATTGGACCAGTCCCCCACTAAATATAATTAAAGGAGTTCAGCAAGTAACAGATAGAGATATAAAAAAGATTATTTTAAACGATTTTCACTTATTACCAAGTAGTGCTCATGCAGATGTTAAAAGAATGGTAAATAACATTAAAAAATATATGAATAAAGATAACTTTGTGAAAAAGTGTGATTCAAAAATTCATTTCAAAAAATTTATCTAGATGTTGTAGGTCCATTAAAATAAGATGATAATGATAATTCCTACATCTTAACATTGCAATGTGAACTAACAAAATATACAGAGGCATACCCAGTTAAAACACAAGATTTTGTCACAATAGCTAGAGCATTTGTTGACAACTTTGTATTGAGATATGGCATTCCAAATGGGATTGCAACCGATAGAGGCACTGAATTTATTTCATCTACTTTCAATGAGATATGTAAAGTACTTAAAGTCAAACAACTTCAATCTACCGCTTATCATCATGAAAGTATAGTTTCGTTAGAAAACTCACATAAGTCGTTAGGTGCTTGTCTTAGAATCCAAACATATTGGTCATTCTCTTATAACACCAACCTTTACAGAGGTGCTAAAAAAATTAATTATACAGATCATAACTGGATAGTTTGTAGTTTTGGGCATGATGCTTGGTCTGCAGGGAGGAAACATTAAGTACCCATGTTTTATTTGTGAATAGGGTAGCAGCGCAAGGAATGAACACTGGATTAAAAAAGTATGGCCAACCCAACAAACATTGGGGCCTAGAAAAATTTCTCTTCCCCCTCTTCACATCAAGTTAGGACTCATGAAAGAATTCGTCAAAACTTGGTGACTATTTTCAATACCTTTGCAGTTTCCACATTTGTCAGAAGCAAAACTAAAAGAAGGAATTTTTGACACACATAAACTAATACTTGATGAGAAATTTCGGTACACAATGTCAGGTGTTGAAAGAGAAGCTTGGAATATTTTCAAAAAGGTAATCATTAGATTTTTAGCGAATTGAAAATGGAAAATCTTGGCTGCCTAATGAACAAAAAAGTTCAATTTCTACATTTTTGTTTGGATTTCTTCCCTGAAAACTTGGGTAGGGTGAACATTTTCATCAGGATATTAAGGTCATGAAGAGGAGATATCATCATTTTAGGATTCAGTACCTTTCAAAACTGTTAGATCACCATAAATAATCAAAAAAGTTTTTATGAAATTAATTTTTGCAGGCCTGTGTTATTTTAATTACCATAATTTTGTCGATAGGGAGGCAATGTGGTGATCCGATGATCCGTACATGACCATTCGGGGGCCACGCGTAGTTCCCGTTCTTCTCCGGGCACCGGGGGCCTTGGCAAGTTATGGTCGAAACCGTCATCGTGCGCTGTGTGTCTCCGATGGTGGCTCCTCGCCTCCCGCTCGGTCATGTTAAATGGGGTAAGGGCCAAGGGGCGCTACTTTGTCTCTGCGGTCGAGTCCGTGCTGAATCGCGGGTTCTCTCGACGAACTACTCTTCATTTCGAACTGTGGTGCACTAAAAATTAAAAAAAAAACCATTTTTAATCTCAATATCTTATAAATAAATAAATAAATGTGTTGTAATAAGTTTAATAACAAAAAGAATTTAATCCCTCCTTCCATTTCCTTTTAATATAAACGATCAATACTATTCCCTAATTGTACACTCTCCGAAGAACCCGGTGAAGCCCGAACATACTCGATACCCACCATATTTCCTTTGTTAAATCATTTTTTTTACCTGAATTATTTCTATACCTGTTTTGACAAGCCCGTCATAAGTAATTAAACTCATAAACCGTGTTCTAAACATAACAAAAACCTCCCAACGAATCTATTCACCCTATAAACTTCCTATACATACCATCATGGCACGATACACACTCGGAAACACTTCTCAATAGAATATTTCTTTATTATGAGCTTATTATCTTTATTATAAAAGATTAAACTATTATTTGGGTTAGTTTAAAGCCAAATAATACAATATTTCTCGTCAAGAGTTCACTTCGGAGGCAGAAACCGTGCACTGGTTTAGACACCGTGATCGAGAATGAACCTACGGGGTGGATTTCAACTGCGCAAGATGCTGGGTAGGATCAATTGCTGCATCATGAGTCATCTGGGTTCACCCTTATTTCATACAACCCTCTTTATGCTTTTTAATATCTATAATACCACAAAATAATAACTCCGGAGGCTTTTTGTTGTTCCGATAATCTGTAAATATAAATACTTATTAAAATAATAACACTTACTATAAAAGGATAATATTCGAGCCGATTACATTAATTTTCATGGTATAAATAAGGATTTGTATTAACAATAAGAATAAAATAACTATTTTGATAACCCAACTTTTTAGGTACGATGAGAATTATGTTACACCATATAAACATAACAAATTATAATAAACTATATTTGATAAACATCAACAACAATCGTTTTTATGCTTTAAATTATAAATAATTACTTAAAAGTTTGAAAATAACCTATAAACAAAGCTAAATAAAAATAACTGTCAAAAAGAACTCCTAACTTCAAGTTTGGAGTGCGTCCGAAAGATGTCACCACCACCGATTTATAGATCCCTGTAAAATTTGTTGATTTTTAAATAAAATTGAAAAAAATTAACAACAAATTTAATTAAACAATGAATCTAAAACAATTTATAATTAATAAGTAAATTAATAATTAATCTTTTTTTAGATAGATTAATAAACACCTGAAAAAAAAAGAAAATAAATTAATTTAAATAATAAAATTAATAATAACATTAATAAATAATTCAATAAAGTTTAAGATTCAACTAACATAATAGTTTGCTGTTATGTTTAGTACTCCTGGTAGGGTTTGGTTGGTTCTGTGGCGGCGAAGAGAGAAGGTCATAGACCTTCACGGGCGTCTTCCAGTGCGAAGCATCAAAGGGCGAAGCCGCCCGATGTCTCCGGTTCATGTTTAATGTGCCGCCGGCCGTATACGGAAAGACGAACGAGACGGACAGGAGAAGCAGAAGAAGATGAACGAAGAAAGATGAGAACGCAAGATGTAGAAGAACAACGCAACGAAGAAGTAGTAGAAGAACCACCTTGACCAGTAGTTGAAAAAAAGCAAAAATCTCTTTTAATCGGCATTTAAAAACCAAACAACTACTTAACGGTACACAAAGAGTTGGATTCGAAAATTTTTTTTGTTTTCAAATGTAAAAGAAAGTTGACGAGGAAATTTTTTTTATGTAGAAGAAGCTGGAGATGGGAATTAAGTTGTAAGCTGAGACGACGACGGCTTCGGGGAAGAACGCGAAATCATAATTATATAGCAGCCGCCACACCTTCCGTGACCGATGCGAAGTTTGCCCCTTCGAGGTTAACCTCGCGGCGATTTTGAAACTGTAACGGATGCGGGACCATTCATTTGGGCGTTAAAGCGTGACGAGGAGCACTAATTTTACCTGCGGAGGTTTATGTAATGGGCAACCCGTGAATTAAAAAAAAGAACTCTCTCTCTCCACTTCGAATTCGAAATCGTGGCCACATTAAAACAATTCTTTCTGTTACCAAACTAAGCAAGAAAATTTAGTTAATTACCCAGAATTGGCATAATACTTACAATAAAGTGATTGTCACCGATGGGTTTCTGAAATCACTGGAGAGCCTGAAATAAATAAACGTGCCATTAATATTATTTAGTAACAATACTTATTGTATTTATAATCCAAAATGTAACTTTCATAACTTTTTCTTATCAATAATATTCATCGATGAATCAGCGATGAATTTTTTTATCTATAAAACCACTACTCTGTTTACTTTGAAATAGTAATCAATGACACTTTCAAGGTATTCATGAAATTTGTGGTTTTGTTATTACGTTTCACAAAAAGAAAGGTAAATTATTATTTAATTTTTAAATTAAGAGACGTTTACGCATTTGGGTGATATATATTCATTATTAACTGGAAGTGTATATAATTAAAAAGTTAAGATAGATGCAAAAATTTTACTCAAAAATGCTTAAAAGACAATTCAACTACGCAAGGAGTTATGCAAAGGTATAAAGTTTGATTACAACATTCTTGGCAGAAGGTAAAGTAGTTAAGGAATTAAAGATGATGGAGTCCCTTCTAGAAATTCTTGTAAACACTTAGATACCTTTGAAATCCTTAGGTATGCCCAAATACCTTAGGTATGCCCAAATAAGGGTTTTTGTGTTAGGTTGGGTTGGAAATATCCTCGGAATTGATTAAAAAGTTCTTGACATACTTGGAAATGTTTATAAACTATTTGAAAATTCTTTGACAATTTTTAAAATTCTTTAAAATCCTATGGAAAACTGCAGATATTCCTAAATATCTCGAAAAATCATTCTTGGTATTTTCTATGACGATTTGTATCGATTATATTTTTCCTGGAAAATAAATATTTGATGGCAACCTTTCAAAAATGCTTAGATATTCTTCTAGAAATTCTTGTAAACACTTAGGCATCTTTAAAACCTTAGGTATGCCCAAATAAGGGTTTTTGTGTTAGGTTGGGTTGGAAAAAAATCCTCGGAATTGATTAATAAGTTCTGGACATACTTGGAAATGTTTATAAACTATTTGAAAATTCTTTGACAATTTTTAAAATTCTTTAAATCCTAAGCAAACTGCAGATATTCCTAAATATCTCGAAAAATCATTTTTGATATTCTTGTTGGATTCACGAATATCCATGGAAATTAAAGTCATCAGAAAAATGTGTGTTTGAAAGACGAAGAAACGTTAAGAAATTAAAAGATATCCTTGAAAATTGTCTGAGAAGTCACAGGAATTCTTTGGAAATTTTTTGATCCTCTTGGAAATCATTAAATATCTTGAAGTTCTAGACAATTTTTTATAGTATATATAACCCAAATACCAAAACCACACTTTTTTTATTAAATAATATATTATAACCTTTAATTTAATCTTTATAGGTTACAAAGAACTTAATTTAACGGAACAAATAAGTAAAGTACAAATTAACTCGACCACCCTATTTATTTACCCTTTGAAAACAAATCGCGACGTTTAATTAAACCCCCTCAGGCGTTTTTATAAATCGATTTTTCTGCAAGGAATCACACTTATTATCCAACTTTGAAACGAACATCATGTTACGCCACTGGTTAATATTGTATCTAATCGTGGTAACTCCAATTATGGGTTATCCTGTTGTTATTACATTAAAAAATGTGGTGAGTAATAAATTTTCATTGAGAACTTTATTATTTAAATTAATTTTTTTTAATTGTAGGAAAATGAGGAACCAAATTATGGAATAATTTTAGCCCGGTTGAAACGGAATGAGATAACTTCATCCGTGCAGGATTTAAAACATATATTAAGGCTTGGATAATGTTGTGTATAATTTAATAAATTTGTTTTGTAAAGATAGACATTTTCATTTGCTGTCAGATAAAGGAGTGATTTTGGGGTTAATTTAAGCAGGAAATGCATCCCGGTTGTTATTGGACTGTCGAAGGCAGAGAACGAAGAATTAACCTATCCGCTGGAGAAGTTGATTTTTCGATCGTAAGTCGAAGGTATTTTTTTTGTTCTTTCTTTTTCATCCGGATGGCACCAAAGAAGCCGCTGAAGAAGGTGGGGGACACTCCCCGTGCCCTCCCGCAGGCAGATGTTCGTTGTGAAGTGCCGCGAGGTCAGACCAAAGAGGCCGTTTGCCGCCTCTAAAACAGGACCGTAATAAAGATTTTACACATTTTATTCAAAGATATCAAAAAAACACTTTCTTTTTTCTTTCTTTCTATTTTTCGTGGTGTGTGAAAGAAAGGCATAGTTTTTACCGGTTAACACCGTTTCGCACTTAGGACGGGGTCGGGCGGAAAGCGGGGCAAATTAATTATTTAGAGCGGTGTCGCTCGGCTCTTTTTCACTATTCATGAGGGTGAGTGAGTGAGCGAGCTCGAGGGCTTTCCGGGACACTTGACTCCCGCGGGAGTTGAGGCGCGAGGTGACGCCTTCCTCGGCGGAAGAAATTTCCCAACCGGAAAAGGGGAAAATCGTAAAACATTTTCACCGACGACCAGATCGGAATTTAATAAACTTTCGCTTTACGGTTGACCACAAGACATATTCCTGCAAAATTTTTTACACATATTATATTCAATTGAATTAGCACTCGAAAAGTATTGCTGTTTATTTCATCTATCAAGATGGACAGTTCCAATATCATCTTCGGCTTGCATGTTGAACCATCTATGGGTGATAATTCGAATCAAATATTCAAGCAAACCCAACCCAACCCCATCTAGTGGCGAGTAGATGTTCTATTAAACGTTAAAGTATAATAAAAAGAATCTTAAGTTCCACAATCTCTTAGTTGTGATCTATCTAATGAACTAATTTGTGATATAACTACTAATGTCAATCAAATGCGTTTGTCGCACTTCGGACTTCTCTTCCTTTGGTAGTAATTAGTCAAAAACCACAGTAAATGCTTCATCATTTACTTCATTCATCATTTACATCATTAACAACAAATCTATGACCTAGAATAAATTCATATACTCGTCTTTTATTACATAGAGTATATTATTTTATGACATATTTAGCTCGTTAGGGTTGGGTTGGGTTACATTATTACTTGGATGCAGGGTATCATCATCGGCTCAACAATCCATTTTGAATCGTTGCCCGCTCTAAAATCTATTCTGCCCGGTCTCTAGCAACGTCCCATCATCTGGATACCTTCAGGGTATTGAGGTCAACCTCTACAGTATCCATCCAACACATACAGAGGCGTTATTGAGTTGCTGCTATAAGCTTCTCAAAAGGCTTATCCTAAGCGGGATTCCCAAAGACTTGTTTCAGAACAGTTTCAAGTTTCAGAACACAATGAAGCTGCACCTACCAAGTGCTTTGCCAAATTAAGTTGTTGGCAAAGAGTTGCTTGGCGTGTCTCTAGTGGCAACTATAATAATAAGCCCCGTGATACCGAATGTTTTTTGTCAACAATTAGGCATCATATCAACATTAGAAAAATCCTGTATATACAAGAAATACATAATATACACAATTTGCTAAGCTGGGATTTCAATGGGAATTAAATGGGTTAGATTTGAACCCTTGAATGTTAGTGTGAGGCAGGATGATAGTCTCACCTCACTGCTCTTCAACATCTTAATGGACGGGATGATAAAGCAAGATGAACCAAGACGAAAAAGGTAATGAAATCAAAAAATGTATCCCGTCGCACGAAGATAAGAATATATCATTCATTTATAAGACCTCTAATGACGTTTACATGGATGAGAACTGACTAAAAATTGCTTACTTTTGGGAGGAAACCGAGGATGCGGTGGGGAGATAATATTGCAGTGAATCTTAAATATCAAACGACCAGTTGGATTGCAGCAAATGGAGGGAAATTGCAAAGTCGAAGTGAAGATGTAAACTTGATAGATATAAACGAGATATAATATATAAATTTTCTGCACATCGGCAATCATATCAACAATCACATATCAACAAGATAGTGATTTTGTAGCAATTACTGGAAATACATTCTTGTAAAAGAGAAGAAGCAAAAAAATTCGGGGAAAATGCGAAATTTGTGAATCTTCGAATGGATAGAAATAGACTGTTAAGGATTGGCAGAGATTGCAGATAAGCATCCAAAATTCCACAATGACGACCTCCAAAAAGATAGAAAGATAGCTGATACAAGAAATACAGGCAGAATAAACTGGAGAGAACAAACCACTATGGCTTACGAAGAAAAGAAGAAGTGATGCATCGTTGTGTACTTGGATGGTTCGTAAATATACAGGGTCTTCCAACTAAAGTTTTTCATTTTAAATTAAAAGAAAACACGGTATTTGGATCTCTGAGATTAACAATATTTGCGACCACATCGGCTTTGCTTAAAGACATGGTCGTTGTTTTGATGAAATTTTTCTTGAAAGTCTTAAACAGTCCTTCTAAATTTCGAGAAATTACACGTCAAAGTAATAAAATAATCGTTTCACTAGCAATGTGGCATGTTACGACATTGTGACAGCGTCGTCCACCATATTCATAGCATCAATTTCGAGCCAAAAAATCAGTTATCGTAGTTCGGCAACACAGTCCATCACTGCAACGGTAACTCCAGCATCATTTCCGAAGTGGTAAGATCACTCAACCAACCTAAAAATCGTGCCAAACTGTCACTCATTGTTGATATAGTGTTTGCTCAACCACTTGTTTTGGATTCTCCTTCGGAGCTTCAAATCTGACAATTTTGCTTGCTGACATAATCAATCAATCAGCGATCTTGTGGCTTTAATTCTTGCATAAGCTGGACTTTGTAAGCAAAATACGGTGCAAACTAGGTTTTGATAAGTCTAATTGTTGTCGAGGCGTCATAATCAGTACTCGTTAATCTTAATGCTTAAGAGTTATTGCTTATCAATGCTTGGTACACAAAATTATTACGTTCTGACAAATTCCACTCTTACATGTCAATAATCCTTATCTTTGAATGACACTGACATTTAATTTCATAACCTACAAATTTTGGGTTAGTGTTAATTTTTTTCTGAATATCACTACTTAAAAGATTGTGTTACGTGATTACCAATCCACATTAAAATTGATGTTCATTTGATAAACAATTTTTTTTGCACGATTATTTATTGAAGCGGTATTTTGAAAGTGTCGGTAAAGATCAAAAGACGACGTCTCAAGGTTAATTCGCCGCTTTTATCAATTGCATATACGCGGAGAACTCCGCCTATAGTGTTTTTTGCGTTCAACTAATTTTAGATGGCTACGTTCTGGCCTTATCGCCAACTCAAACCCAACCACCGCTTGCCTTGCCTTGCCTTTCCTCCTCCATCTCTCGAATTGCGGCGGGCGCCATCCGGGGATTTATCAATGAACACTCGATACGTTTCAAAACAGGAAAACGAGTTCGATTATAAATGAAATACCAAAAATATTTATGCAAAAAAAATATAATTTCAAGTACTGCAACCAGTAATGATTCATACTTGAGAGTAATGAGAAAAAATTTAAAAACGATTGTTGATCAACGAAACCAACGCACAGAAAATCGAATATTGTATATGAGTGTGTTTGCCAAATATAAACGCGATAGCGGTGCCTTTGATCTTCAAGGAGCGAAGGTCGTCGGCGTGATTTGTTTTAAGAGAAGCGACTCGACCGTTTATTTGAAGGCGCGAACTTACAATATACATTCAACAAATGGGCTGGGTTGGTTAAAATTAAAAATAAAATCCGATATTGAGCCAAAAACAAAACACCCTGTATATTAGATTTTTATTGTATTTGTTATGTTTAGGTATTATAACAGTTTAAAAACTTTTGAGCAGCGCTGGTGTTCTCGAAGCCTCTTAGGCGGGCTGGTTCCGTCTCTTTCTTTCTTGAGCGGCAGCAACAAAAAGAAACCGACCGGCGATGTATAACTTTTTTTCCGAGAAAGAGAACAAAAAGGCCAAAACTCCTCCTTTTACCTACCGCCCGAGGTACGCCGCGCCGACAAAATAAACAGCTGCGGTCGAAATTTAAAAATTTTTCAAGAGTCGCATACCACGGATTCAAACGAAATTTTGACCGTTTAAATACCAAAAAAAAAAGGGTTCCAAAACCCCTTTTTTTAAATACAAAACAAAATATTTACGAAAACTTTCAATAAATACAACAATAAGGGTTAAATTGACAATTACAGTCAGTTCCAATCTCATATCAAATATCCTTTATTTTAGTTGAATCAGTTGAAGCACCTCATGTTCTTCTGCTAAATGCTCCTCCACCACCGCTTCCACCTGTGCAAGTTGCAATTCCTTCTCAAGTTCTACTGGAGTCAGTTCTTGACTATGGTTCTGCAGTAACTCCACCACATCATCCTCAGTAACTTCAAACTCCAAACTTTCGCCAATGATTACAATGTCTTGTACCATATCTTCATCCTCCATAATGTCTTTAAAATGTTTATCAGACGCAAAAGTTTTCTTCATGCTAAATATAATGTATGGCAAAAGACATTGTTATTAAAATGATTCTTCCCGAAATCTCGCCGGGTCAAATCTACGTCATTATTCACCTGGAAACACCGTGAAAAAGGAGTTTTCGTATACATTTTGAAATTACTTGTTCAGCCATTATTGTATGCAGGATTAAGGTCTCTTTTAATATTTGGAGAATGAGCATTGTCCACAAGTAGCACACATTTAAAAGGCAGTTTCTTTTCCTCAAGAACTATTGGTTTGCTATTGGAGTCGTTGTTGTGTGTAGGGTTTTATATAGCAAAGTTTGTTTGCAAATTTTGTTCTGGTACTGAGCTACGAAGAACGAAATACTAGTACTACGCAGATTTCATCGTAACATTTGGAATTGGACGATTACTTTTGTGAGGTTGCAATGGAACAACTTTGGAAAATTATTAATTTCTTGAGTTTAAGAGTTTTTTTTACTTATAAATCTGTTTAAAATGAATAATTATAACTATTTAAAAAAAAAAACTTACTTATATTTACGATCCTGTCTTAAAAATGATGTAAAAACCGTTGGTTAACGATGACTTTTGGGACTGACCGTAAATGACAGTGACGTTTTTGAATATTTGACGTTAAAAAATTAAAAGTCAAATTAGCGTTTAAATAATTCTTAATTAATTAATTTAAACTTTGAAAATGTTTATTAAAACAATAAATTTGGAAACAATTAAATTATTGTTATTTAAAAATAAATAAATATTTAAAAAGTTAAATTATAAATAAAATTGTTTAGAAAAAAATTATTTTTATGGATACTAATTTGACTCTAATTAATGACACAAAAACAACATAACCTCAAAATAAAAAATAATTTTTTTAAAAAAACCACAAAAATTAATTTATTAAGTAATTAACGTTTTAAAAAATAATTATTTCATCAATAATAATAAAAGAGTTATAATATTTGAGTTATAATTTAAAAATAAATTGTACCTAACCTCAAAATAACAAAGTAACAAGAAGACATAAGACATAAAATTTGCATATCAACTGATTAACATAAGATTGTTTCCTATTTAGTTTCGCGCTTCTGTACACGCAATCGGGCGATTAAAAACCAAGTTTAAACTCGCCTCGTTATCGACCATAACCTCACAATTACCAAGCGTTTATATAGAGCGAGAAAAAAAAACAGACAACAATTTTACTATAATTTTAAGCAGGGATTTTGAAACGATTTAAAACCGAATTAACTGGAGACCCTTTAAAAGGGGGTACTTACTTTTAAAATCGTTGGTTCGTAGGAATAAGACGATAAGTATCCGAAATACTCTATTTTCGTACGGGAAAACATAAACACACGGGTACTGGTTTCACATTGGGGACATCGCTCCTCGAGGATTTACGATGAAACGTAGCAAGAAATTTTTTTGAAGCACTTTGAAAATAATAATAAACCCGCACCGAAACCACACTTGAAATTAACCCCTTTTGCCCGTTTTTTTTCGTGTTATTATTTATTTTTTTAATTTTGCTTGAAGGGATAAATAAAATGAAAAAAATATAGTGGTCCCTTTCGACTCTCGGTTGTTATTCGACGGTCGCCATCAGCGGGACTGAAACAGCGCTACCTTTAGGCAGCGAGGTAAAACGTTGAATGTGTTGTTGACAATTCTCTATCTTGGGTGTTCTTCCCCCCTAGAACGAGACTCGATCGTTTTATTTATTTATTTCTTTTTGTTTTCGGGAGGGGGGCAATTAAACTCTCCAACCCCCCAGCTTAAAAGATTTTTAGAGTTTCCACCCCTTTTTTTTTCGTACATCTTTAAACAAAAGGGGACACTTGTGTTTTGATGCCCGCCCGTGGTTCACATCTGAATACCCATCACCCTTCTTGTTCTTGTATAAGTGGCTTTTAAATGTACATGTAAATAAATATAAATGGGGTGGTTAAGGTCTATTTGAAGATGAAAACTTTTTTGGTTATGTTGCAAAAATGATTTTAGTTCCAAATTAACTCAAGGTAGGCAACTTAATTAGCATCTTTTTTAACAAATTTTTTTCACAACATTGTATTATTCTTATTTTTAGTTTTACAATCAAAACTAGATTTAGTCTACCAAAAATTCCTTCATAATCAAACAACCCGTAAGGCTAAGCATCTTCATTGAACTACCAAGGGGCTGGAAATCTTCTTGTTCATACGATAAAAGAAGCAATTTTCCTGGTATGTAGCAAATTTAATAACCTTTTAACTAATTTTCTTTTACAACTCAACGCTGATATTATTATATACATAAAATATGATTATTTTGGTTTGTTAACTTTGATAAAATGGAAAACACTTTTGGAAGGTGTTGGATTAACCTAAATTTCGTATTAAAGCTGCCCATTAAGATTGGAATTTTGGTCATACTGGCGCAGTTGGTGATTAAAATTAAGCGACAGATCTAACATTAATAATTTCTTAATAAGTTAATAATAAGTAGCTAAGGAGAGATGTAACTCTTCAGCTACATTGCTGCAACATTTCTGGACATGGTTCTACTTAAAGAATTTTTTAGTAGTCTCATGGAGACGAGTAGGTCGAAGTATTCCAGCACGTCTTGTTTTCCTTTCATTTCCTCATAGACAAAAAGATTTGGGTTGGATTTTAATCTAAAAAGTCCTGAATCATTTTGGATTGCAAAGAAAATTAAAAATGCTTTAAAATGAGTCCAAACTCGATGGGGTTAGCTTTAAAATTAACTGAGATACGAATAGATATGACAACAATAAAAATAAACAAAATGGCGGCTTCTTCTTTGTCAAAGTTAACCTAACTTTTTCGATTTTTATCGTAAATATGGGATGTTTGGTATCAAATAAAAGCGATTTTAATCGAGATTACGAATTTGATATTATCTTGATTTTAAAGAAAAATATTTTTTAGTATTTGTGTCTAAAATGTCATAAATCATGTTTGATTGCAGAGAAAATTAAAAATGCTTTAAAATGAGTCTAAACTTGATGGGGTTACCTTTAAAATTAACTGAGAAACAGATAAATATAATAATAATAAAAAAACAAAATGGCGGCTTCTTCTTTGTTAAAGTTAACCTAACTTTTTTGTTTTTTATCGTAAATATGGGGTTTTGGGTATCAAATAAAAGCGATTTTAACCGAGATTACGAATTTGATGTTATCTTGATTTTAAGGAAAAATATTTTTTAGTATTTGTGTCTAAAATGTCATAAATCATGTTAGAGAAAATTAAAAATGCTTTAAAATGAGTCTAAACTTGATGGGGTTACCTTTAAAATTAACTGAGATACAGATAAATATAATAATAATAAAAAAACAAAATGGCGGCTTCTTCTTTGTTAAAGTTAACCTAACTTTTTTGTTTTTTATCGTAAATATGGGGTTTTGGGTATCAAATAAAAGCGATTTTAACCGAGATTACGAATTTGATGTTATCTTGATTTTAAGGAAAAATATTTTTTAGTATTTGTGTCTAAACTGTCATAAATCATGTTAGAGAAAATTAAAAATGCTTTAAAATGAGTCTAAACTCGATGGGGTTACCTTTAAAATTAACTGAGATGCAAAGAAATATAATAATAATAATAATAAAACAAAATGGCGGCTTTCTCTTTGTCAAAGTTAACCTAACTTTTTTGTTTTTTAACGAAAATATAGGGTGTTTGGTATCAAATAAAAGGGATTTTAATGTAGATTACGAATTTGAAATAAACTAAGTAAGATAATGGACGCAATTTTTAATTTATAAATTAATTCATTGTAATTAAACTTAATTTTTTATTTCGATTTCTCGGTTTTAGTGATAATTTCAAAAATAAAAATTAAAAATGACACAAATAACCCAAATATTAAAATATAAAAAGCAGTTTGCACATCGCCCATATTAAAAGCTAATTCGTCATTGATTTTAAAGTTCTTATTATACACACTGTACATGATCATAAAATCTATGGCGTCATTATACCATTTATCTAATAATCCAGCCTCCCAAAAGTGATTGATGGCTAAATTAAATGCGGGTAGATATGGGGATCCTTTTGGAACGATGTACACCAAATAATTTACCGTTGGACAATCCCCGACTATGTGTAAACGTGGTGAACCATCGTCGTTTAAATAAACCGTTTTCATAAGGAGTTCTGCGTCATCTCTTCTTTCAACAGCGGCTACATCTCCGTAATAAGCAGCTCGTTCCATTGAGCTATTATAATTTGATAAAACAGTTCTTTTTGATAAATTTATCATCAATTTGGTGTCGTTTCGAAAAACATCTAAAGAAGTAGAAATGGGTAAATCGGATTTTTCTAAATCGATTAAACTGTTTATATCTGAATAATAAGAAACCACGCTAAACGAAGTTACTAAACTTCCTTGGAAAATGCCAACCATAATTACATTAAAACCCAGGCAACCGATTAAAAATATCCTCTCGGATATTTTTTCACGAAGTTTTAACGGAATCGAAATCATCAAAGAGAACGTTTCAATAAAAGCGACGATTACATCCCTCTTTTGCGATCTTAAAAAGTACCACGTAAACCAAGAGATAAGAAATGTTATTATAATTATTATCCAAGTTATTGCCGAGAAACAATGAAACATCATTAACCATTGCGGTATTTTCTTTGCTTTTGGTACAATAACGCAAAGTTCATCGCTTCGAATGAAATGAGTGAATTCGATTTCATCGGTTTTGTAGCTCATTAAAAATCGACCTGAAATGAAATGAATAAAATTAATTTTTTATTTATTTCGATACAGTGAAAGCTCGATATAATGTAGCTAAGGAAATAACTCTTTGCAATCGCGTAATTTTTTTTGATACTGCCAAATTTGAATTTTGTGTACTCATCGTGTTCCTTAGGTCATTTTGAACATCTTAAGAATGTTCAAAACATTGTTGACATTGCCAAAATTGAAATGTTTGTATTAATCGTGTTACAAAGGATATTTTATATATTTTGTTTGAAAATATCTTTTCTAATGAGTTCTGTTATATCGAGGTTTTACTGCACTATAAATATTAACCATTGATTGAAATTTGAGAGTTTTTATAAACAATATCGCCTAATGAACCAAAAAATTCTCCGTTTGAGGATTTCCATCCGTAACCAAATCCGTCGGAAGGAGGTTGGATTATGAGGGTAAAATTTAGGTATTGAACTAAATTATTGAGAACCATTCCATCTAAACCACCAAATCCCCCAGAAATTTTGAGATTTTCTCCTGTATGGATTTGCGTTTTTCCGTAAAGAGCCGTAGGTTCTCTTTCAAATATGGTAAATTTCACGTTTTCTCCATGTAAATTATACGTTAATTTTAAATTAGAACGTTTTGAAAAATTTATGTTTAACGCAGGACTTTGAAAATAATACCCACAAGATATTAGAACGAATTTTAAAATGTTAAATTGTTTCCAGATTTTATCAACAATTTTTTCCATGATTTTAGATGGATTAAAATTTTTTGTATCGTAAAAAATGATGTATTCTCCGTTTAAAATGGGAAATATTTGTTTATGATTTAAATTAATTTGATTCAAATTGTTTATAAAACACAAAAATCCTTTCGATTGCGGATCTTTCACATTAATCACGTAAGATTTGTTTAACTCGCGGTGCAAAAACCTTAAAAATATGTTAATATTTCTAGATGCAGATGAATTTGGAATCAAAACATTCACCATTTGTTGATTCGAAAAATAGTTATCAATAAATTTAATAACTTCACCGTTATTTTTAAAACGTCCCAAAATTATGGGTGAAATTAAAATTAACCCAAACACTTTTAGCAATAAATTCATTTTAACTTTTTTCTCAGCAAAGAAATTTTTTTAACATTTCATTCTCGTTATTGAATTATTAATGGGGGTTCCTCAAATCGATTTATGTTTTTATTATTTTTTTTATTATATCACCTTTCAAAAACAGCCTTTATACCTACCGTTTCCTGCTATATTTGTTCTTTTATAAACAACGTCTCCTAAAGCTCCAACAAAACGGTCGAATAAACGATATCCGTAATCGTAAGTATCAGATACTGACAAAAAATTTGGGGTAAAGTTTAAATATTTCGCCATATTTTCGAAAACGACGTCGTCTAAACCTTTCAAAAATTTACCAAAAATCTTTGTGTTAATAAACGCAGTTGGTGGTCTTTGAAACATTGTTATATTAATTATTAAACCGTTTAAATTTGTATTTATGGTTTTTGAACAGTTCATATTTAATAATAGGGCGAACATGAGTACAAGGAACATGATTAGAAATTTTATTGTGGATATATTTTCCTTTTATAAAGTGTTTAGGGTTATCTATTATGTATTAATGGGAGAACAAACAACTTTTAATGTCAAAATTATGTACAAGTATTTATCCTTACTTAGGATTTTCTAGAAGTGTCTTTTTATAGAATGTAACAAAAGATACATATTTTAAAAATTAAATTAAAAACGTTCCGATTACACTTTATACGGTACTAAAGTTAAGGCAAGAATTTGATCCAGATAAAGTGGTTAAGAAATCCCTACAAACAACATTGAAAAAATTAAAGACTGTCGATGTCAAATTCGTAATCACGATTAAAATCGCTTTTATTTGATACCAAACACTCCATATTTGCGTTAAAAAACAAAAAAGTTAGGTTAACTTTGACAAAGAGAAAGCCGCCATTTTGTTTCTTTGTTATTATTATATTTCTTTGTATCTCAGTTAATTTTAAAGGTAACCCCATCGAGTTTAGACTCATTTTAAAGCATTTTTGATTTTCTCTGCAATAAAACATGATTTATGACACTTTACACGCAAATACTAAAAAACATTTTTCTTTAAAATCAAGATAACATCAAATTCGTAATCTCGATTAAAATCGCTTTTATTTGATACCAAACACCCCATATTTACGATAAAAATCGAAAAAGTTAGGTTAACTTACAAAGAGGAAGCCGCCATTTTGTTTCTTTGTTATTATTATATTTCTTTGTATCTCAGTTAATTTTAAAGGTAACCCCATCGAGTTTAGACTCATTTTAAAGCATTTTTGATTTTCTCTGCAATAAAACATGATTTATGACACTTTACACGCAAATACTAAAAAACATTTTTCTTTAAAATCAAGATAACATCAAATTCGTAATCTCGATTAAAATCGCTTTTATTTGATACCAAACACCCCATATTTACGATAAAAATCGAAAAAGTTAGGTTAACTTACAAAGAGGAAGCCGCCATTTTGTTTCTTTGTTATTATTATATTTCTTTGTATCTCAGTTAATTTTAAAGGTAACCCCATCGAGTTTAGACTCATTTTAAAGCATTTTTGATTTTCTCTGCAATAAAACATGATTTATGACACTTTACACGCAAATACTAAAAAACATTTTTCTTTAAAATCAAGATAACATCAAATTCGTAATCTCGATTAAAATCGCTTTTATTTGATACCAAACACCCCATATTTACGATAAAAATCGAAAAAGTTAGGTTAACTTACAAAGAGGAAGCCGCCATTTTGTTTCTTTGTTATTATTATATTTCTTTGTATCTCAGTTAATTTTAAAGGTAACCCCATCGAGTTTAGACTCATTTTAAAGCATTTTTGATTTTCTCTGCAATAAAACATGATTTATGACACTTTACGCGCAAATACTAAAAAAAAATTTTTCCTTAAAATCAAGATAACATCAAATTCGTAATCTCGATTAAAGTCGCTTTTATTTGATACCAAACACCCTATATTTTTGTTAAAAAACAAAAAAGTTAGGTTAACTTTAACAAAGAAGAAGCCGCCATCTTGTTTTTTTAAATGAGTTATAACGCTTGGTATCTCAGTTATCTTTAAAGATAACCCCATTGAGTTTGGACTCATTTTAAAGCATTTTTAATTTTCTTTTCAATTCAACATGATTCGGTACATTTTAATCATATATATATATTTATTCATAACATATTGTAAAATAATGAAAATAGAAAAAAATATCAATAAATAAAAACATGATCGTATAGCCATAAAATCTTGATTACCATCACAACCATTCGAAATTCGTTGTCGGTTGGTCTTCCGGAATCGGACTGGTATCTACAACAGCATGACACGGGGCATTACAAGTCGCTACAGCTTCATAATCGTCTGCAACGTCAATATCGTCCAACCAATCGGGTAACGACGATAGTGGTGCATCAGCACTACGAGCCCATGGAGGAGTCTGTGGAGAAAACTGCCGTGGAGTGAAAGTAACTTGTGCGCTTCTTTGAAAAGCAGGTGGTAATGCCGGTGTCCTTTCGATATTTGCCGTTTCTTGGATTGAATCCATTATTCCAGGCATTCCTTGACGTCTTGGTCGTCTTCTTCGGACCGGTTGATGTTGGCGAACTCTTTCCATAAATCCTGGTGATGGTCCCGGACTTCCACAGGGAACTATTATCGGTGGAGTTCTGGCTCTTGGCGATGGAATTCGAGCTACTGGTGGTGGAGTTACAGCTCTAGGTGATGGGATTCGAGCTGGTTGTGGTGGAGTTCGTATTCTTGGAGGAGTTGCTCTTCGTGGTGAAATTCGAGGTGGAGCTGGTTGTCTTATTGGCGTTCTAACTGGCGAATATACTGGAGATCGACAAGGCGATTCCGGAAATTGTGGTGGTGTGAAAAACAGTTCCTCTTCCGGAGAACAAGGTTCAGGACTGCGATAACCTTGTGTTATATCTTCCTCACCGAATATACCTCCCGGGGAACAAATAGCGATTGGTGCTTCAGGAGTTCGAATAAACTCTGGTGCATCGTCCTCAAACATCATATTTGGATAAAACAATTGATCCTCGAAAATATCCCGTGGAGGTGTGCTTGGTGAAGACGAATACCTAAAAATATAACAACGCGTTTTTGAAATTTACACAGTTTAGAGTAAGTTATTAACTAACCGAGGTGAAGAAGATCGCGGTCTTAATGGTGACCTCATTGGCGATTCGTATTGTGGTGTTATAGCCTCAGATACAGGTGCCATAGCACGTACTGGTGCTCGTCGTCGCCTTTTTTTGTACCTTGTTGGTACATGCTGTTCAACTCTTCTCCTGAATTCTGGCGATCCTGGCGGTGGTGAAGGTGATCTGTATTTCACCGGACTCAATCTGGGTTCAGGAACTGAATATGCCGCAGGAACTGCTTGAACTGGAGAAGCCATTCTTGGAGGTGTTATTGGTCCTATTCAAAAATATTTAAATCATTAAATATAATTTCGAGTAAACGAAAACCTCGATTAAAGTAAATATGTAAAGTCTTCTATAAGACTTTACTCTCACTCCGCCGAGGTCGCTTGCGGGCGAGGCGCTACAATCTTCCCGAATAGACGATTTCGTGTTTCTATATCAAATCCAGCGCCTCGTCCGCAAGCAACCTCGGCGATTTGAGGCAAAATCGTTCTTTATATATCTTGGTAAGGATACAAAGTCTCCTATAAGAAGGTTGTGACTCTCATTTCGCCGAGGTCGCTTGCGGGCGAGGCGCTACAATCTTCCCGAATAGCGATTTCGTGTTTTTGTATCAAATCCAGCGCCTCGCCCGCAAGCGACCTCGGCGGAATGAGAGTAAAAGTCTCCTTATAGGAAATTAAGCATCTTTACCAACACATTTAGGGCACAAATCGCCGAGGTCGCTTGCGGGCGAGGCGCTACAATCATTTAGTTCAATGAAAAACAACCTAGCATGGCTCCCTCGGCTTAAGTAACGAATTTGTATTAAAGAAAAGTTTATTTTATTTTAAGAACTAGAACTTCTGCCTCGGTTTCTAAATAATATGTTATTATTGAAAATCTTGAATTAATGCCACGGTTTCTAAATACCTAATATATTTTTACTGTATTGTATAACATTACCTTCATATCCAGGAGGTGAATAGCCTTCAAAAGCGACATTAAACGGATCCTCGGGAGAACCTAAAATTAAAACCATTAAATAGGAATGCTACAATTATTTATTTTTATCTTTACCTATAAAATCGGGTGCGCCATAAACATCAACAGGACTTCTAACATCACATGGAAAATCTGGACTATAACGAGGTGGACATGGTGGTCCACTAGGAGGTGATTTGGATCGACGAAGAGGTGAAGGCGTTCTTGGAGGCGAAACATATTGCGCAACATCCGCCATGTCCGCAAAATCGTCAATCCCACCAAGCACTTGAAATTGTTTTTGAAGAAGTTGCCAGGGGACGTCCATTTTGGGAGGTGGACATATTGCTGTACTACCAGCGATATCATTCTCATCGAAATCTACATTAACATCAGCTATCATTTCTTGTATATGTGCGTCAAATGTAGGTGGACCGTAAACAGGAGCTGGCCCACAAGGAGGTAGCGGAGGGGGGGTAGGAATTCTTAATGGTGGAGTGGGCATGCGAAGTGGTGGAGTGGGCATGCGAGGTGGTGGACTAACCACATCCTCTTCTTGTTCGATTCTAGTTAAACGTGGAGCCGAAATTCTTCGCCGGGGTTTCGTTCGTTTTATACCTCTTCTTCCGGCAGCTTGTGCAACAGCTTGCCTCATTTGACTCATAGGTGATAAAGGCGATGGAGGTAGCAAACATGGATCATCTTCATAAATATCCGCAGGTCCAATTCCTTGATAGAAGTGTGGTGGTGTTCTTCTTGGAGTATGAGGACTTGATAGTCCTTGTAAAGCAAGTGGCGGGGTTACATCAGCAATTCCACAAGGTGCCCCCATAGCACATGGTGGTAAAGCATCTGGAGGAGTGTCTTGGAGTAATTCTTGATATTGCCTATTAGCGGCTATGATTGCTGCTGGAGGTAAACGTCGAACTGGTGGTTGATATCCCGGAGATGGACGGGAAGGACCAAAAGCTCTTTGAGGACTTGGTTGTAATACCAACGGGGATACAACGCGAGGAGGAGTAATCGGGACATAACCTTAGGGATGGGAAACGGTAAACAGAGGAAAAATGAATGAAGGTGAATTAGTTTACCACCGAGACAAGGGGCGTCAGTTCCTAAAGAATCAGGTGCTTCATATTCGTCAGGTATATTCGCAACATCTGGACTTCCAACAAAATCAGCTGGTTGTGTACAAATAATTAAATCTTGGCGGCCACTTCCGAGATCAACTCGCCATGGGGAAAGAGGTTTAGGTATGGGTTTTGGTGAAGATCTCCGTCTAAACGACGGTATTCCATAATACTCCTCAGGTGACATGGGTTTGGGTAATCTTTCTTCAATAGAAACATCCATTATACTTCTAGGCGCGTAAAATTGTCCTTGTCGTCTCTCTCCCAATAAATCTTCCGGAAGATATTCCGGACTAGGCGGGCTCATACCCTCTGCCATAATTACTTCTTGGACTTCTGGAGGCAAATTACTATACCACTCTACACCCTCATCAAAGTCGATTTTTCTCCCTTTTCTAGTTGGTCTTCGTCTTCTTTTCGCAGGTCTACTATCCTTGGTTGGAGTGTAAAGTATTTGAGCGCGACGCTCTTCTTCTGCGGCACGTTGTGCTGCGGCTGTCTCTGCACCAGTTGGAGCTACATAAGCACCGCATGGTTGAAATTCCCGCTGACGCCTTGGACGTGAACGCAGTGATGGACGTCCGTATGACCCTTCACCTTCTTCGGGAATATCCGGATGCAACATCGGCATAACACCACGTCTTACCACTCGAGATTTTCCCTTGATCGATCCGGGACGCACTGTCATTGACTTTTTAAATTCAGGAGACGCCGCCATTAAAATTTGCGATTTAAATAACATTTCATCAATTGGACCTAAAACGTTTATTTATTAATTTTATTATTAATAACTAATTAAGTAAAAAAACCTTGATCTGGCGAAATTTGTGGATACGACGGTCTAAACGATTGTCTCGGGGCTTGAGAAACCCCCGGACATACTCCTTGACTAACTGCTTGAGGAACTGCTGGAGCTTGTTCTGGACTAACACAAACTCTTTCAGCTCCCGGCATTTGAATTTGTTGAGGAGGAGGCGAATATCTTACTTCCACTTCTTCTATTTCTTCTATTTCCACCGCGTCCGGAGAATAATATTCCGGGGCATCACCTTCGTATATAAGATGATCTTGTGCAGCGCAAGGTGGGGTTCTCGGAGGCGATAAAACTGCTTGGTCTCTAAAATCTTCAGGTTCCTCAACATCATATAATCCACCACCTATCCCTTCGCACGGCATTCCTGAAGAGAGATCAAAAACATCCGGACGTCTCATGTATCGCGGCGGCAATTGCGGTTCTTGTCCGGCACGTATTGCTTCTTCTTGAGCTTCTTTGTAAGCTTGATATTCTAAAAGTTCAAAACTGTCATCTGGAGTACCAGCAACTGCTTGGGTTGATGCTGCCCCGTAACATGGGACCATTCCTAATTCAGCTTCTTGACTTTGTATAGCTGCTGCTATTCTTGTATCTAAAAAGAATCGTATTAAATACATCAATCTATATATCTAATTATATATCTAACAGATTATGTCAAAAATTAGCCTCATTCTAAAAGAAAAGAAAACATTCTTCCAGGAGTATGGCAGAAGACAAGATATTGCTTATACATGACTAGAACCTCCTTTTAGTCAATTAGATACTGCTGGCAGAAAGCTAAATACTGTTAGCAGAAGATAAGGTACTACTGAAGATGACTTCCTCATTATAGATGAATGGCAGCTGCTGGCAGAAGACAAGATATAGCTTATAGATGATTATATCCTCCTTCTAGTTAACCAAATACTGCTGGTTGAAAGCTAACTATTGCTAGTAGAAGATAAGGAACTGCTTAAGATGAAGAAATCTAGATAATGTTATCAATCAGAAAATACTGAATTAAATTAAATGTACTAACCTTTAACTTCTGGTGACGCTTCTGGTGCAAAATCTCTAAAATCAAACGATTGATCTGGAGTAGCATCATAAAAATCTAAATCATCAATTAGCTCTGGTGGCGAATCAACTATATTAATAGTTTGTCCTTCCAATTCGGGGAAAAAGTTTTCGGGGCAAACAGGAGAACCCTCCCCGGGACTTCTAACAAGTTTCAAAACCCTCTTCATTAACGCCGCTTGTTCGGGATCTTTGAATGAGGCAGCATATCGCCTCTCTTCCATCGTTAGTAATGGGGAATGCGGTTGTGAAACTGTTACTGAAGTTACTGATGTAATTGAAGCGACAACTTTAGGCACGCTGGGTGGAGTTGCGATAGGAACGGGCGCGGCAGCAGATGAGCAAGTGCAAGGCGGAGGTGGCGGTGGCGGTGGCGGCAATGCAAGATATTGACGAGGCGGTGAGACTGGCGTAGAGGGTCCTCCGCAAGGAACAACAGAAATTTCAGGTTGAACTTGTTCCGGCGTTATCGGCGGAGGACTGGAATAAGGCAATTCGGTTTCGGTGAAAAAGAAGTAGTCATTAGATTGGTCAAATTGTTGAGGTGAATAAGCGCTGGATTCATCTACGAATTCCGGTTCGGTATCCCATTCGGCACCGTATGAAAGATCGAATATATCGGGCATTGTAGGACGTGGAGGAGATGGAGTTGGGGAACGACGTCGCGGAGGAGGAAGGGGAGGAGTCGTTGGTGAGAAATACGGAGAAGGTCTTCCTTGAGGTGTCATCCCACCGTGGCAAGTCGAATCTTCCTCTTCAACTAAACTAGAATAAAGATCTTTAAATTGTTCGTGCATTTCAGCAACTTTTTCTTGAAAGGTTTTTTCTATTTTTTTGGGCGGACTTTGAGGGGCGGGCGGAGGTGGTGTGGGGGGAGCTTTTGGTACCGGCACAGGTTTTGTTGGTTTAAGCTTTTTCGGTCTGGCTCTAGCTGGTAGCTTAAGCGTTTTTCTTTTTGGCTGGGGAGGCGGCGTTGCTATTTTTCTTGGGGGTGTTGCTACTCTTGGTGGCGGCGGCGTTTTATACTTCTCTACAAGAGCTTCACTTTCCGGGCACGGATCAACGTATGGGACATATTCTTGCAATCTCACTGGAGATGCCTGCCTAAGCGTTGGTGATATTCTAATTGGGGATGGTTGTCTTGGTGCTTGTGGTGAATGTGGTGAAACATATCCTGGTGTAGTTTGTCGTTCGGGGGAAGCACACGGTGATTGGTATTCGGGGGGATTTTCGAATAAAAGATAATCGTAGGGTCTTAAAGGAAGTGGGGATTTTGCTGGGATTGTTGCTGGAACCCCGCCTAAAGCGGGGATGTTTTCCATGGCTTGTTGGAGATTTGAGGTGGTGGCCTCTCTGAGGGATCTCTCTAAACTTCGTGATTTAGGGCTCGGGACTAAAATGGCTTCTATATCATCAACGTCGAGGATGCCATCGTCGTCAGTGGCTAAATCGAAGATGTCGAAGGGTCTCCGCGTGCGCCTCAAGTTTTCTCGTTCATCCACTCTTGGAGATAACGCAGTTCTTCCTCGCATAAATTGAGGCCCGGGAACGAATTGCTCATCTTCGCCCAAATCAAATTCGGCGGCTGCGTAAGTTAATCTTCGGCCGGGACCTTCGCGAATCTTAACTACCCTTGAAAATAATGGAGGAGTCCGCGGAACGTCACCTCGTCGATCGGGATATCGCGAATCTTGTTCCGCGTACATTTCGTCTAAAGTTTGTTCTGGCTCAAGAGATTGTGCAAAATCCACCATAGCTTCTTCGACGATATCTTGAGCTTGCTCACTCACCGGAGGAACTCCTTGAGCTACAACTTCCCTTATAGCTTGATCAGCCACTTGTGCTTGAGGTTGCGGCGATCTCATTTGCTTTCTGGCTCGCGATTCTATTCTTCGTAGCATGGTTCGTGAGGCTCTTCGTTCAGCGAACGTAGAAAGTAAGGGCCTTCTTGGTGGTTTAATCCCGAGTTGTGCTTCAAGCTGCTCGAACTCGGCAACTTCGGGATCGATACGGCATGGTGGTAAAGATTCTAATTGTTGTTGGGCTCTTAATTCAACTTGACTCCGAGCAATTTCAGCTGCTCTTCGTTCTGCTGATGTAGGCGTTCTAGCTCTTGAAGGTTGAATGCCGAACTGAGCTTCCAGTAGCTCAAATTCAGCGTCTGGGTCAATACAAGGTGGTGGCTACAAAAAGAGATAAATGAAATTAAAAATTATGATGGTTGTGTCTAGATATGTGAAATTTTTATAGAAAAGAAAATGGATACTAAAGGAACTGACACAGAAAAAAATTTAACTGGGCTACTAGGCAGAATACATTTCAGCAGTGTTGCAAGGAAGTAATTACTGCTTAAGATGATTAATCGTCATTATAGAAGACTGGAGAGGGCTGGCAGAAGATTAGATAGTGTTACCAGAGGACAAGGTATTGCTTATAGATGACTAGAATCTCCTTTCAATCGACTGGCAAAAAGTTAGATTCTGCCAGCAGAAGATAATGTACTGCTTAATATGACTATTCCTCATTATAGAAGACTAAAGACTGTTAGCAAAAGATTAGATAGTGTTAGCAAAGGACTAAATATGGCTTATAGATGACAAGAACCTCCTTTTAGGCTAGCAGAAAGTTAGATACTGCTGCTTAAGACGACTATTCCTCATTATAGAAGACTGGATACTATCGAGAGACGAGTGGATAGTGTTATCAGAAGACAACATACTGCGCACAGATAATTTGAATAGGGATGTGTCAAAATATTAGCAAGGACCAAGGTGATAAGAGAAGAAAGAAGACAGATTGTATGGGGATGATTGGGAGACTATATGCTGAGGTGTTACGACTTGCGGGAGAGAATGGATGACGGAGGTAATGAAAGAGTGTTTCAGATGTTGGGAAAACATGTCAGTGGTTCTCTTAGAATTAGGTTTGTAACCAAATAGGACCACCTTTTGTACTTTAAGTGACCGTCTCTATGTTTTTTTTTTTTCATTTTTAATGCTAAATTGACATTAAACTGGTTTTAACCTATCTTTTATTGAAAGGAGCCAGACGTGTTGGAAATTGAACAGCTGCTGAGTGTGTTAGCATGATTATCATGGCTTTGGGAACTCGATGCCACCTTTCTTCTTATTCTACAAAGTTTTAATGCCACATATATCATAGATGATGCTACTCATGGATTTCCCAATAGATTTCGGTGGATAATGCTAAATTTCTCGCCAAGTCATCTACAGAATCACCAATTCTTTTCCTACTCGATTAATCATTCGTCACATCTATCAGTTGAAGTCATCAGTTACTTCACATGCAAAATATATCTACAAACTGCCAGAATTCACCAAAATACTTTCATAGACTGGCAAAGTTGAACAAAATACCACCAAAGCTCATAAAGTTGATCGGAATGATGAGGTTCGTCCAGAAACTAACCTCCAAAAGCTCGGAACATTAATCAAAGATCTTCCAGAAACTGACAGAATTAAGCAAAATATTTCTAGAATCTGACAAAGTTAAGCAAAATACCTCCAAAAGCTCACAAAGTTGATCGGAATGATGAGGTTCGTCCAGAAACTAACACAATTAAGCAAAATATTTTCAGAAACTGTCAAAATTAAATAAAGTATTTCCAGAAACTGTCAAAATTAAGCAAAATACTTCCAAACGCTGGCAGAGTTGATCAAAGTATTTCCAGAATTAAGCAAAATATCTGCAAAAGCTCGCAAATTTGATCGAAATGATGAGGTTCGTCCTGAAACTGACAGAATTAAGCAAAATACGTCCAGAAACTGTCAAAATTAACAGGAATATTTCAAGAAACTGACAGAATTAAATAAAATATATCCACAAACTGCCAGAATTCACCAAAATACTTTCATAGACTGGAAAAGTTGAACAAAATATCTCTAGAATCTGACAAAATTAAACAAAATACCTTCAAAAGCTCATTAATCAAAGATCTTCCAGAAACTGACAGAATTAAGCAAAATATTTTCAGAAACTGTCAAAATTAAATAAAGTATTTCTAGAAACTGTCAGAATTAAGCAAAATACTTCCAAACGCTGGTAGAGTTGAATAAAGTATTTCCAGAATCTGACAGAATTAAGCAAAATACCTCCAAAAGCTCGGAATATTAATCAAAGATCTTCTAGAAACTGATAGAATTAAGCAAAATATTTCCAGAATCTGACAAAATTGAACAAATAGAGTTGATCCAATACGCCCTCCTATTGGATGGAGCGGTAGAGAATGGATGACGGAGGTAATGAAAGGGTGTGAAAGAGCAGGGTAATGTGACCTTGAGTGGATCGCCTAAAACATTTGTATGATGTGATAGTCGAAGTGCAACTAATATATTCTTTTCCTACTCTATTAATCATTTGTCACATCTATTAGATGAGGTCTTCAATAACTTTAGCTGTTCCTTAGCTATTTCCACTCAAGCTTATAAAAATTGATTTTTAATAACATAGAAATTTTCTTCTGCCAAATAACAAATCGAAGATCTCAAAGTTATCTAATACCCATCCACTCTATGTTATAATATAATTAAAAATTAAATACTTGTAAAGGTACCCTTTGTGGTTGAGGAATCCGTTGTGGTTGGGGAATTCTTTGTGGTTGAGGAATCCTTTGTGGTTGCGGAATCCTTTGTGGTTGCGCAACTCTACGTTGTGGGATTTGAGTCGCTCTCATACCACCTCTCATTGGAATTCTGGAGCGGATCGCTGGTTGAGCACCGACCCGAGCCTGCAATCGCCGATATTCCGCGTTTCCCGCATTACACGGATTCATTTCTTCCGCAGCCTAAAAACACGAAGGAAAAATAAACTGAGAATTTTTTAAACGGAATTAATTCGAATTTTTTGACAAATTTACGACATTTTGATAACCAAAAAATAACTGACAGGAAATAATTTTTGATATTGCTCGTTAATTTCTTGCATCGCTTCATCCACTTCTTCGCTTGCCGAAGGCGCGGGTTGTGGTGAACTTGGTGCTTCATCAGAATATTGAGGAGGTGTTAAGTAAGGTAAACTTGGTGCTTCATCATAATATTGAGGAGGTGTTAAGTAAGGTAAACTTGGTGCTTCATCATAATATTGAGGAGGTGTTAAGTAAGGTAAACTTGGTGCTTCATCATAATATCGAGGTGGTGTTAAATAAGGAAGACTTGGTGCTGTCATTGGGGTTAAATCTTTTACGGGAAGTCCCCAGCGATCATATTTCAATTTCGGAGCTGAATCAAACGGTCTACGAACGATCCTTCTTCTCCGAATCATATCGGCCGAATCATAACCTCGTCTTGATTTTTGCGGGGTTGGTGTGGAGGGTTTTCTTAGCGGATCGATTTCTACGTCGCTGACGTCGTGATAAGATGGTGGTGATTCGAAAAATATCGGTGAGCGATCCTCGGGGGGTAAAGTTGAAAAAAGATTTCGTTTGGATGTAGTAGTTAGGAAAGTTTCTCTTGATGGGCATTTTATTTCGTTTTCGTCGAATGAAGCCAAAAGAACCCCTTCAGCGGGTGGTGGGTCGCTCACGCTGATTAAATTTGAACCCCACGTTGGGGGGCTTCTTGTTTCTGTTGGCATTGGTGATCCTAATGGTGAAGAGCTTTTTGGGATTGTTTTTAATCGCGATTTTTCGTCGTCGAAGCCGAAGGAAACTTTTTTGTACGATTGATCTAAAAAATAATTAAATTTAAATTAATTAAAAATTATTTAAATTAATTCAAACCGGTCATATCTCCAGCACTTCCTTTACCACCATCGACTCTCGAAGCCGATCTTGATCTCGTTTTTGATTTCGATCTTCCTTTAATGATTGCCTCAACCGATTTCTCCTTCGATTTAGTTCTTGATTTTCTCGTGTGTTCGCTGACCGCGCTTAATGAATCAGCTTTTTTGATGGCGCTTAAAGCTCCTTTTGGGAAAATCCCCTTTTCGATGTTGTTCCATTCGGTGATTGGGTCATTTGAGAACGCGTAATAAGCATGGATCCCGAAATTTGGGATGTCTTGAGATGCGGCGTACTCTTTTAAATCTCCGGAACACTCTGCGTTTATCACTGGGTATTCTGATGATAATCCAAGGATGAAGCGGCGCTTTTTTAAGTTTTCTTCGGTTTCTAACCAGCATTTAGCAACGTCTATGAGCTAAAATTAAAAAGGATTATTGCGGTTCAAAGTTAATTAAGTATTTCGGACTCTCATTCCTAAGTCGTCTAATTCGACCGTGGCTGGGTTACGGGAAAAAGGTCCAAATAATCTTCCTTTTTGCAAAACGAAAAGGAGGAGTTTAAGGTAATCCGTGCGTGTTTTTTCATCTCCGCTGGATGTGTCGGAAAGTTTTTGGACCCAAGCGGCAGCCAAAACTCTTTCTTTTTAAATGAATGATTGTTAAAAAAAATAATATTCGAAAAACGTTTTTTAACGAACCATTTGGCGCTGAAAGGTTTAAAACTAACGGTTTGGCGAAGCGAACGTAAAAGTCGAAATTTTCAGAAAATTCCTGGGGTCTGGGTGACCCCACCGGGGATTGCACGCCGGCTTCGGACATAACGAACAAGTTTTTCTTGTGGATTTAATGATCATTACAATTACCAAAATTTTGAGAAAAAAGCGCTTTACAAAAATCCGAATTGTCAGTTATTTAAAAATTTTTGAAATAAACTTTGACAGTTTTGTCAAATCGTTGATGTTTTTTGCTGGAAATACAAGGATTTTCAAATTTTAGGTTAAAATAGATGCAATCTAGATTTATTAATATCTATTAATCTAAACGATTTTGTTAATTAATCATTTTTGTTGAGTTGGAACAAAAAAGTGTCTAAATGCTCGTGAAATATTAGGACTAACTAATTAAAGGCAGAAAAAAAAGCTTATTAGATGGCAGAAGAAAAAAATTGATAAATGGCAAAAGAAAAAGCATGAAAAATGGCAGAAAAAAATTTTTTATAAATGGCAGAAGAAAAAACTTGATTCATGACAGAAGATAACTTCTTAATGGAAATGGTTTGAATAACAAGAATACGAGATACAAGAAGATGTTAAAAAGATACAGGATTAATGGAGATATTGGATGGAAAAAAATCAATGACTAAAAAATGCGCTAAAAAGAATGATGAGCGGGAAAGAAACACCGCGATTCTTTTTTTGAAACTTATCACTTAACAGCTGATCATAAGAAGTTGCCAACAACGATGAGGTTAATAATGAGGACTCATAAACTGTCATAAAACCAGCCAGGAGTTGCTGGTTTGGAATGGTGGAGTTGGAATGATAAAATTAGACACTTTAAAAGGCAGAAGAAAAAATTTGATAAATGGCAAAAGAAAAAGCTTGAAAAATGGCAGAAAAAAAAGCTTAATGGGTGGCGGAAGAAAAAGCTTGATTCATGACAGAAGATAACTTCTTAATGGAAATGGTTTGAATAACAAGAATACTAGATACAAGAAGATGTCAAAAAGATACAGTATTAAGGAAGATATTGGATGGAAAAAAAATCAATGACTGAAAAATGCGCTAAAACGGTAATAACCAATTGTTAAACTAACAGAATACCTCCAAAAGCTCGCCAAGTTAATCAAAATTCTGACAGAATTAAGCAAAATACTTGCAAAGACAGGCAGAGTTGAACAAATTATTTTCAGAATCTGATAGAATTAAGCAAAATCTTTCCAGAAACAGTTAGAATAAAGCAAAATATTTCCAGAATCTGACAGAATTAAATAAAATACCTCGAAAAGCTCGAAACGTTAATCAAAGTTCTTCTAAAAACTGACAGAATTAACCAAATACCACCAAACGCTCGCAAATTTGATCGGAGTGATGAGGTTCGTCCTGAAACTGACAGAATTAAGCAAAATATTTCCAGAAACTGTAAAAATTAAATAAAATATTTCTAGAAACTGTCAGAATTAAGCAAAACACTTCTAAACGCTAACAGAGTTGAGTCAAGTATTTCCAGAATATAACAGAATTAAGTAAAATACCTCTAAAAGCTTACAAAGTTGATCGGAATGATGAGGTTAGTCTTAAAACTGACAGCGTTAAGCAAAATAATTCCAGAAACCGTCAAAATTAACAAGAATAATTCAATAAATTGACAGAATTAAGTAAAATACTTTCATAGACTGGAAAAGTTGAACAAAATATCTCTAGAATCTGACAAAATTAAACAAAATACCTCCAAAAGCTCGGAATATTAATCAAAGATCTTCCAAAAACTGACAGAATTAAGCAAAATATTTCCAGAATCTGACAGAGTTAAGCAAAATACCTCCAAAAGCACACAAAGTTGATCGGAATGATCAGGTTCGTCCAGAAACTGAAAGAATTAAGCAAAATATTTCTAGAAACTGTTAAAATTAACAAGAATATTTCAAGAATCTGACAGAGTTAAGCAAAATACCTTCAAAAGCTCGCAAATTTGATCGGAATGATGAGCTTCGTCCAGAAACTAACAATATTAAGAAAAATATTTCCAGAAACTGTCAAAATTAAATAAAATATTTCTAGAAACTGTCAAAATTAAGCAAAATACTTCCAAACGCTCACAAATTTAATCGGAATGATAAGGTTCGTCCTGAAACTGACAGAATTAAACAAAATATGTCCAGAAACTGTCAAAATTAACAAGAATATTTCAAGAAACCGACAGAATTAAGTAAAATATATCTACAAACTGCCAGACTTCACCAAAATACTTTCATAGACTGGCAAAATTGAACAAAATATCTCCAGAATATGACAAAATTAAACAAAATACCTCCAAAAGCTCGGAACATTAATCAAAGATCTCTTAGAAACTGACAGAGTTAAGCAAAATACCTCCAAGCTCGCAAAGTTAATCGGAATAATGAGGTTCGTCCAGAAACTGACAGAATTAATTTTTTTTGATTGGTTTTTGATTTTTAATATCATCCTAATTCAGTGCTAACGTAATCGAACGTTAGCACTGAAATCAACTACACATCAACTAAGCGTCGATTAACGCTCAATTTAAGGTATTATAAGACCCAGTTGGATTCAATATGCGAAATTTATCAATAAGCTATGTCTTAATTAAGATAATCTTGTTTATCGATGAACTTTTGTTAAACAAAATATCCCAATTCAAAAATATTATTCGATTAACGTCACGTTAAGCGGTGATTAGCGTTCCAATTAGGGTTAAATATCATTGCATGGTAACTATTTGATTAGGTAACTGAATAGGTTCTAAATAATAGTTATTTATGTACCAAGTCAGCAAAGTGATGCTTTATCGAACGAGTCTGAGTTTGCGAATCGAGCAAACGAGGCGACTAACAGGCGTGTTTTACGGTATTTTTTTCAAATTGACAGCAATTAGTGGCAGGTAAAATACTTTTTTCGAAAACTGCTATTAAATATTGACTTTAGCGACCGTCAAAACGATAGTTTTTTGACAATGTAGGGACATAGGTATGTAGCAGTTGGTAACACTTGAAAATAGAAATTTGAATTGACTGTCAAAACATAAAATGTATTCACCTGACAAAAATGTTTCATGTACACCTCCCAAAATAAGAGAAATTGCTCAATGTCCTCATCATTGTGGACCTTGTATTCGATGCTAAGAACGTGTTTAAACATCCATAGACAAAAATTGTCACATTGACAACTAGAAAAATTAATGACCCAAGTCACCAACTTGAAGTGGTTCCATAAAATGTTACTAAAATCTCATTACAGCATCGGATGCTGTAAAGAGTGTCATTACAGCACCCGTTTGAGTACTGTAATAGCTTTCATTACCGTCGCGAATTACAAAAAGTACTTTACCTTCCGCTAAATGCACAGTTTACTAGACAGTAGCACAAAATGTCACTTTACTACCGCAAATGGATAGCATAAAGTATGGTTATGTTACTTAATCTAATTAAATCGATGGAGACAATCTTTTTTTTCAATTAGAATAAAAATTAAACGATTACAAATAATTATTATTAATTTACACACAATTTTTAGTAAATATTAATTTTTTAAACCTCTCCAGATTTCTTTCTAATATTATTAGTATTCCCATATCCATTTCTCTTAACCAACTCCGTATAAGACACTTTTAACCCATTCGTACGCTGCGGGATTTGAGAACCTTTCATCTTTCGATACGTTAATTTCTCTTCAACTTCCGTTTGAGTACCCGAATTAATTTTCGTTGCACTTAAAGTTTGAGTTGCTTTGGTACCACAACCAAAAACCTTCCTATAATCCGTATCTTCAAAAACATCAACCTCACCAACCTCAAAATTAGTTTGAAGATTTTTCGATGACTTCCTACACTGACAATCTTTATTGAGATATTTATCTTTTAAACAATCAATACAGATTTTTTGTTTCCTTTTGTCGTTTAATTCTTCGAATTCTAAAGGATTATTTTCAATGCATTCTTCGCGCGAAGAAATTTTGTTGTCGTTCGGAGTTAATGGGTATTTATTAAAAATCGTATAAGGATTTTTATACTTCCAAAAAGTGTTTTTTTGTTGCTCCCTCGTGTTTAATGCAGAATTTCTCTGTTTAGAATCGAATTTACACGTTTCACCCCTGAATACATCCTCATTAATGGGATATTTACTTTCAAATTCTTTATTATAATTATTTAAATAATCATTTTTTAATGGATCATCCTCGAATTGACTTGAAATTGAAGATACCTCAACGGTACTCTCGCTATTTGTTCTGCGAGTATAAGAATGAGATTTTGAGCCTAAATTATCTAAATCAGCGTTAGCTTCTTTCTCGTGGTACTCGTAATTCGATTCAACCGTTTGACTCATTTCATTTTTCCTCGATACGGTTCTTCTTTGCTCCATCTCATTGGCTGTTAAAACTTTTTGTGGCACATATAAGACCGGAACCACGTAATATGGTAAAGCGGGTCGTTCGGGGACGAAATAATTTCGAAAATCAGAAAATCGGTAATCGTAATGATCAGGCTTGATGTTGAAATAAGGATTTTTAAAGTTTTTGTGACGATTTCCAATACTTGATTGGCGCAAAAGGTAACTTTGTCGTATTTCGGCGAGAGCGTTGCGATCAGTTGTTGAACGTCTCATTTTTATCTCGTATTTTTCTTGCGGAGAAGAAGGGATTAAATATATTATAAAAACCGGTTTAAAAAAAGCTTCAGGAGCGCATTTTACAATTTTGAAACTGTCTATGTAATAAGGTGACACTAGTTAATAATCACCCAGGGATCTTTGATAGGAGAAATTGGGACTGATTGTATGTCGAAATCTCACCGTAAGATGGCATTAGCGTCTATATTGAAATTATTTAATTAAACTAACAATTTTATTATTAATAGTGGGAATGATGAGAGACAGCAATAACAATTATTACCAGTATCATTCTTTTAATTTAAAAAGTATAGATTCCAAATCGTGTTATATTTTTTAATTTGCCGCTAACTTCACCTTTAAAAAGTTGAAGTTTGTTCAGAATGACAGATGAAAACGTCATTTTAAAGTGATTTTTCGGTAAGAGTATAATAAAATAATAATGGTATGATTAAATAATTAGGTTATAATTGACATTATAGCTTTATTTCAGCTAACGTTATAACTGGTTGGAACCTCGTTAGATGCAATCTCACATGTCATATGTTGCGTGATATTCAAATGTGTCGGCATTATTTGACAGGTGTAATTGCATCTGAGGAATTCCCAACCAATCGAAACGTTAATTGAAGTCCCATAGTGGCTCCAAACACTTTCCAAACAGTTATTCTGTGGTTGAAACTTTTATATATAAACCCAATCCAACCTGTATTCTAGTGGTTCGGTTCTTAGCTGAATAATTCCGAAATATCCCCAACAGATGGCGCCACATGCATTCAATTTTTAGTACGAAGGTTTTGTTTAAAGAGTTGCATTTCTACGAAGCTATTTTCTATGATTAATAATTAAAAGTGTACTTACTTGATGTGATTTTTAATTTATCAATTAAATTTCTGTATTTTTTTACAGAGGATTAGCAGTTAGGAAGATAAACAGTTTGTGGAATCCAGTCAAAATCAGCGTGCCAAAGAGAAGATCATCTTATCAGGTAAGATATTTAGATGCTTATTTTTTCCCTAATCCAGACATTAAAGGAGAAAATTCAGAAATTACCAAAATTCTTTAAATGATTAACTTCTATATGCAGAATTAATGCAACCCAGTCTCTTTGCGGATCTTTGCCTAATCTCTTTATTCAAGAGTCTTAATGTATGTGTCTTTGCTCTTGGCCTTTTTGGTCATACTATTGATTTTCGCCTTTGGCACAACTTTGTTACCATGAGACTCTCTCGTGGATGTATGCCAAAGGGTTAATGAAGCTTTGGTGCAATCCTAATTAGCTGCTATACATACATAGTTTTAATGCTCACCCATAGAGACCCTTTAGTATGTAGAGACTTGTGTTGACAAAAATATGATTATGATTTGATGCTTAATATCGACTGCATTAAGACTTCTGCGATCTTGTGGTGCTCCTAAATACAGTTTAATGCTCACTAAATAGAGCTAAGATCGTCGTTACTCAATAAAGAAACATGGTGATGAGTTGATGCAAAAAAAACCTTCATGTCTTGATACACTGCTAGATGCAGATTGGATGCAGAACCGATCATATTGCATATTCTGATATCTTCTGATACTGAAATTACTCCAGCAACTAAACAGAAGATGATGGCAGAAGAAAAAGCTTGATAAATGGCTCTTGATTGCAGAAGATAACTTCTTAATGAAAATGGTCCGAACGACAAGAATACTAAATAGAAGAAGATGTCAAAAAGATGCAGAAAAAATCAGTGACTAAAAAAACCTTCAAATGCCTTCAAAAGCAGGAGTACAGACTGTTTGGTCTAAATGCTAACGAATCATTGTACATGTTGCTCATTCTGAACATATGAATAAAGTGCTTTTCTATAAAAAATTTTGTGTCAAGACATTTTGATCTTGCCATCTAAATGCTAACAGAATAGCAGAATATTTTCAGAATTAAGCAAAATACCTCCAAAAGCTCGCCAAGTTAATAAAAGTTCTGCCAGAATTAAGCAAAATACTTCGAAAAACTGGCAGAGTTGAACAAACTATTTTCAGAATCTGATAGAATTAAGCAAAATATTTTTAGAAACAGTTAGAATAAAGCAAAATACTTCCAAAGGCTAGCAGAGTTGAACAAAATAGCTCCAGAATCTGACAAAATTAAATAAAATGCCTCGAAAAGCTCGGAGCGTTAATCAAAGTTCTTCTAAAAACTGACAGAATTAAGCAAAATACCGGCAAAAGCTCGCAAGGTTGATCGAAATAATGAGGTTCGTCTAGAAACTGACAGAATAAAGAAAAATATTTCCAGAAACTGTCAAAATTAATTAAAATATTTTCAGAAATTGTCAGAATTAAGCAAAATACTTCCAAACGCTGGCAGAGTTGAACAAAGTGTTTCCAGAATCTGGTAGAATTAAGCAAAAGCTCGCAAATTTGATCGGAATGATGAGGTTCGTCCTGAAACTGACAGAATTAAGCAAAGTATTTCCAGAAACTATCAAAATTAACAAGAATATTTCAAGAAACTGACAGAAGTTAAGCAAAATATCTTCAAAGGCTCACAAAGTTAATCGGAATGATGAGGTTTGTGCAGAAACTGACAGAATTCAGAAAAATATTCCCAGACATTGTCAAAATTAAATGAAATATTTCAAGAAACTGTCAGAATTGAACAAAATACTTCCAAACACTGGCAGAGTTGAACAAAGTGTTTCTAGAATCTGACAGAATTAAGCAAAATACCTTCAAAAGCTCGCAAATTTGATCGGAATTATGAGGTTCGTTCTGAAACTGACAGAATTAAGCAAAATGTTTCCAGAAACTGTCAAAATTAAATAAAATGTTACCAAAAACTGTCAAAATTAAGCAAAATACTTCCAAACGCTGGTAGAGTTGATCAAAGTGTTACTAGAATCTAACGGAATTAAGCAAAATACTTCCAAAAGCTCGCAAATTTGATCGGAATGATGAGGTTCGTCCTGAAACTGACAGAATTAAGTAAAATATTTCCAGAAACTGTCAAAATTAACAAGAATATTTCAAGAAACTGACAGAAGTTAAGCAAAATACCTCCAAAAGCTCACAAACTTGATGGAAACGATGAGGTTTGTGCAGAAACTGACAGAATTAAGAAAAATATTCCCAGAAACTGTCAGAATTAAGCAAAATACTTTCAAACGTTGGCAGAGTTAAACAAAGTGTTTCCAGAATCTGATAGAATTAAGCAAAATACCTTTAAAAGCTCGCAAATTTGATCGAAATGATGAGGTTCGTCCTGAAACTGACAGAATTAAGTAAAATATTTCCAGAAACTGTCAAAATTAACAAGAATATTTCAAGAAACTGACAGAAGTTAAGCAAAATACCTCCAAAAGCTCACAAACTTGATGGGAACGATGAGGTTTGTGCAGAAACTGACAGAATTAAGAAAAATATTCCCAGAAACCGTTAAAATTAAATAAAATATTACCAGAAGCTGTAAGAATTAAGCAAAATACTTCCAAACGTTGGCAGAGTTAAACAAAGTATTTCCAGAATCTGATAGAATTAAGCAAAATACCTTCAAAAGCTCAAAATTTGATCGAAATGATGAGGTTCGTCCTGAAACTGACAGAATTAAGCAAAATATTTCCAGAAACTGTCAAAATTAACAAGAATATTTCAAGAAACTGACAAAAGTTAAAGAAAATACTTCCAAAAACTCACAAAGTTGATCGGAATAATGAGGTTCGTCCAGAAACTGACAGAATTAAGAAAAATATTTCCAGAAACTGTCAAAATTAAATAAAATATTTTCAGAAACTGTCAGAATTAAGCAAAATACTTCCAAACGCTGGCAAAGTTGAACAATGTGTTTCCAGAATCTGGTAGAATTAAGCAAAATACCTTCAAAAGCTCGCAAATTTGATGGGAATGATGAGGTTCGTCCTGAAACTGACAGAACTAAGCAAAATATTTCCAAAAACTGTCAAAATTAAATAAAATATTTCAAGAAACTGACAGAAGTTAAGCAAAATACCTCCAAAAGCTCACAAAGTTGATCAGAATGATGAGGTTTGTCCAGAAACTGACAGAATTAAGAAAAATATTTCCAGAAACTGTCAAAATTAAATAAAATATTTTCAGAAACTGTCAGAATTAAGCAAAATACTTCCAAACNAGAATATTTTCTGCAGGAAACTTTCATATTTAATCAGCCGAGGAATTATAATTAATACCATGTTAGCACAAAGCTGGTGTCAAAAATGTAGCACCTCAGCTCACATTGTTTTGTGTTGATATGACATCGTGTATTTCAGTGTATTAAGCCGAGGCAGTAGTTTGTTTCACACCAGTTTTGTATTAATATGATACTAACCGTAATGCCTCAGCCGCAAGCGCGTATTGCAATACCAATACTGTGATGTTGGTTGCATACTTGCAATGATGACGTCGGGTACGATAATTAATTAACACACTGTACAGGGTGGTTCAAATTCGATGTCCGAATAGGCTAACTCGGCAACTATAAGAGTTAGAAAAAAAGTAGCTTACATGTCATGATCTCGTTTTTCGAGAAACTGCTAATGTCGAAAACCTCATAGCGCTATCGTCTTTTGTTTTNAAGTTAAGCAAAATACCTCCAAAAGCTCACAAAGTTGATCAGAATGATGAGGTTTGTCCAGAAACTGACAGAATTAAGAAAAATATTTCCAGAAACTGTCAAAATTAAATAAAATATTTTCAGAAACTGTCAGAATTAAGCAAAATACTTCCAAATGCTGGCAGAGTTGAACAAAGTGTTTCTAGAATCTGACAGAATTAAACAAAATACCTCCAAAAGCTCGCAAATTTGATCGGAATGATTAGGTTCGTCCTGAAACTGATAGAACTAAGCAAAATATTTCCAAAAACTATCAAAATTAACAAAAATATTTCAAGAAACTGTCAAAATTAACAAGAATATTTCAAGAAATTGACAAAATTAACAAGAATATTTCAAGAAATTGACAGAATTAAGTAAAATATATCTCCAAACTGCCAAAATTCACCAAAATTGTTTCATAGACTGACAAAGTTGAACAAAATATCTCCAGAAACTGATAAAATTAAGCAAAATATTTTCAGAACTGTCAAAATTAAATAAAATGTTTCCAGAAACTGTCAAAATTAAGCAAAATACTTCCAAACGCTGGTAGAGTTGAACAAAGTGTTTCCAGAAACTGACAAAATTAAGCAAAATATTTTCAGAAACTGTCAAAATTAAATAAAATGTTTCCAGAAACTGTCAAAATTAAGCAAAATACTTTCAAACGCTGGCAGAGAATTTAATCATAAATAATTTTGATGTTGTGATTCTGTACAAACTTTACTTGATAAAAACATTGAAGACTTGGGTTGGGTTGGACTTGCTTGGTGCAAAAAATATAAAAAAGACTTCATGGAACTTAGTATATCTATCAAGTTAGAAAGGAAGTTGAGACCAGTTTCAGACTTAATATGAAGCGTTTGAAGATTTTTTGCAATCTTATAGAAGGTTAAGTTTTGATGTAACCATGTCTAAATCCAACCGAACTAAATCCCAAAATTCACATCAAACAGTTCGCAACTCGAACACCATGAAAATTGACACTGACAAATAAGATATAAGTCTTTTAAAATCGATTAATAAAAAAGTCATAGAATGAACACACAGGAGTGAAGTTATGAGTTTTAAGAACAACAATATAGAACATATTCTAGAATTTAGCTAGCCATCAAAAGACGTCATAATGTGTCAAACATTTGAAATATTTATTATTCAAACATTTTTCATTCCAACATTTTTTCCTTATTAAAAACTTTTTTTAAACATACAATTTTCCCATTATTTATCATTATGAATTATTACAACGAATTTGAAAGCGAATATATCGAATACTACGAATTCGAATATCCAGAAAGAGAAATAATCCATCAAGAATCAGTTTATAAACATCCAATTAAACAATTTGATAGACCGGAAAAAAATTATTACTCGAATCAAAACGAAGAAATTAACATAGATGAGAGCGATTACGAAGCGAAGAAACATCGCGCTTTAATTAAGACGTCGTTAAGAAAGAAGCCCAAAAGGAAATTAAAGAAGCCCGATTATATAAAGTTTATTAAAAAATCGAATCGTAGCAAAATTTCATCAGATACGTCAACGAATAATATAGTGATTAATAAAAGATCGAATAAGAATGACAAATTACCGATTGACAATCAAAATAAAATTAATTTAAACGATAAAAAATCAAAATTTTTAGTTAAAAAAGCGATTTCCCCAATCGAAACGATGCGGCCGAAAATAACCGACGAATCATACACTTTATCGATACAAGAACCAAAAAACACTCAATTTCATTCGGTGACAAACGTAAAATCTTTCGCTGAAGGAAATACAGCTTCCGGTAATTAAATCAATTCTAATCCAAATCAAATCAATAAAGATTTTTTATTTTTTATTAGCGGAAATGATCGGATGGAGAAATCATTCGATGCCAGATACAACAACCGACTCAGCGAATGCTTTTAGTTTTGGTTCAAACGATCCTAAACATTACGATACAATTTCGAGCGATTGTTACACAAACGTGACGATAAACAGCGATGAATATCGCGAATTTATTAATCAAATTAATAAAATTCCCCAAATCTCCCAAAAGGATTGTTATTGTAACGATAATAACAACAAAATTTTAAGAAGTGAATCGGCGCCTCCGATTGGGATCGGTTCGATTTTAAAATCGTTTTATGATTCGACGAATTCAAACCAAACTCCCGATGTTGACGATACAACGATGGATAAAAAGAAAAATAAATCGCGTGATGAGAAAAAAAATGTTAAACTAAATCGTTCCGTTGTTAACCGCGAAAAAGAATTAAAAGTGAATCCTTTAAACGAAGTTCCTCTACTTTATATTTTTGATTGGTTGATCCCCAAAGGAAATTTAATTACACTGTGTAAAGATAAAAGGCCGGAAACGAAAAATCATTCCGTGTTGTTTAAAATGCTTAGGATTTTTGTTGAGGTTATTGGAAAAGTGCAATTATTTACTTATCAATATGCTTTGAGGTATTTATTATTTATTTAAGAATATATTTTAATGTAAAAAACGGTTTAGGACAAAATAAATTAATAAAATTATGCTAAGTTAGCCCCCGATTAGATTTTGATCCTTAAAATACTAATTAATCAAACATTATCTATCTTCCAACTCCAATTTCATAAAATATAATTTTGAAATGCAACAACTTATATTCTACTAATCATAATAAACTATGTAAAATGACTAAAAAAAATAGACTGATTCAATGTATTCTTATTAAAACAGAGAATATCAATTTTTTTTTTCATCTTTGGTCAAAGAATGACTTATCAGAATATTTTCTGCAGGAAACTTTCATATTTAATCAGCCGAGGAATTATAATTAATACCATGTTAGCACAAAGCTGGTGTCAAAAATGTAGCACCTCAGCTCACATTGTTTTGTGTTGATATGACATCGTGTATTTCAGTGTATTAAGCCGAGGCAGTAGTTTGTTTCACACCAGTTTTGTATTAATATGATACTAACCGTAATGCCTCAGCCGCAAGCGCGTATTGCAATACCAATACTGTGATGTTGGTTGCATACTTGCAATGATGACGTCGGGTACGATAATTAATTAACACACTGTACAGGGTGGTTCAAATTCGATGTCCGAATAGGCTAACTCGGCAACTATAAGAGTTAGAAAAAAAGTAGCTTACATGTCATGATCTCGTTTTTCGAGAAACTGCTAATGNTAGAACATATTCTAGAATTTAGCTAGCCATCAAAAGACGTCATAATGTGTCAAACATTTGAAATATTTATTATTCAAACATTTTTCATTCCAACATTTTTTCCTTATTAAAAACTTTTTTTAAACATACAATTTTCCCATTATTTATCATTATGAATTATTACAACGAATTTGAAAGCGAATATATCGAATACTACGAATTCGAATATCCAGAAAGAGAAATAATCCATCAAGAATCAGTTTATAAACATCCAATTAAACAATTTGATAGACCGGAAAAAAATTATTACTCGAATCAAAACGAAGAAATTAACATAGATGAGAGCGATTACGAAGCGAAGAAACATCGCGCTTTAATTAAGACGTCGTTAAGAAAGAAGCCCAAAAGGAAATTAAAGAAGCCCGATTATATAAAGTTTATTAAAAAATCGAATCGTAGCAAAATTTCATCAGATACGTCAACGAATAATATAGTGATTAATAAAAGATCGAATAAGAATGACAAATTACCGATTGACAATCAAAATAAAATTAATTTAAACGATAAAAAATCAAAATTTTTAGTTAAAAAAGCGATTTCCCCAATCGAAACGATGCGGCCGAAAATAACCGACGAATCATACACTTTATCGATACAAGAACCAAAAAACACTCAATTTCATTCGGTGACAAACGTAAAATCTTTCGCTGAAGGAAATACAGCTTCCGGTAATTAAATCAATTCTAATCCAAATCAAATCAATAAAGATTTTTTATTTTTTATTAGCGGAAATGATCGGATGGAGAAATCATTCGATGCCAGATACAACAACCGACTCAGCGAATGCTTTTAGTTTTGGTTCAAACGATCCTAAACATTACGATACAATTTCGAGCGATTGTTACACAAACGTGACGATAAACAGCGATGAATATCGCGAATTTATTAATCAAATTAATAAAATTCCCCAAATCTCCCAAAAGGATTGTTATTGTAACGATAATAACAACAAAATTTTAAGAAGTGAATCGGCGCCTCCGATTGGGATCGGTTCGATTTTAAAATCGTTTTATGATTCGACGAATTCAAACCAAACTCCCGATGTTGACGATACAACGATGGATAAAAAGAAAAATAAATCGCGTGATGAGAAAAAAAATGTTAAACTAAATCGTTCCGTTGTTAACCGCGAAAAAGAATTAAAAGTGAATCCTTTAAACGAAGTTCCTCTACTTTATATTTTTGATTGGTTGATCCCCAAAGGAAATTTAATTACACTGTGTAAAGATAAAAGGCCGGAAACGAAAAATCATTCCGTGTTGTTTAAAATGCTTAGGATTTTTGTTGAGGTTATTGGAAAAGTGCAATTATTTACTTATCAATATGCTTTGAGGTATTTATTATTTATTTAAGAATATATTTTAATGTAAAAAACGGTTTAGGACAAAATAAATTAATAAAATTATGCTAAGTTAGCCCCCGATTAGATTTTGATCCTTAAAATACTAATTAATCAAACATTATCTATCTTCCAACTCCAATTTCATAAAATATAATTTTGAAATGCAACAACTTATATTCTACTAATCATAATAAACTATGTAAAATGACTAAAAAAAATAGACTGATTCAATGTATTCTTATTAAAACAGAGAATATCAATTTTTTTTTTCATCTTTGGTCAAAGAATGACTTATCAGAATATTTTCTGCAGGAAACTTTCATATTTAATCAGCCGAGGAATTATAATTAATACCATGTTAGCACAAAGCTGGTGTCAAAAATGTAGCACCTCAGCTCACATTGTTTTGTGTTGATATGACATCGTGTATTTCAGTGTATTAAGCCGAGGTCGCTTGCGGCCGAGGCAGTAATTTGTTTCACACCAGTTTTGTATTAATATGGTACTAACCGCAATACCAATACTGTGATGTTGGTTGCATACTTGCAATGATGACGTCGGGTACGATAATTAACACACTGGTTTTAACTATGGTTTTAAATGTAGCGCTTCAGCTGCAAGCGACCTCGATTTAATACAGTAACTCGTGTATTTCAATGGATTAAGCAGAGGCCGAGGCAGTACTTTGTTAGACACCAGTTTTGTGTTTATATTCGGCCGTAAGCGACGTCGGTTTACTATACAGAAACACGTGATATCATTGAATTAAGGCGGGGGTCACTTACGGCCGAGGCGGCACGTTGTTTGACACCAACCTTGTGTTGATATGGTATTAATTGTAGCGCCTCGGCCGCAAGCGACCTCGGCTTAATATACTACATTACACGATATCACTATACCGGGTGTCCCTCAGAAGTGGCTCACCCCCCATATTTTTTTTTATTAGTAGTGATATAAGAAAACCATATGGAATGCATAGTTAGGCCGTTAAAACGGATTATTACGACATGAAATCATTCTCTTTGTACTTCCGGTTATACCGGATGTGAGTACTAATTTCGCTATTTTTTCAAATCTATAATTTTTTTTTCTTCAGTTGGGTAGACAGTATAGTTCCACATAATTTTTACTTGAAAAAATTTTTCGCGACTGCTTATAATTTTTGAAAAAAAAATTATTTTCGTTATTTTTTAACGTTTTAGTACCTTCGGAAAAAGAACCACTGACTAAAGCATAGCAGTGATCACTGCTCGAGAAATAGCAAATCAAGAGGGACATAGCGTAGTTTATACTATTAACCGAGCTACTATGCGTCAAAAGTTGTAATACATTTTCCGAAGATACTAAAACGGTAAAAAATAACGAAAATAATTTTTTTTTTAAATTATAAGCTGTCGCGAAAATTCTTTCAAGTAAAAGTTATGTGGAACTATACTGTCTACCCAACTGAAGACAAAAAAATTATAGATTTAAAAAAATAGCCTAATTATGCATTCCAAATGGTTTTCTTATATCACTAATAATAAAAAAAAATATGGGGGTGAGCCACTTTTGAGGGACACCCGGTATATGATATGCTCGTGTATTCCAACGGTTTTCGGACACCAGTTTTGTATTGATACGTTACCAACTGTAGCTTTTCGGCCAAAAGTGACGTCAGTTTAATACAAAGAAACACATAATATCACTGAATTAAGCCGAGGTCGCAAAACTGGTGCCAAACAAACTGATGCCTCGGCCGCTTAATACACTGAAATACACGATGTCACTGTATAAAACGGAGCTATTACAGTTAGTACCATATTAACACAAAACTGGTGCGAAACTGATGCCTCGGCCGCAAGCGACCTCGGCTTTCTACACAGAAATACATGATATTACTGTATAAAGCCGAGGTCGCTTGCGGCCGAGACGTTACAGTTAGTACCATATTAATACAAAACTGCTGTGAAACAACCTACTACCTCGGCCGCAAGCGACCTCGATTTAATTCCATGACATCATGTATTTCTGTATATTAAACCGACGTCACTTACAGGCGAAGCGCTACAATTAGTACCACATTAATACAAAACTGTTGTAAAACAACCTACTACCTCGGCCGCAAGCGACCTCGGTTTAATTCCATGACATCATATATTTCTGTATATTAAACCGACGTCACTTACAGGCGAAGCGCTACAATTAGTACCACATTAATACAAAACTGATGTGAAACAAACTGCTGTCTCGGCCGCAAGCGACCTCGGCTTAATATACAAAAATATACGATATCACTGTATAAATCCGAGGTTGNGTAAGCGACGTCGGTTTACTATACAGAAACACGTATATCATTGAATTAAGCCTGGGGTCACTTACGGCCGAGGCGGCACGTTGTTTGACACCAACCTTGTGTTGATATGGTATTAATTGTAGCGCCTCGGCCGCAAGCGACCTCGGCTTAATATACTAAATTACACGATATCACTATATATGATATGCTCGTGTATTCCAACGGTTTTTGGGCACCAGTTTTGTATTGATACGTTACCAACTGTAGCACTTCGGCCGAAAGCGACGTCAGTTTAATACAGAGAAAAACGCAAAACTGTTGTGAAACAACCTACTACCTCGGCCGCAAGCGACCTTGGCTTAATTCAGTGACATCATGTGTTTTTATATATTAAACCGACGCTTACTTACAGTCGAAGCGCTACAGTTACTATCACATTAACACAAAATTGATGCGAAACAAACTGCTGCCTCGGCCGCAAGCGACCTCGGCTTAATATACAGGGTGTCTCACGTAACTGGTTCGTTAGAACTTTCTCAGGTTCCACTATTCGTAAAGATTTGAAATTTTGGTAGCATGGGTTGTTCATTCGGAACTTTCGATCTAAAATATTTTCAAGATGGCCGCCACGTCCGGTCTACCGGAAGTAGACCATAACTTCGCTATTTTAAAAGGAATGCTACAGTTTTTATTACACCGTTTAATTGTACGTAAAAAAATAGGTTGACTTTGATAAAAGTTATTGATACCTAGCGTTTTTCGATATTTTCGTGGATACTCAAGATACTCTGATACAATATATAACAATCTATTTAAGAGCATCTGAAGAGTAATCGTGCCAATTTAGAGCTTTTTTGAATTAACGTTGGCTGGGATATAGGGTTTTAAAGGGCATGGTGAAATTTGCCAAAAAAACCTTAAAATCAAAATAACTCGAAACGAAAAACGCTAGGTACCAATAATTTTTATGAAAGTCAACACATTTTTTTACGTACAAGTAAAAGGTGTAATAAAAACTATAGCATTCCACTTAAAATAACGAAGTTATGGTCTACTTCCGGTAGACCGGAAGTGGCAGCCATTTTGAAAATATTTTAGATCGAAAGTTCCGACTGAACAACCCATACTACCAAAATTTCAAAACTGTACGAATACTGGAACCTAAAAAAGTTCTAACGAACCAATTACGTGAGACACCCTGTATATTAAGCCGAGGTCGCTTGTTGCTGAGGCATTACTGTTAGTACCATATTGACACAAAANAGGCGAAGCGCTATAGTTAGTACCACATTAACACAAAACTGATGTGAAACAAACTGCTGTCTCGGCCGCAAGCGACCTCGGCTTAATATACAAAAATATACGATATCACTGTATAAATCCGAGGTTGCTTGCGGTCGAGGCATTATAATTAGTACCATATTAATACAAAACTGTTGTGAAACAGCCTACTACCTCGGCCGCAAACGACCTCGATTTAATTCCATGACATCATGTATTTCTGTATATTAAACCGACGTCACTTACAGGCGAAGCGCTATAGTTAGTACCACATTAACACAAAACTGATGTGAAACAAACTGCTGTCTCGGCCGCAAGCGACCTCGGCTTAATATACAAAAATATACGATATCACTGTATAAATCCGAGGTTGCTTGCGGTCGAGGCATTATAATTAGTACCATATTAATACAAAACTGTTGTGAAACAGCCTACTACCTCGGCCGCAAACGACCTCGATTTAATTCCATGACATCATGTATTTCTGTATATTAAACCGACGTCACTTACAGGCGAAGCGCTATAGTTAGTACCACATTAACACAAAACTGATGTGAAACAAACTGCTGTCTCGGCCGCAAGCGACCTCGGCTTAATATACAAAAATATACGATATCACTGTATAAATCCGAGGTTGCTTGCGGTCGAGGCATTATAATTAGTACCATATTAATACAAAACTGTTGTGAAACAGCCTACTACCTCGGCCGCAAACGACCTCGATTTAATTCCATGACATCATGTATTTCTGTATATTAAACCGACGTCACTTACAGGCGAAGCGCTATAGTTAGTACCACATTAACACAAAACTGATGTGAAACAAACTGCTGTCTCGGCCGCAAGCGACCTCGGCTTAATATACAAAAATATACGATATCACTGTATAAATCCGAGGTTGCTTGCGGTCGAGGCATTATAATTAGTACCATATTAATACAAAACTGTTGTGAAACAGCCTACTACCTCGGCCGCAAACGACCTCGATTTAATTCCATGACATCATGTATTTCTGTATATTAAACCGACGTCACTTACAGGCGAAGCGCTATAGTTAGTACCACATTAACACAAAACTGATGTGAAACAAACTGCTGTCTCGGCCGCAAGCGACCTCGGCTTAATATACAAAAATATACGATATCACTGTATAAATCCGAGGTTGCTTGCGGTCGAGGCATTATAATTAATACCACATTAATATAAAACTGATGTGAAACAAACTACTGCCTCGGCCGCAAGCGACCTCGGCTTAATATACAGAAATACACTGTATTAAACTGAGATCGCTTGATGCTGAGGGACTGTTAGTACCATATTGACACAAAACTGGTGTGAAACAAACTACTGCCTCGGCCGCAAGCGACCTCGGCTTAATACACTGAAATATATGATGTCACGTACATTTTGGATTCTATAACATAAATTAAACAATGATTTATTAAATAATATTTTGCCGTAAAAATTTGTCAAAAAAGGTATTAACTTTTTATACTAGACTAAATAAAGTGAAGTATTTCGCATCCACGAATTGGATGATGGTATTAAGTTGGCAATACTATTTCTCTCTCCTTTTTTACATTACTATACCCATATATATATACTATCTCCTATATCGCTGACTAAGGCAGCAAAAGAGTGTAAACACTAGAGTGCAGATATATATATATCTGTCTCTGTCGTGCCNATTACCCTAACGAAGTATTTTCGACCACGAAAATACGATAAGAACTGGAGAGCGAACAACAGGATGTGTGTGCGACTAGATTATTTTTGCCCCTAGTTCATTTGCGCGGGTTGACCACCGAAAATGCGATAAGGTCGTATATATAAACTCTCGATTCCAAAAGCTCCCTCTCTTATTCTCTTATTTTCTTCGACTTCAACACAGTTAACAACTATCTTTTACTCGTCGCACATCTCCTGAATTCGTTCTTCAATCATCAAATTACTAAAGTGTAAGATGACAATAAAGTAAGAATTAAGCTTTACCGATTGTTGTGTTTTACTATCTACATCCTGACAAAAACTTCGTGTTGCCAAACACGTAGAAAAAACTGGCTGGTGTCACGACAATTGGTCAATTAATAAATGAAATAATTTACTTATTTGATTAATTAATTTTTTTGTGTTTTGTTCAAAATTCTTAAATATTTCAAATCGGGCATTTCGACATAATTATTCAGCCAGACGCATGTTTTCGTTTGAGATATAAAAGACTAAATTGGTCAAACCGTTCTTTAGTTATAGCGAATTTAATCAAATTAATTTTTTCTTATTGGGGGCTAGACTTCCAGTCGGTAGATACGTGGAGTCATTTAAATAACCGTACGTAGGTAATTAGTAAATTTTGAGATTGGGCATTTCCGCCTTCGCATTCGTTGTGGTTCATACTTTCGATTGAGACGTTGACGACTAAAATTGGTCAATTAGTTAAGGAGATAATTGATGTGTTTGATTAATTCGTTTTTTGTGTTTTAATCAAAATTCTTAAATACTTCGAATAGGGCATTTCGACAACTGCATTCAGCCAGGCGAAAGCTATCGATTGGCATATAAAACATTAAAATCCGTCAAACCGTTCTCTTATTGTAGTCGATTTAGTTTAAATTAATTTTTTTATATTGGGGACTAGACTTTCGGGCGTTCATAAGTGCGTAAACAACGAGCCGAACACAGTGTCATTCCGTGGGCTGTACAAGGTTAACGGGAGAGAATTGAAATCGGGCATTTTGTGATTTCGATAGAAGAAACTATGACGAATCGAATGACGTATAAATCTTGATCATCGGGTACATCGTTTACGAGTTATCACCACTTAAAAAAGGTCATTTTTCTGTTATTTTCGTGTACCTTCGCATTATTTTGGCATTTTAGCGGAATTCGAAAGAGATTTCGAATCGGGCATTCCATTTTCGTATTGGCCAAGGATTGAGCTTTCGAAGGAGACATTGTTTATCGAAATCGGTTGACTCGTTCTCTTGTTATAATCAAAATACTATACATGTAAAATCCTATCTAATTGGGGGCTAACTTCGCATAGGTCCTGCAAGCGACCTCGGCTTAATACACTGAAATATATGATGTCACGTACATTTTGGATTCTATAACATAAATTATAAAAACAATGATTTATTAAATAACANGGATAAAATTTTATTATTTTTAGGTTATCCAGCTTGACTCGGTTACCATGGTGATTAAGATTCAAATATTGCAGTTGCTTGTCAAAATTGACGTTGAATTTAAGTTTTTTTAATGAAAAACACATAATTAATTGGATTTAAAGATTGTATGTAGATATAGGAGATAGTATATATATGACTAAACCCATAAACTTACTTACGTCATTTCTTGGTCAAAAATTAAGCAGTTGAATGACTTATAACCAATATTACACATGAAAAATCCTATCTAATTGGGGGCTAACCTCGCATAGGTGATTAATAATCGTTGTATAAAAAATATATTAATTATTTTTTTTGATATGGTTTATAATCACATTTCCAATATCAACCATCTTTTTATCTTTTTGATCTAAAACAAATTAAATTAGTTGGTTCGATTCAAACTCACGTTCTTCTTAATTACCATTAAATAAAACCAAATCGCAGAGATCGCGAGTTTCCTCCGAATTCTCCAAGATATCTTTTAACGTTTGATAAAAGTTGATTATAAATTCGTTTTGAAAAGTTTCGTATAAAACTTAAAAGAAATAATCTTTACGATTTATTCCGTGTTAAATAAAAATTACTAACCTGCATGGGGATTGTTGGTGTGGACGATATCGTACATCGTCCTTAAAGGTGTTGCGTATTCAGCACAAACGTAATAACGATTCCCATCTTTTTCTAGTTTATAAACCGTGTTTTTATAAACTCGGTTGTGAACTCCGCCTCGAGATACTTCGATCGTACCTAAAGACTATTTATACATAATTAATTAAAAAATAATAATTATTTAATTATGTATGTATGTACTTGCGCGAGGCTAATATATTTCGAGTGGTCCACTAAATTAGGTGGGCAGAACAAAGACATTGGGACTAGAATGATCAATTTATTATAAGCAAATTGTATTCCGTGTTTGCTTTCAAAATCAGCTTGAAACTCTTTAAATCCTTTTTGTTGCGTGCCCGTATTTGGAAGAACGATTTTTAAGAAACCATGATAATATGAGTAAGCCATAAATACACCGCTATCTAACCCCCCCAATTTTTCCATCATTTTTGCGCGATGAATCGAGGCGGAACCCTAAACATGTATTAATTAAAAATTTATAACATTAATTAAATTATTAATTATTATATTACAAGTGGCACAATTTTTTGTAGAATTAAACTTGAAAATAACGCAAAAAGATTACTGGAAAATCCAAAATTCTCCATGATTTTTATAATATTTGAACCATAAGGAGTTGTGCTTAAAATTATGATGGTAACTAACATTATTGTTATGATAATCATATCAGAATAAATGGGAAAGATGAATTTAATCAGTAATAACCAATTATTCTTGTAGCGTGAATCTAAATGTTTCATCTCTTCTATAAATAAGCTTATTTTTTCAGCAAAAATAACTGAAGTAAATAGTAAAAAGTTAAAGGAAAGAGATACACCTAAAAAAAAGATATTTAACACATTCAGAATTAACACATTTACAACTTACATATGTATTCGAATAAAGTATCACTTTTAAGGAAATGACAACCAACTAAAAATGAATTAATTAATATAAAAATTAATGAACAAATGTAATTACTAACTTAAAAAAGAAATCGCAGCAAGAATAAACATCACAACCTCAAAAGTTATCCCACGTTTCTTTGGATTTATATGGATGAAAGAACCCAATTTATCTCTCTAAAAGAAAAAAACGAAAAAGCTCTCAAATTGGAGTTAATTATTAAAATTAAAAATTTGCATACCTTCCCCATCGTTTTAGCTTTTATATTATAAAATTGAGATTGTATCAAAGCCTTTCAGTCCATCTATTTGCTGATTTTGCACTTTTCCCAAACCGCTTATCCATCAATCCAACTTTAAAGATAAAGCTGAAATAGAAATCAACAAACTATTTATAAGATAAGCATAAACGCTTCTAGTTGAAATTTAATATCTCCGATAACAACTAATATTTTTTATTAAATTTATCAAATTCAATACAAAATTGAGGTTATGTCGATATGTCAATGTCAAGGACTAATAACCAAAAAATTTTTGATTTAATTCGATTTTATTATCGAAACGGTTAATCGATTCTGTTTTAATAATAAATTCGTTATTTATTATTATTTAAGTTATATAACTAAACAAAAAAAAATTTATTATTAATTTATATTTGTAATTTTAATTATGCGGCTAACTTCACAACACTAACATAACCTCAAAAAAAAATTAATTTTTAAATATTTTATTATTACACCATTATAATAATAAAAAAAATCACCTTAACACACAATATCAATAAATAAATTAATAAAAACGTACACGAAAAAATATATCATTAAATCTTGTATAAATGTAGTTATCGTGCTCATTATATTCATAATTCTCCCCGAAACGCGGGGTGAAATCCTTGCGAACATCGATATAATGAAACTTATATTATTTATGGGCGGATTTGTTTTTAACATAAACAAATTAATGAATTCGTACAAAAGGAATGGGGTAAAAATGTGATTGGAATAAGGTAAATCGTAGGAATCGGATAATTTTAAAATGATTAATTGCAAAATTGTTGTAAAAGTAGCCAAAGCCATCACAACGATTATTCGTAGGTTTTTTTTGTGCGATTCGGTCTCGGTCGATCTTACACTAGGGGATGAAACGCCTGAAAAATTACCATTTTGGAAAATTGAGGTTAAACTTGCACTTAATTCGTTTAGAGGTGGTTCTTGGTTGTTTTGATCAACGAATGTACTTGTATGCGAAACTGCTTCACAGGCAGATTCAGTTTTTAAGTCTTTAGCTGCAAAAAACGCCTAAATATAAACCGAATTATTATTTAAAAGTACCATACGTGTTTCGTTAAACAAATTATGAATTTTTTCTATTCTTGTACCACCATGTTCAATGACTCTCCTCATTCTTCGCTCTCTTCTTGCTTCAGACGTCATTTTATTTCTATCTATAGTTTATTTTAAATTAATTTGTTGTTTAATTCATTAAAAGTAACAATGTTTCGACTTGACCGATTTTGACAATGACAGATATAGATAGGTAACTGTTAAAAAACTGCTGATTAAGCGATTTTAGCGCCATCTATTGGCACTCAATCAATTCATTATACAAAAACTGTAAATTTTGAAACAATTAAAATAGCTAATAGGGTAATAATCTATTTTTTAATTCGGAATTAAAAAAATATTAAAATATAAAGCGAAATATTAACGGGCAAAAATTTTATTATTTTTAGGTTATCCAGCTTGACTCGGTTACCATGGTGATTAAGATTCAAATATTGCAGTTGCTTGTCAAAATTGACGTTGAATTTAAGTTTTTTTAATGAAAAACACATAATTAATTGGATTTAAAGATTGTATGTAATTCAAAATGGGTAAATGGATGAAATTATAAACAAGGTCAGTGGATTAAATCAAAAAAAAAAAAAAAATGTACAAGAATTTAGGGTTAAATAACAATTCAAACTAGAACTAACACTAGACCTAGAACTAAAAAGTTGTAAGTTTAGCCGGGCGTCTTAGACAAGAACTTAGGAAAGTCCTAAACCCGAATATTTCTAGTTCTAGGTTCATGTTATTAGTTAAATTTTCCTAATAAACAATTTTTAAATTTTTTTCAAAATGTAATGTGTATAAATCAATATAGTTTATAATAGAAATATTATTTAGTTGTTTTTTTTTTTTTATTAATAATGTATAACCAATACTTTAAAAAATTAATTTTCAAAAAAAAAACAGCTTAAGTATTCGTTTTAATAATGGTTCGCAACTTAACTAATCACCAGTAGTTCAACTAATGAATAAAAGATGTCGCATGACGAAGTCCCTAGATTATCAAAGTACCACGGTTTACCGCCATTTTGGCTCGAAAGTCAAGCGGGAAATTTAAAACTATGTCGTTCTATTGATAAACATTACTCCAAAACTCCTTTCGCTTTTCTCGTGATACTCTTAAGAGTCGAAAACCCTTCTATAAGAAAACCCTTCTTCGTATAAAAATAAAAATTAATAACTTACCCACTTGCATTCATTGTGGGCTTTTTCGGATGTATTTAACAGTGTTGTATGTGTAATTATGTATATTAAGTTTATGTACTAAATCATATATTTATACATGTATTGTCTACAATTTCTCATTAACACAAGCTTTAATCCACTTTTCAAATCGTGACAGCTGTCAAAAAATAGTGCCATCTTAAGAAAAATGAAATTTTTTAAACAATTTATTAATTTATTTCTAAATTAAAATAATATTAGAAATAATTCAATTAAAATTAACTAAAAATAGTTTATTTATAATTAAATAAGAAAAATTGAAATAAATTACAAATTAAGTTTGACACAATTTTCTAAACATAACCTATCTTTTTCCTATCTAAATATAAAGGACGCTTATTCTTCTTTTCGGTTATTTCCTCTAGTTAAGCGTTAAAATGGCTGTACAAACGAAAGCGTACAGCTTTTTCAACAATTTTAGATCGATTTTAACCAACAGGTATTAATTAATCGTTAAAATGAATTAAGTAAACTTAACCTCACTTTCTTAATTTATTGCAGGATTTCCCTCAGCGTGCAACCCACTTTAGGAATTTCAACGGAAACTAAATCCAAGCTCAATACTTTACCTGAGAAACCAAAAAAGCCCCAAACAACATTCATCCGTTTTTGCCAGGAGCACAGAGCGGAAGTTGTAAAAAGCAATCCATCTGTTAAATTAGGTGAAATAACCAAAATTTTAGCAGAAAAATGGAAAACTGTTAATGAAGATGTTAAAAAAGCATATGAGGAGAAGTACAAAAAAGAAATGGTTAAATACACAAAAGAACATTTAGATTATTTAGCGAGTCTTACAGATCAACAAAAACAAATTTTAAGTGATTATGCTAAAGAAAAGAAACACATTAAAGAAACGAAAAAGTTGCATCAATTTTACAAGGATTCGAATAAACCAAAACGTCCTAAAGGACCCTACATGTGGTATGTAACAGAAAAATCCTCCATCGATAAGCAACCATTAAGAACATTATTATCCGAATGTAAAGGAAAATGGATGAATATGAGCGAATCTGAAAAATTAAAATACACCCAAATGTATGAAGATGATAAAAAACGTTATGAAACTGAAATGGAAGCTTGGGAAGGAAAGATGATTGAGGAAGGTCACTTAAATGTCATTCGTAAATCTACTCTTGAAGATCATAAACCAAAATCAAAACCAAAACGTAATGTTGAAAAGAAACCGAAAGAAAAAGTCAGTCAAAAATAGGGGGGCGCATGTTCTTACCAAATTGAGTCCGCCGAATGCGGTAGGGACACCTCGGAAGTGAGTTTGTTCTCGAATCAAAGTGCCAATGAACTAAATAAAGGTGAAAATAAAGTTCAAATAAAAGAAAAAGAGGTGGATAAAACTGAATTAAATGAAAATAAAAGTGAATCTGGTGGTTTGGTCTCGAGGATTAAAAAGGTGTTTAATTTTAAATTTTGAATAGTATCAATTTTTTTTTGTGTTAGTTCTTTAATTCATTCGAAGATTTCGTTATAATTTTTTTTTTAATCTGTGTGTTTTTTGAAATAAGATTTAATAAAATCTCTTTTGTATTTAATTTTTTGTCTTTTAGATTCTAAGTCAGTATGTTACCGAGAAGTTGGATAATGTCAAAATTGACAGATTACAGGAAACTGTAAAACATGTTGGTAAAATAGAAATCTGTACGAATGCTAATTTATATTAATAATAAAATTGTTACTCAAAAAACCGATTTTCATTTCTTCCTACCTAACTCAAATTATTATTAACTAAACATATATATTACCGAAAATAAAAATTCAAGAAAAAAGAGTCAAGTTGGATAACCTTAAAGTAATAAAATTTTATTCCGATTTTTCTATCAATTCTAACCTAATTTTTATTAATTTTAAAACAATCCGAATTCTTTACGATTATCTCGTATTCATAACAAATTCGTTAATTGTAATTAATTTATATCGATTCTAATTAAGAGAAATAATTTTTTTGATTTAATCCACTTACCTTGTTTATAATTAATTCCCTAGATAAACCAATTTTGAGTTAAATACAACCTTTTAAACCAATTAAATAAGACTTTTTCCTTAAAAACACTTAAATTCAATTTCAATTTTAACAAGCATCTGCAATATTTGGATCTTAATCACTATGGTAACCGATTCAAGTTGGATAACCTAAAAATAATAAAATTCTTTCTAATTCTTGGTTCTAATGATAGTGCTAGTGTAAAACTAGAACCTACACTAGACCCTAGAACTAGAAAGAAAAGTGGATCAAAAATAGGGAGACCTCGGAAGTGAATTCGTTCTCGAATCAAAGTGCCAATGAACTAAATAAAGGTAAAAATAAAATGTTGGAAGATAAAATTCAAATAACAGAAAAAGAGGTGGACAAAACTGAAATAAATGAAAATAAAAGTGAATTTGGTGGTTTGGTCACGAGGATTTTGTATTTAACTTTTGTCTTTAGAATCTTTAAACCAGTATGATATCGAGAAGTTGGATAATATCAAAATTTCCATAGACTTAGATTACAGAAAACTGTAAAATATGCCGGTAAAATAGAAATCTATACGAATCCTAATTTATATTAATAAAATTGTTACTCAAAAAATCGATTTTTATTTCTTCCTAACTCAAATTATTAATAATTAAAAATATATATTCCCGAAAAAACAGATTCATTGAAAAAATTATAAATACTGCGCTAATTCGAAATTGTAGAATTGAAAGATTACTCATTTTCAGTATTAAAATTAATTTTTATCGCAAAAAATAAATGTGATGGGAGAAAATGTTTCATACAAAAAACATTCAAAATTAACATAAATATAATTTATCATCAAGGTTTATAACCCATCTTTGATCCACACAACTGCGCAAACCCGATATAATAATATTAAAAGATTTCTCATTTTCGGCCATATACTTAGTAGCTTTTTATCTCAAAAACTAAACATGATGGAAGAAAATGTTTCATATAAAAAACGTTCTAAATGAACTCAAATATAATTTGTCATAACCGATTATAACCCATCTTTGATATATACAAATAACCAAACTTGAAATTTTAGAATTGCAAGATTATTCATTTTCAGTATTAAAATAAATGTATATCTCAAAAAATAAATGTGATGGGAGAAAATGTTTCATACAAAAAACATTCAAAATTAACCCCTAACATAATTTATCATTAAATTTTATAACCCATCTTTGACTCAAAAAATTGCGCAAACCCGAAATTGTAGAATTGAAAGATTTCTCATATTCAATATTAAATTAATTTTTATCTCAAAAAGTAAATATGATGGGAGAAAATGTTTTATATAAAAAACATTCAAAATTAACTTAACAAGGTTTATAACCCATCTTTGACTCAAAAAATTGCGCAAACCCGAAATTGTAGAATTGAAAAATTTCCCATTTTCAGTATTAAAATTAATTTTTATCTCGAAAAGTAAATATGATGGGAGAAAATTTAGAATTTGACTCTCTTCTTCCTCCTTTTATGTACCAAAAGTGTTTTCCAGGTCATTTTGATCATTTGTGTGTTGTTTAGAGAGCTAGGATATATCTGTTAAATTAAAATTACCTTCTCGAATAACTGTAGGTATTTTAAGTTGCATGTCCAAATATACCAAATCTAAATCAGTCGGTGTAACTTCTTTTGGAGACGTTTCACTATCTCTTAAAACAAGGCAAATCTGAAACTAAAATAAAAAATTAATTATTAAAAGGCCAGGAAGTGGGTGAGGAGCTTCAAGTCACTTTTTGATTTTCCCAAGTGAGTTGACCTCTTCTGGTCAGGGTAGAGCAGAGTTTTCTTTCTTTTACTACAGTCTCATCCCATTTATCGCAAAAAGCTCAATGGGAGATGGATTTGATGAGCTTTGATGTTATATTTATAGTTATATTTCGTGGTTAAGCAAGTAGGTGTGATGTAGTCTGTGCGAGCTTCAAGGAATTATTGATTTGAAACATTTTTAAAATAAAACACCCAATAGAAGAAATCAAACATATATTTTTATTTTCTGCGAAACATTTACTTCAGTAAATTCAGGAAGAAAATTCTTTTACATTGTAACGAGGCGTGTGTACGCCTCAATAGGGTTCTTTCGTTTTCCTTGTACTTATCACTAAAACAGTATAAGAGACACCGCATTTTTTTCGTGTACCTTAATCCGTGGGTTTGTAATCAAATAAATAATCGGAAACAAAATTAAAAACGCTTAATATAGAGTTTTTATACACAGCTAAATGAGCCACCGAGATTTTTGTTGCTCCTTTCTTTGTTATTACATAAAACGCGCCACATAAACAACAACCAAATTGCAAAGCTGTTTGTTTACTTTTAATCTTGTTTTAGGTATTTATTTTTATTAATATCTATTTCTTTTTTTCGATCATTTCCGAGTTTCTCTTTTCTTATTTTTTTACGACGAAGACAACTTTTTTTTTGTAGTAGTAGTAATAGTACTGAATGCTAAACGAAGGTTCCATTTACGATTATACGTTTCTTTTTAAATTATTACCATTGATGTGGTGATGACTCAAAGGGAGCGGGGTGGCAATAAAAATATTTACAAAAATAATTATATTACAATGACTAAATATATATTTTTTTTAATAGAGTAATATAGCGGAGTAACATCTACAAAAAAATCCCTAAAATCGGGGAATTATTTTTTCTTTTAGTGGTTCATGATTCTTTTAGTGTGTGTAATATATCTTTGTTTCGTGGGGGCAATTAAATACGATTTTTTTTTTGTTCTTAAATGTGACTATTATTTAGAGAGCATTATTTAAATAAAAAAACATCAAAATAGCCACATTTAATAATGATAATAATAATAATAACACCTTACATAATAATACTCTACATAATATTGTTTAAAAAAGAAATAAAATACAATTCTATTTATACAAAGCCTTAAATGGATCGAATCGTGCTTCGAAATAAATTATATAAATGGCACCCTATGACGTAAATTAGAATTAATAATTCAATTGTTAATAATAAATTATAAAAAAAGTCCTATAACTTCTTGGATCCATCGTCGTATTAAAAATTATCACACAATACATCTTTGTTATTGCTTTTTTGTAAATTAAAAAGGGAAGGGAGGTTATGGGATGTTTTTTAATTTCATTGAGGATTAATCCAGTTATAATAAACATAAAAATCTTTTACACCATCTTATATAAGGTATGTATAGTATAGTTGTTTACTTAATTTCTTTGTTATATATTTGGCGATCTTATTACGTTGTACAAAACCTCATAATTCAATACTGTACATAGATTTTCGTCCTCCACTGTACATTTTGACAGGTCAAACTTTTTAAAATTGAGAACTTAAATTTTGCTTGATTAAGTAAACTGTAAAAGTGATCAAAATAAAGAAAATGTGAGAAACTCACCATATTTCCCGTGCTTTCATCAAGGAAAAGATTATTTTTCCCTTTTTATACTTAAAACGGCATCACAACAATAACGAAGTGACATCTTAAACCACCAACTTCACACCAAATGCGGCGGCGTAACGAAACCAAAAATTACGATCGTAAAATAATCTGTATCTTCTTTTTGTTTAAACAAAAAGAAAATGCGAAAATGAAAACCTCGGAATACTATAAAAATATTAATCTTTAAAGATAATTTTATCGTCAATAATCACGAAAAATTTAATAAACAAAATGAGCGCCATCTCTTATTGATAAATCACAACGTAAATGTCAAAAGATTTTATGTTTAATTTTTAGATTTAATTAATTAATTATTATATCGTTATTTAATTGTGTTAAACATTTCATAACACGCTTATTTTGTGTTTCGTTACCTCGCCAAATTCAACAAGAAATCGTTGAAGATAAAAATAAGATAAAATAATGATTTAATTTTTTAAAATAGGGTTTAGTCCAAAATAAAGAAAATGTGAAAAACTCACCACATTTCTCGTGTTTTAATCAAGAGCACGATTATTTTTTACTTTATCTACTCAAAACGACGTTAAAACGACTTTACGAAGATTTATCTTAACCAACTTACACTAAATGCGGTGACGTAACGAAACAACATTATAATCATAAAATAATTATCTTTTTTATTTAAACAAAAAGAAAATACTTAAATGAATAGCGCGGAATATTATAAAAATAAATGTTTTTTTCTTTAAAAATAACTTAATCGTTTATAATCGCGAAAAATTTAAAAACATAAACGAGCGCCATCTCTTTTCAAAAAAATAAGTTATACACGATTATTATTAAAAAATTTTTAATAACATTTTATGTAATAAGTTTTATATTTAATTAATTTATTATTAAATCATCATTTAATTGTGTTAAAACTTTTATAACACACTCATCTTGTGTTGTGTGACATCACCACATTGACATGAAGTTGTTAAAGATAAAAATAAGGTAAAATAACATGAAAATAAAGAATTAATCATTTTTTTCGAATTAAAACTTAAACAATCTTTGCTAAAATCACACTAAATACACCAAAAATGTTTCGTTAAAAGTTTTTCTAAAAAATAAATTTTGACAAGTATCCAAACATAACCTAAATTTGAATCATTTTTAGATAACTCCCAAATAATTTCAAAAATCTACTAATATGTTGATTGATATTGACAAGAAGATGGTAAAGAAACGTTTTCGTAAAGTTTATTACAACTGGATTAATAATTTAAATTCTTATTTTTGATTAGGAATAGATCTCATCCTTTACGCCGTTTCACAAAGTTACTAATAATGATTTTTTGGTTTTATCGGAAGAATTTCATTCAATCATAAATCATAATCCCTGATAAAAAGATTGGAAGAACTTTACTGAGGAATTTTGTTGTTTCAATTTATTATTATTTAAACAAAAATGCTGTTATTTCTTAATATTTTTTTGAGGTTGCTTTTGCAAAAAAAGTTAAATGAAATCATTTCAGATTTTATTTAGAGAGCTTTAACACAAACTAAAAAATATTTTAGAGTAGAGCGCATTTAAAAGCAACATAATTCTAAATAATTTGACCATCTTGCAAAAAATACTACTAATACTGTACACATCATATTGTTTTTTCACCTAGATAACTTTTTAATAAAAATTAGAAACCGATTTAAAACTAAAAAAAAACGTTTTTTTAAGTTCGACGAAAGAATGCCCGAGCTATTCCATTATTTTAAACCCTTTCCGTATCAATTTAATCTCTTAAAGACCTATTTTAAAGGGCTTTTTTTATTGTTTCACCATCTTCTACACCTTCACGACTATTTTAAATTCTTTATCGTTCAGTTCAGTCATGTTCAAAAAATAAAAACTCTACAGGGTTGATTTTAGCCGATTTAAACTCAAATTACTGTAGAAGGTTTTTCTTAATTGAACATACCTTATTTATGTGCGTGTAATACTCCCTTATTGTTATTCATTTTATGCTTTTTTAATTAATTATCAATATTTTTTATAACGTTTTGAGAGCACGGAATAAAATGTAATAATATTAGAACTTATACGTAAAATTTTTTCACTTTTTGGTATTGTTCGAGAGCTTAGATTTTTAATTAACACTTTTTGTTATTATTATTTTTTTTTGTACAGGGCAGAGTCCGTTTTACCTTTATTTTTCATTAATTTACTTTTTATCTGCGTCTAATTACCATTTGTGTTACGGTTGGCAAGTATCGCGTTTCGGTTATTCGTTTCCGTACCGTATATTTTACCTGCTTTCTTCGCCATCGAACCCAACAATTCTTGAGACGTTTTATGAGCTGACTTTAACGATGTCAACCATTCTTTTAGGCTTATTTCATCCTTAAAAATTACCAAGTTCAATTAAATCCATTAACACTTAACTTATACTTTGATTATTGTTAACTATACTCTATTTTTTAATTCGAAGGAGTGTTTTCAAATTAAACCGCCAAAAAGAAGCTATTGGTCAGTTTTAAACAAAAATTACACTACGAAAATTCGAGATGTTGTCGGCCGCTAAAAAGCGTTCGGGTTTAGTCGCACGTATAGTGTTACTTCTAGTTTTACACTAGCAATGTTACTATGTAGAATTAACACTATACCTAGCACTAGAATCGTAATAAAAAATAAACTTCAATGAATTTTTTTTGTTTTTTTATGGTTGGCAATAAATATATTGACGTTGCGTTAAAATGGCGGATAATAACGAATAAAATTAATTTCACGTTTAACGTAGAGTGAAGTTAGGTTTTATCTTTGTGCATAATCACGTGGGAAATTAAAAATCCTTTAATTTGAGTCCAAACACGACCCAATTATCTTCAAAAATACCCGAGATATCCACATTTAATTTTGACATAACCTCAAAAAAGTGACAACCGGAAGTTGGTGGTGTTGTTTTTTAAGATAACTCGACCGAGTTTGGGCTCATCTTAAAGGGAATTTAATGTAGATTACGAATACGATTTAAGATTAATCAAATTCGATAGTAATAAAAACAAAATGGAGGATGATTTAAGAATAATGATTCGATTTCAACGAAATTAAATTCGCCGGGTATTTTTAGATCTAAAAATAAAGTTTTTCGTTACTATTTATAAGATATCACCAAGTTATATATTTTTGTTGAATTAAAACTAGAAGTAACACTATACTAAGAACTAAAAACATTTAAGGTTCTTGTTTTTAGTCTATCTTGTTTTGTTTTTTTGTTTTTTTTTTAGATAAATGTATCATGTTTACAAGAATACATCATGAAAGGACACCATGAAGTTGTCCATTATTCTTATTATATGATAACTAACTTCAGATTTTAAATGTCAACCTCAATTTTGACATATTTGTAATCTTCATTAAAAATCCTTTAAAACGAGTACAAACACGACCTATTTATCTTCAATATTAATGAAGTTATGATCAACTTCCGGTTGGGAATATCAACGTCAATTTTGACATATTTGTAATCGTCGTGAAAAAATCCTTTAAAATTAGCCCAAATATGATACGCTTAATTCCAATATTACTCGAGATAGAAGCAACTTCCGGGTTTGAAATGTCAATGTCATTTTAATATAATCTTAATTTTCATAAAATGTCTTAAAATTTGTCACAAAAACAAAAATATAATAAAAAAAATCAAAAATTAAGGTTGGTATTAATATTTAAAAATTAAATTGCTATCTTCATTGTTGCTAACTTCGGGTTTAATGTTTTTTATTGTACCTTTTTTGTTTTTTGAGATAATTGCGTCATGTTTGGACTTATTTTAAAGGTTTTTTAATGAAGATGACAAATATGTCAAAATTGACGTTTCAAACCGGAAGTGATCGTATTTCCATTAATATTAAAGTTAAATATGTCGAGTTTGGACTCATTTTAAAGGATTTTTTATGAAGTTGACAAATATGTCAAAATTGACGTTTCAAACCGGAAGTGATTGTATTTCCATTAATATTAAAGTTAAATATGTCGAGTTTGGACTCATTTTAAAGGATTTTTTATGAAGTTGACAAATATGTCAAAATTAAAAGTTGAAAGTTCGAACTTTTTGGTTTTTTGAGATAACTGCGTCAAATTTGGACTTACTTTAAAGGTTATTTTGTGAAGATTACGAATATAATAATAAAATTAAAGTTAACATTGACAACTGAAAGTTTTTTTCAGGACTAAACCCGATAGTTCTAGTATTGCACTAACACTATAACTAACACAAAACATAGAACTAGAATCATTCGGGTTTAGCCGTCTTGAGAGACGTGCGGCTAAATCCGAATGTTTCTAGTTCTAGGTCTTGTGTTAGTTCTAGTTTTAGTTCAATAAAAATATGCAACAGTGATATTTTATGCTAACTAGCGCTACTTACAACCTACCAGCCGTCTTAAGAGAGGTACAGCTAAACGGAATGTTTCTATTAGTCTAGTTTTATTTGTTATTCAACGCTAGATTATTGTATATTTTTATTGAGCTATAATGGACACTGCCTTCCCCGTATTAATCCATTATATCGAGGTTTTAGTGTAATGTCAAATGATTGGGTCTTTATTATGTTTAAACAAATAGCTCCCGCCAAAAAATAGCTTTGAAAAATTACAATGTGTAAATGTAACTTTTCATTTTACTCCTCCGAAATAAAAAATAAAAAAATAGAGTATAATGGATTAATGAAATCGACTTTAAATTGAATTTTGGATTAATTAAACAATTAATTGTTACTTACAGGATAAGTAAGAACTATTTTTCCATCTCTCATCCTAATAACTATACAATTCTCGTTTTTGACTTGAACCAAATCGGGGCTAACCTCCTCGACTTGATCCATAAAGAACATTTCGGGTTTCGCAGATTCCGGATGAAGCTCTATCCGATTGGGATAAAGTTTCGCGTAGCGCATTTGCCAGCTGGACGTCCAAGGTCCGCCAAGTTTTTTAATGTATCCTTGCAGGATACAATCTGATTCTAAAAGAATCATGACGATCAAAAAAGAAATGAGATAATCAAAATCGATTAATACCTTTTTCATCTAAATCAAATTTCATTTTTTGTTTGGCCTTTTTCTTGTTTTCGGCTTTGTTCGCTTCGAAATTAATCGTATCGAAGACCGTTTCAGCAACTTCGTTTTGCCAACGTTCGGAAATGACTAGAGGAAAGTTTTTGTACAGTTCTTGATCAGCTTCTGTGAGCTGGAATTAATTTCTTGATTTATTTTGGTTATTTTTGATTATTTTTTTTTTATTTTACCTTAATACCTTTGGTGTCTTCTTCGTCAAATGAGCCGATGTCGAAAGCATCGGCCGCGTTTACTTCCCCTCTTGGTGGCATCAACGGGGGGCTATATTTTTGCATATACACTTGTTGCCAATCGATACCACCAAAGAAAGGGTGCTCCTTTACTTCATCGGCTCTGTTGATTCAATTTAAATAAATTTTTATTAACAGAAATGTTTCATAAATTTACCCATTGCCTTTACATCCTAATCGTTTATCAACGTCGCGTTGAAGTAATCCTTCTAATAACGATTTTAATTCTTTACTAAACGTGTCTGGTAACTCAACGTTCATGGTTAGCGTCATTCGATCTATTTCGTGTTTATCCTTGGTTTTGTGTTGGCGGAAAGGAGAGTGGCCTTTTAGTAACTTGTAAAGCATACAACCGAAACTGAACCAATCGGCGCTCGAATCGTACGCGGTGCCTTTCGAAAGAACTTCCGGGGCCATATAACCATGAGTTCCCCTAAAACAAAGAATTAACCACAATTAATTAAATCGGTTTGAGATTATGAAAGATATCTCACGATTTTAATGTTTAATAAAAAGTTTGGTTATCTTACACACTAGCGTGAGGTTTCTTTTTGGAAAAATCACAAGCTAAACCGAGATCCGATATCCGCACGTGACCATGCTCATCTAATAATATATTGGCAGGTTTTAAATCTCGGTAAACTATATATCTCCGATGCATGTGCTCTAAACCTAAATTAAACGTTGTTATTGAATAAATTGGTTGTTTTAATCATTATTTAATTACCTAATATAACTTCGGCCGCGTAAAATTTCATTTCAGACTCATTAAAAACGCCGTGTTGACTGAGATGGTAATGGAGATCACCGCCGTTCATTAAATCGAGTATGAAACAGAGTTTGTCGGGTGTATGGAAGGCGTATGTCATGCAAACGATGAACGGGCAGTCGATTCCGGTGCTAACCAACGAAAGCATTATGCGTTCGTTCAACGCTAACGTTTCGCCTTGTTTCATTTTGATTCGTTTCTTATCGAGGCATTTCATTGCGTACATTTTACCAGTATCCGCTTTTCGGCAACCGTACACTTCACCAAAACCTCCCCTGCCAATTATCCGGTGTACACTGAAGTCATTCATTGTGAGCTATAAATATTACAAAAAATTAATTTATGAACAAATTGGTTAAAAATACTGTAAAACCTCGATATAACGGAATCAATATTTTTAAATCATGGTATTTGTTAATAAAAAAATCTAGTGGTTTGAGATCTGGCGATCTTGGAAACTATACTACAGGACCATGACGATCCAGCTTGTATCAAAATGGTCATTTACTTAATTAAGTCACCATCATGTTGGTATCAATCAAATGTCGTCCAGCTGTGCCAACGGAATATCATCCATGATATTTTCTACTGTGTTTTCCAATAGATTTAGATATACGCCTAAATTAAATCTTTGATCAATCAACACAGGTGGCAACATGTTTCTAGTGAAGATAACAACCCAAACATAACAACGTAACTGTTATGCACGTTCTTGACACCATCTCGCCGTAATTAATGTAATAAATTATATAATACTTATAATATGTAATAAAGTAATTCGATGTACAAAAGATTGAGAAGTCTGACAACTTTTCTTGTGCTTACGAAAGGTTCATCAATAACCACGTCAATAGAGCCTTCCTATGTCTGTACATTGTGATAAACACGTGGACCTCCTCCATGAGTTTGTGCAATACCAATTACGCGTAAAGACTGCTGCCTACGATTTGGAAATTTTTGGAAAGCCGCTTCCATTGCAGAAACCTCTTGATTAGTAAATTCTGGCATTATTACTAATAAGTGTTTGAGCGTTATATACAGTGTGTCCGTAAAGTAACGGATATAGGCGATAAAATCATTATAAACGATTTATGGAATAATCCCTGAAACGGGTCTAAAGATTTAATTTTTTTGCAATTGTTTGGTGCAGATTTCAAATTTCTTCCGGCATTTTTAAACGAGTTATGACGTCATCGGTATTTTTTTCAAATGGCAATCCCCCATTTTTATTACGGAATATGAAAGAAGATTTTTTTCTGAATCTAATACAGTCAATATTAATATTGTTTAAAATGTTCGAGAAAAATTACTTTAAAGTTAACTACTTCAGATTTGTTGACATGATGAAAATAGCAATAGCCATGAGTAACTATGGTAACCAATTATTTTAAACAATTTCCTAAGTGTCAAAAACTGATTTAGTAAGTGCTGGAGCAGGATTACATGTTGCTCGAAGTCTTCTGAAAGAATCGCTAAAAACTGAATAATACGGCAAATGATGCTGTGAAAATTTTTCTTGATAATGTCGTACTGATTGTCGAGCATTTCAATTGCAAAAACCATACACGAAAATTGTATCAGCATACTCTTCAGTGCTAGAAGCGTACATTTTGAGTTTCTTCTTGTATGTAATAATTAAACCTTACAGCAAACTGACATATTACAACGACAACTTTGTTTTTGTTAAATATTTGATTTTACTGACTATTAATAAATTCGCTGCAGAAAACTTTAAAGTGTTATAATTTCGTAAATAATTGAAATAGGGTTCATTAACATTTTATTTTGGTAATTGGATTAGCTATCATATGTCAAAGTTTGATGGTGAGCTAATAAATCAGCCTGTATAAGGAACAATTTTGCCTCAAATCGCCGAGGTCGCTTGTGGACGAGGCACTAGATTTAAAATATTAACAAAAAATCGTCTGTTTTGAAGAATCTAGCGCCTCGCCCGCAAGCGACCTCGGCGGAGTATGAGTAAATATCTTCTTATAGGAGACTAAAAACATTTGGGTTTAGCCGTGCGTGTTCGGAGCCCTTCAAAGTTATTCAGTAGAACTAACACTAGACCAAGAATTAAAAATATTGGGGTTTAGCCGTCTTAAAGGGGGAATTCCGATCTAGAATCCCAATGTTTTAGGTAACTATTAATTTTTTACGCAAAATTGTTTACAGTTATTAATTATACCGGGGTATCTACAAAATATTAGTACACATATTAAACTTCTATAAGATGTATTTTATTTGATTATATTTCAAAATACGTCTTTTAGGCCCACTTTTACCACATCTTGATAAATTTAACCGATAGATAAATTGGCGCTCTTAGGGCCGGTTGTACAATAAATCTACCTGATATCTATCCGGCCGATAAACTTATCAGGAGGATAAAGATATTCGCAGTTGTACAAACTGTTTTTGTTGGTAGGATTGCTATCGTCGAAATAAGAGTCGGTTGGTAGTAGCTTTTTCCCCATATCTAGTGATTTATGCCGTAGAATGGTAACGCTAACGTCTTTCTTTGAAGTTTGAATTGATTTTGACAATAATAGTTTAAAAAAATTTTCACGACTGACAACTGACACATCGTATATATAGGGTTAATGTTATAGGTTAACTTATGCAGTAACCATACAAAGTTTTTTATAAAAACCTTGGTAATCAATGTAATCATAAATATTTGGCGATAAGTTATCCTGCCGATAATCTCACCGACAAAAATATCCGTACATTGTAATACAGTACTAACTTATCTGCCAGAGCGCTTAAAACCGCTGTAACCATGGTAATTATGTATCGTATAAATTTATCAAACCACCTCAATTTTTCATGGTAATTATGAAGAAAAAATACATCTGCAGCTACCGTTCGAACTAGAATAAATGAAAAAAAAACATTTATAGATACAAAATAGCGTTAATTTGAAAATTCCATTTCATTTATTTACATTTCAAAGGTTGTAAAATTAATAAAAATGAATATTTTGTTTTGATTCTATTTCAGACGATAACTACAATATGTACAAAGGTTGAGCACAATAGAGCCAGAAGTTTTTTAGTAATCGTGATTACCAGTTACAAGGTATATAATTGCAAAAGAATTTTTGACCGGAATCCCCTCTTAATCCATTTTATCGAGGTTTTATTGTATTCATATTGTAACATCCTTTGTATGCTGTACATACAAAGGAAAATATTACAAAGGTGATTAAAATTTTATTTCATATCTCCACTGGACTGATTAAATTAAAAAAATTAGTTACCTGTATATTAAGTTCTAAATTTTTCCATTGACAAAATCTCGTATATTTCTCGCTGAAACAAAGGGAATTTAATAATAAACGATTTCGGAAGAAAAATGGGAATATAAACGTCGAACGATGTAATTAGAAGCACATGTAGGTATTTAGATTGTCGATTGACGTCACTATCGTAAATTTCGATGTAAATTTCACTACGTTTCGAGTAAATAAATGCTTCCAAGTTCATTTTTCGATTCGACTCACCTCTCTAAAAATTTCCTGAACGGTTCATCTCGTAAATGATTGTATATTTCTTCTATATAAGGCTAAAAAAAAAGAAATAATTACGTTAATTTAATAGTCATGGTGTTGGTATTTTTGTAAAACCATTTTTAGAAAGTAACTTGTCGTTTCCGATAATGTTTCGGTTTCCAAAAGTGTTTGACGTCAATGGGAAAGGTGAATTAATACTGTGACGCTCACTAATGATGACGGGGACTTCTCTGTTTCCTCGTATTCAATAAGAATAATATATTTAAACAATAAATCCATCAAGTAATAATAGTAATAAAAAAATGGAAAGCGTTGACGTTCTTCTTTCAAGGATTTAGTTCCATTTACGCAACACGATTATTATTTATTTATTTTAATATTAATTTATTAAATAAATAATACAAAAAAATTTACCGCATTTAATCCATTCTGATAAGAAAATTATGACGTCTAATTCAAGAAAAAACCGCATAAAAAATAATTATAATTATTTCTTTTATCTCATTTTAAGATTTGAAATAAAATTATAAATAAAACTTGCATTAATTTTAATTTTAATTCAACTCATAGGCAAAGTTGTTAGATTCATCATAGCCACACAATCGGGCATTCAAATAAATCGGTTGTGCAACCGAATTTAATTACTTAACGGGCTTTGTGCATTTTTGTTTACAGTTTCCGGTAAGCGAGCGTCTCGCGTTGCGTAATAAAGAGAAATAAAGTCCTCGCTGCCGCTTTGAAATATGCAACGGAATTTTATTAGAGTAAACAGGTCCTTTTATAATACACATCCCTTTTACCGAGAATATTACTATTTTTTTTGGAAAATAAATGTTTTTGTAAGTTCTTCGAATAACACAAAACAATTTCTCTAAATGGGATTGTTAATATATTTCATTTTCTTACCTCAAAAAGAGTAACTGGCACATCTGTTCTAGTTATGTGGTTTTGTACATGTTGTAAACATTCTTTGGAATAATCCTGTAACAAAAATTAAATATAATTAAACAACAAAAATCTCAAACGGTAGTTTATTCATGCAGTATGTGTGATTATTCGTTACTATATCAAAGCGACCTCGGCAGTGCTTTGAGAGAAATTGTTCCTTGTATATTTTGGTGACAATTTTTGTTTGTATTTAAAATATTGCTGGCAAAGTGCAAAGTTTACTACGCTTACTACCTATAGTTGCACAATCAATTTCTGCAAAGCTGGTTTAGCCTAGATGGACCTACTTGTGGATATAAGCAAACCAGAGTGAATGAGGAACTAATTAAACGGTTTGCAGTTTTATTAAAGACAATTGCGAGTAAATACGAAATAAATTTCTGGAATTTCTGGATTGCAGGAAGCCCGCAACAAGGATTGTCGAAGGTTTGGAGAGATCACGCTAGAAAAACGTCCAGAATCACTAACATCGAAGATCCGTTCAATACGTTATTAGTTTAATTACAAACTTCAGAAGTTTCGCTCCTAAAAAAATAGAGAATATTTCCGATGAAGTAATTTCATTATTAAAAAAGTCATCTCAAGAGCATGAATCCATCACTGCAGAGGAGGAGTCGATAGATGAAGACTTTAGTCTCTCGTGCAGTAATGATGAAGACTTTTAAGAGTGAGTTTTTGAATATAATTATGTCTAGAAAAGCAAGGTTTCCTAACCGGTTACAAGGCTTTGAAGTAATACTAAGCCATTTTTAGCCATTTTTTAAAATCCGGCCGGATACCGGATAGTTACCAAATATCCGGCTTTGACCGGATATCAAAAACTTATTACTTAGTACTCCACCATTCATAGGAATTAGTAGCTCTTTTAGGTGTTGAACACTGCAGATACTAATCAAATTCAACCCGAATCGCCGATTAAGTTTTAAAAATTCATATAAAATCCATTTCTTAGAATATAAGTATGAAAATTTCCCAAAGTGTTAATAAGAGTGTCCTCTTTCCAATGAACTAATCGGTTTCGAAAAATAACTTTTAGTTTTTGAGACAACAATATTTGAAGTTTTGATAAAATTTTCAATGTTGCCTTTTTCATCGATAACTTTCAAAATTCGCTATAAAATTAATTTCTTGAAGAATCCTTGTGGAAATATCACCAATTATTAATTAAAGTATCCTCTTTTTAATGCAAGAAGCCGTTTTGAAAAATCGCTTTTAGTTCTTGAGAAATAAATTTTTGAAATGATCGACAACTGTTTCGAATTTTGCAATTTTCGTCGATTAAGTTTTAAAAATTCGTATAAAATCCATTTGTTGAAAAATCACTTTTAATTTTCTTTCCAAACTCGTATTTTCTTTCCAACTATACTTGTTTCATCTATCTAGTATCCTACATTCTCCACCAACTGAGCTGCCCTCTTTCGTATAAAGTCGTTGAGAACCACAATATTTAATTTTTTCCTGATGCCATCATTCCTAATTGTGTCTCTCTTCGTCACCTCCTTTACTCTTTTCAGGTATTTCATCTCTATAGCCCACAATTTAGGCTCCATGTCCCCAGCCCCCCACATCAGCATATCTAAATTTTGAAAACGCCATTTGTTTGTGATACGTTTGTGCTCGTTTGTGCCGCAAACGAGACGCTTTGCGCTGCTTTGGTTCGTGAGATATTTGCGTTTTTTGTAGGTGGGGCTGAAGACATGCCAGCCCCTCCACTATCTAAATTAAAATTTCTTTTCATGGTATTCGTTTGTGCTACGTTTGTGCTGTTTTGTGCCGTAAACGCGGTCGTTCGTGAGATATTCGAGGTTTTTGTAGGTGGGGCTGAAGACATGGAAATTAAAATTGTTCGCTATGCCGCCCCTGTTGTACTGACATAAAAATGCCCTAATAGTTTTCGTTTGTGCTGGTTTGTGCCGCAAACGCCAAGATTTGTGCTATTAAAGTACGCCAGATATTAANCGATAACTTTCAAAATTCGCTATAAAATTAATTTCTTGAAGAATCCTTGTGGAAATATCACCAATTATTAATTAAAGTATCCTCTTTTTAATGCAAAAAGCCGTTTTGAAAAATCGCTTTTAGTTCTTGAGAAATAAATTTTTGAAATGATCGACAACTGTTTCGAATTTTGCAATTTTCGTCGATTAAGTTTTAAAAATTCATATAAAATCCATTTCTTAGAATATGAGTATGAAAATTTCCCAAAGTGTTAATAAGAGTGTCCTCTTTCCAATGAACTAATCGGTTTTGAAAAATAACTTTTAGTTTTTGAGACAACAATATTTGAAGTTTTGATAAAATTTTCAATGTTGCCTTTTTCATCGATAACTTTCAAAATTCGCTATAAAATTAATTTCTTGAAGAATCCTTGTGGAAATATCACCAATTATTAATTAAAGTATCCTCTTTTTAATGCAAGAAGCCGTTTTGAAAAATCGCTTTTAGTTCTTGAGAAATAAATTTTTGAAATGATCGACAACTGTTTCGAATTTTGCAATTTTCGTCGATTAAGTTTTAAAAATTCATATAAAATCCATTTCTTAGAATATGAGTATGAAAATTTCCCAAAGTGTTAATAAGAGTGTCCTCTTTCCAATGAACTAATCGGTTTTGAAAAATAACTTTTAGTTTTTGAGACAACAATATTTGAAGTTTTGATAAAATATTCAATGTTGCCTTTTTCATTGATAACTTTCAAAATTCGCTATAAAATTAATTTCTTGAAGAATCCTTGTGGAAATATCACCAATTATTAATTAAAGTATTCTTTTTTTAATGCAAGAAGCCGTTTTGAAAAATCGCTTTTAGTTCTTGAGAAATAAATTTTTGAAATGATCGACAACTGTTTCGAATTTTGCAATTTTCGTCGATTAAGTTTTAAAAATTCGTATAAAATCCATTTGTTGAAAAATCACTTTTAATTTTCTTTCCAAACTCGTATTTTCTTTCCAACTATACTTGTTTCATCTATCTAGTATCCTACATTCTCCACCAACTGAGCTGCCCTCTTTCGTATAAAGTCGTTGAGAACCACAATATTTAATTTTTTCCTGATGCCATCATTCCTAATTGTGTCTCTCTTCGTCACCTCCTTTACTCTTTTCAGGTATTTCATCTCTATAGCCCACAATTTAGGCTCCATGTCCCCAGCCCCCCACATCAGCATATCTAAATTTTGAAAACGCCATTTGTTTGTGATACGTTTGTGCTCGTTTGTGCCGCAAACGAGACGCTTTGCGCTGCTTTGGTTCGTGAGATATTTGCGTTTTTTGTAGGTGGGGCTGAAGACATGCCAGCCCCTCCACTATCTAAATTAAAATTTCTTTTCATGGTATTCGTTTGTGCTACGTTTGTGCTGTTTTGTGCCGTAAACGCGGTCGTTCGTGAGATATTCGAGGTTTTTGTAGGTGGGGCTGAAGACATGGAAATTAAAATTGTTCGCTATGCCGCCCCTGTTGTACTGACATAAAAATGCCCTAATAGTTTTCGTTTGTGCTGGTTTGTGCCGCAAACGCCAAGATTTGTGCTATTAAAGTACGCCAGATATTAATTTATTTCTTATCAAGGGTGCGCGGAATATGGCCCACAATTCTTAAGAAGAAACCAGTTTAAAAACTTCCAGTTGAAGAATTCTACTCTAGCATCTGAAGTTTTTAAATAAAATAGGTCAACATCATTAATTAAGAACTGGCGATTTTTTTTTAAATATTATTGTAGTAGGGTTATTTAATAAGGTCCATTGAAGCAGCTGTTTAACAGTGGGTTTTTTTAAAAAACTCATTGATGAGTCAAATTTTGTTTTTCTACTTTTTCATACACAATTTTATTACGGTTTGAAATTAAGTGGTCCTTATTTGCTGCAGGTACCTTACATTTTGCAATTAACTTTATTTGACGTATACGATGGTTTGTACGTTGTTACACATTTTCTTTTTAATTGATGAACTTTTGTTGTTTAAATCATCGTACTTTTGCCAAACACAATTTTTGTGCCAATAAGACACGAAATGTCCAACACTTTTGGCTGATACACCTCCAAAATAGTCTACTAGACCCTTCAAATGGTACGTGATATTTTTCATCACAATAACTTTCGGAAACATTTCAAAAGAAAGTTGACATGCAGTGAAGGTTTCAAAAATTATATATGGGTAAGTTACAACCGGCACTTTCATAATTTTTTCTCCACTTTTCAATTAATATTTTTGAACGATAAAGGTAAACTGTCTTGGAAACCTCTCCTTTCACAAGCTTTTGAAGCAACTTCATCAACAAATTATCAGTTTTGTCAAGTAGGGTTTGGAAGGAGGTACTATCACAGTATGAATGGCAAAGTATCTGTATTAAGCTGTCAAATTGCAGTTTTGTCAGCTTAATACAGATACAAATCTTGGCGTTTGCGGCACAAACCAGCACAAACGAAGCACAATCGAAAACTATTAGGAAATTTTTATGTCAGTACAACGGGGGCGATTTCCCCGCACACCCAATACGAAATAAATCAATATCTGGCGTACCGTAATAGCACAAATCTTGGCGTTTGCGGCACAAACCAGCACAAACGAAGCACAAACGAAAACTATTTTTATCATTAAGCATTTTTATGTCAGTATAACAGGGGCGGCATAGGGAACAATTTTAATTTCCATGTCTCCAGCTCCACCTACAAAAAACTCGAATATCTCACGAACGAAAGCAGCACAAACGACCGCGTTTACGGCACAAAACAGCACAAACGTAGCACAAACAAATACCATGAAAAGAAATTTTAATTTCGATAGTGGGGGGGCTGGCATGTCTCCAGCCCCACCTACAAAAAACGTAAATATCTTGTGAACAAAAGCAGCACAAACGATCGCGTTTGCGGCACAAAACAGCACAAACGTAGCACAAACGAATACCATAAAAAAAATTTTAATTTTGATAGTGGGGGGGCTGGCATGTCTCCAGCCCCACCTACAAAAAACGCAAATATCTCATGAACCAAAGCAGCACAAATCGTCTAGTTTGCGGCACAAACGTAGCACAAACAAATAACGTTTTCACATTTTAGATATGCTGAGGTGGGGGGGCTGGGGACATGAAGCCAGCCCCGGATCTACGATTTTTCTGAACCGGGGCAATAATGGACTTTGGCGCCCCTCCCCTCTAACATTTTGAGCTAATTATTTACAAAAATTCAGAAAATAAATTTACAGTACACGACACCGAAAACCGAAAACGTCAATTATAATTTGTAATGAAATATACTATTATTTAACGTAAAGTTTACTTAATATTTTCAAGTGTAGGCAATAAATTGTATGGGAATATTGGAATTGGAAGATTTTTTATGATTGGGAAAAATAAAATACTTAATTTTACTTTAATTTTAATTTTTTTTAAATTAATTTTACACGCTACAACTTTACGCATCTGGCTTTTCTTTCCGCGAAAGAATCTATGATTGAATCAAAGTTTGTCTCACAAGCCGTTTTATTTTCGATAGCTAGGATTGCGAGACCAGATAGACGTTCTTGACTCATTGTTGAACGAAGATAGCTTTTAATTAATTTCAATTTGCTGAAACTTCGCTCACAGCTTGCAGATGTTGTCGGTAATGTGCAGTATATTCTTAAAGCTATACTAATATTGGGAAAAGCTTCCTGCAGATCATGTTTGTATATACCTTGCAACAGGTCGAATGCAGTTGTTTTTTCGTTTATACCGATTACAAGTGGAGCTTGCGTCTTAAAAACAGCGAGTTCTTGGCAAAAATCAAGTATGTTCAAGTCTCTAGAATATGTTCTAGCTAGAAGTTCTCCATGTTTCTGCAGTTCTTCAGCAGACATGTTTACAAACGCGTAACCATTGAGGAAGGCGAAATTTTCGTTCAGATCTTTCGCGCTTTCTAATCTTGTATTCATTTCCGTCAAAATTTTGTCGAATATAATTTTTATTTCTTTGGAGACCAACTGAGTCGCGTTGAGAGTTCTTGACTCGTCGCCGCACTTTTCGTTGTGTTGCCGTTTCTTTATGGGAATTCGTTTGCTTTTAAGGATTGGCTCAATTCCCAACTTTTTTGATACAGGTGTAGCTTCTTCAATCCAAAATTCTATTGATTTTTCTCTCATTTCAGATATGGTATGAATTAGACCTTGCATTAGTGCTACAGAACGTGAAATGATAATGTCTTCTTTCTGTATTTGAACATTAACCCTGTTCATTTCTCGAAGAATATTTGACCAAATTATTAATGTAAGAATAAATTTAAAATTCATTACTGCACCCAGTAGATGACTACATTCGTATTTAGATTCTGCCGAAAGGGAGGATTCTGCAATTTTTTCCAGGGCTTCGACAACTTCCGATAAATTATTTATTAAAGCTGTAACGACTAAGTGTCTGGCCGACCATCTTGTCTGATTACTTCCTTTCAGATTAGTTTTTGTACATTGTTTCATTATTTCCCATCGTGTGGTGGATCCAACAAAGAAGCAGTACAGTTTTTGTACAAGCCCAAATAGACTAATTGCGTCTGGAGATGATGATGCCGAATGCACGCCCACTAAATTTAAAGAGTGTGACAAGCATGGTACAAACTTTGCAGACTCATTCACTTCCATAACTCTTGCCTGAACTCCTTTATATATACCGGCCATATTCGACCCGTTGTCGTAGGCTTGTCCACGACACTTTTGTATATCTAAACCATCCAATTCTAGTTTTTTTTAAATTTGCTGTGTGATATATTCTCCAGTCTTTCCATCAACCTGTACAAAATCAATAAAGCTTTCCTTTATTTCACATTCACTTCCTGTAATTTTAACATATCGAAACACCTGGCTCATTTGTTCGTTGTGAGGTATGTCCGGGGTGCAATCGAACATGATGGTGAAATAGTTGGCCCCCTTAATCTCATCGATAATGGTGTTCCGAACATTGCATGCCAGTAGTTGGATAATTTCATTTTGTACTGTCTTCGATAAATAAGACACCTGACCTTTTTGTAGATGATCTAAATGGAGCTTGAGAGTAGGATTGTGTTTTGCAAGAAGAATTATGCATATGAATATTAAGAAAATTTCCTTCTTTATGTGTTTGTAATTTGAATTTAAAGAATTTAAAAGTCCAATTTTTAGATAAAAGTGGGAATAATGAATTAACTTTCATAGTAAGTGTAGAAATTATTTATTTATTATTTAAGCAGAGCTATGTTTGAAAAATTAGTAATAATTTTTTTACGTCTTTGTAACAGTCCGGGGAAATACCGTATATGAAGTAAGAGGTTAAGAGGTAAGAGTCGTAAACAATGTGCGAATAATAAAAAGAAGGCTTTCAAGTAAAACAATAACGAATTAATTAAATTCTCGTAAATTCTTCCTTACCTATTAGTAGTTTGATTTTACAAATAATTATAACACTAGTAGTCACTAACCACTTACACAAACAGCAAACCAGCTAGTTAATCCAACTACATAAATAAATGCAGTCGTTACGTTACCGTCGTTACCACACGTAATACACGTGACCAGCCGATATCTTAGCTTATTTTCCGCATGCAGCATAGATCAGATACGTCTGTGATTATGTTTTTAAGCGTAGAGTAATAAGAATTCAAAAAACATGTTACGACAAGATCTAAAATGTTTATTTTGAACAATGCGTAATCGATATATGCACAACGCGCGCAATATATGTACTAAGACGTAAGGTGTTTTTAGTGAAACAAATTTATTTTTCTTTTTGCTACATATATGTATATGAATTAGGCGCCCCCATAAAATGCCGCCCGGGGTAACTACCTCGGCTTGCCCCCCCCTAGATCCGGGGCTGCATGAAGCCCACAATTTATTCTTTTCTCTTTTCTTTAGATAAATGATTAAAATAACTTGAAATTCGCATGTAACTTTTTAATGAAGCATTTTGCTTATATACATCAATATTCATTATATTCAAGTTGGTTTTCATACAATGAAAAGCAATCTCTTTCGAAGTATTAACCCTCATTTCACAGAAATTTAGAGATGTATTTTTTTATACAAGAATTATTTGTGATTTAACGCGTTAATTCTTTTAGAACAACTAACAGCAGAAACTCTCGTTTGTAGAGTTTCAAAAGGGTCGTGAAAGAAAAGGAAGACGACTTACGTGTGACCTAGACAAAAGTTCCTTCATGATAAAGTTGTCGTATATATCCTTTGCCGCCTTCAGGCGCTCCTCCGCGTTGTCTATTTTCTCGTATTGCTTTATCTGGAAAATAAAAACAAGAAAATATTAGAGAAAGAATATTTTTTTAATAAAAAAAAATCTTTTTGTTGGAAATTATTAGATTTTGTCACCCTCGCATTAAAGTACTTGACCCACTTTTGAGTTAATTGGATTCTAATTACGCGTCGGTGCAATTTGATGGACTTAATAATATCATGGAAATTGTTATTATGTTTTAACAACAACGCGACTTATTTGTATAATCCCATATACAACTTTTTATTGTTTACAATGTGTGTAATACTGTGTACGTCGAGCCACCCATTACTCAATTAGCCGTATGAACCACAGTATGAACTTGCCGTTCACGTCACAACGGACCATTGTGTTTTAAAAATGGCATGCAACAACAATTTATAGGTACTTCCGCGTCTCATTTTGTCTCTCGAATTCAAATTAACAAAACCAGACAAAAAAACAATCATTAAAAAAATTTATTCTCCTCCAACAAATTTTTTCTTTGTGTCAAAAACAATGTCATTTTATTTTTTTGATGTTTAATTAATCAATTTATTAATCTATTTTTTTTGATATCAACACAAATGAATAGGATTTTATCGTATATCGGCTGCTCACGATTCGTAAGCACAACATCTTATAAAGGAATTGAACAACGGCCGGTATGTAGCCACGAAGGTGAGTTTATCCTTTACTAAGATTGATTTTAGTTATTTCTAATTGTATTTTTAGGTGAAGGAAAAGGAAATAAATTTCGGATAATCTCCTTGATAGCCGTTCCGGTTATCATCGGTTTAACGGTACTTTTAGTGGTGTATAGAGAAGAGAAAAAAAGGATTAAATTTGTTAAATACCCTCACATGAGGATTAGATCGAAGAGATTTCCTTGGGGGGATGGCGACAAATCATTGTTTCATAATCCGAGGTACAACGCCCTTTCGGAAGGATACGAATGTCCCGATCCTTTAGAAGAAAGTGAAGGAGGTGGAGGCGATGAGGGTGGCGAAGAAGGAACCGAATAATTAATCTTATTAAAACAATTTATATAGAAAAAATTATAATCAAATGATACTGATAAAATGAAAAATAAAAAAAAGACGATTACATCGCATTGGAATGGCGTCTTTTAGAGTGCCTATTCTAAATATTTACACTTCGGTTTATATATAAATATCCGAATCGAAGCAACGAATCGGAAATCACGCGTTTCTATATTATTTGTCTGGGTCAACATTTCAATATTTTTTTTCCCCCATGTAATATGAACGATGTATTCGCGCCGAAACACGTCAAGTTATTGTTTTTTTATGATACGATTTTAGTCTATTTCTGTGACCGCTTTCAATCTATTTTTATTTTCAGAACTCCATAATACAACGGTTAAAGTGAAACAAATATAGTAAAACCTCAACATAATGGACAAAATATTTTTAAGGCACATTATTAATCACCAATGTAGGAATACCACAAAATTTTGAGGCTTCATTGGCGAGGTTTCCTCCTCTGCTCATTAGTGGTGAGAGACTATTACTTAAATTCTTGCCTCATCTAAATCCTCCTCTTTCTCTTTTGCTCTGATCACAGCATCAGAAATCCGCGAGGTCTTGCCTTCCGTGAGGTCCGCCTTCCTTCTAGTATAACTAGTTCAGCCTTATTTGCCGCTAATCTGAAACTCATCGATTCGAGGATTCGTTTCGTTTCTTCTATACAGTACTCAGCTTTCTCTTTGATTTGCTCAGGTGTCTGCCCACTTGCCACTATTGCTAGGTCGTCAGCATATCATAGGTGCATGACATAGCTGACCATTCCTTAGTTTACGTGAACTTAAATTTATCAGGTGTGAAGGCATTGCCTAAAATATTACACTACAGGGATTTTAATAGTTTCAGTTTAGAATTGTTTTCAAGAGATTTAGTAGCAATACCCTGGCAAAATATTGTCAAACTTAACAATATTAACGATAAGATAAATTTCTTAAACTTTTTTATATTGACTCTCTTTGATGTCCACGCTCCAACACGCATTATTACAACTAGAAAAACTTTTCGCCCTTGGATCACCGACAATATAAAACTGTTGATGAAACTTAGGAATGATGCGTACACTAAATTTAAGAAAACAAGAAATCCGGAAAATTTCAAATACTACAAGGAGTTGCGAAATTTTACTAATTCTTCTATTCAAAAAGAGAAGAGGGCGTATCTGTCACATATGTTAGATAGTAAAAATTCTCGTGAACTTTGGCAGAGTTTCCGGTCGATGGGTATTGTTAGTGTCAGGCAACGGACAATTCCTGAATCTATAGGCAACGCCGATCAAGTTAATGAGTTTTTCCTCGATGCACAGATCAGTGTGTTGGGTGACGCCAATTTAATTCGGCATTATCAATCTAATATCTTCCCTGGTGTCATCGAATCACTGTCCTTTTCTCTCGCTTCGGAAGAGGAAATATTGGATATTCTTTGTAACATTAAGACAACTACAGTTGGAGTTGACGGTATTAGTGTTAAAATGTTGAATATGTGTTGTCCAACAATTATACCGTATATATGTCATATTGTGAACTATTGCCTTGAATTGTCTGTGTTTCCTGACCTTTGGAAGATTGCTCAAGTCACGCCAATTCCAAAAACATCCAGCCCTCGGGAACTTAAAGATCTCCGCCCCATAAGTATTTTGCCTATATTGTCCAAGATTCTGGAAAAAGTGGTTGCTACTAGACTTACCCAGCATCTAAATAAATTTAATATTCTACCAGTCCGTCAGTCTGGTTTTCGTTCAAGACACAGTTGTACGACAGCCCTTCTCGATGTCACGGATGATATTTTCCATGCAATTGACCAAAAAAGCGCCACGATCCTGATTCTCTTGGACTTCTCTAAGGCCTTTGATACCATTCACCACCCCACTCTCTTAGCAATACTCCACCATATTGGCCTTTCGGAGGGTGCCATAAAGTTTTTTAATAGTTACCTCCTGAATCGGTCACAAACTGTTAAGCTTCATGGAAAGGAATCTTCAGCAGCAGTGGTGTCCTCAGGCGTGCCGCAGGGTTCAATTCTTGGCCCTCTGCTCTATCTAATTTATACGGCTGCTTTACCAAAAGTACTAGACTATTGCACTGCTCACATGTATGCTGACGATACTCAGGTCTATTACTCATTCAATGAGAATAACATTGACAAGGCTGAAAGAGCTATCAATTCTGATTTAGACAAATTGGCCCACGAAGCTTCAAATCATTGTTTGATTATTAATCCGTCTAAATCAGCAGTTATGGTATTTGGGAGTGGTGGTGTGGTGAACAGGGTCAAGGGGTCTCTGAGTGTCGGAGTGGGTGGTGTTAAATTGAATTTTACGGACGAGTGCTGTAATTTGGGTATACGTCTTGATACCGCACTCCGATTCCGTGGACATGTTTCTTCACTAATTCGTAGAGCCTACGTGACGCTTAAATTATTGTACAGTAACAGGAGCTTACTTAACCAACGTTTGAAAATCCAATTATGTGAAGCTCTTGTTCTGTCCATATTCAATTACGGAGATGCTTTATATCATCCATGCTTAGACTCTGTAACCAAAGTGCGTATCCAAAGAGTGCAGAACTCATGTCTGAGGTTTATATATGGTATTAAAAGACGGGAAAACATATCACACACTCTGAATTGGGCAAATTGGTTGAATATGACGCGTCGTAGAATCCTTCACAGTGCTTGCCTCTTTCACAGAATTATTATGTATAAATGTCCACCATATTTAGCCAATAGAATCAGGTATCGCAGTGACGTGCACAATATTAATATACGACATCGGCACATGTTATGCATACCACGCCATGAACTTCAAATCTTTAAAAGATCTTACTCTTATAATGTAACTACTATTATGAATAGCCTTCCTGATTCAGTCAAGCAGCTGAGTGAGCGAAGTTTCAAGTCATATTATAAAAAAATTCTTTTGATTGAGCAGAACAGCATTTAAATTTAAATTTTAAATTTAAGTTCTTATTAAGAGGTAATATTCACTTTTTACATTTCTGAATTGTATGACCTAACGGGGCAGGGGGAGATTGTTCGCGGCAGCTTGTTCAACCTTTTCTTCATTTTGCTATGTTTTTGTTCTTTAATTTTGTTGTATTTTTTTTTATTATTCCTTATTATTGTTATTTTTCATTGCTAACTAATTTAGGTGCTTACTTCTGTTAATATAGTTTTTTTATATATATATATAGTTAGTGCTATCTTGTTTGAAACCAATTTATTTATTATTTCTATTATAAAAGGGCCGATGAAAAACAATAGCAGACATGCTATGTCTGCATTGACTCGGCTCTTTTTGATGATGCGCTGTTATTAAGTCCGGTTTTGTTGATAATTTCAGAGTGTTTATTATTTTATTTACTTTTATGTATTATTTTTTGTATTCTTTTTTGTGGGCTTGTAAATTCTTTGTTGCATCATCAATAAACATAAACAAATATCCTATAAGCTTCCGTTTTCTGACGAAGGACTCTATCATAAAACACATTCCACAATGTCCCTCCCAGAACTGAACCCTGTGACTTTCTTTTCTATCTCTCCTGGATTTCCTGATTTAGGTACGACCTTAAGATTCTTCTTAAATCAGTGGTAATGCCTGCTCTCTCTCAAGGAATTTTCGCACTTCCTTCCATGGTACCGAGTTGAAAGCGTTTTTTACATCAAGAAGCACTATAATTCTGTATCCCCTATGGGCATATGACACTAATTTTCTTGCTCTTGCTTCTTTAACTATAGTCATTATCTACGGTACTTCTTTCCTTTGTGTACCCATACTGGTTGTTGTTGATGGCTTCTCTTTCTTCCAGCTCTGCTACCAATCTGTTGTTAATCAGGCGTTCAAGGAGTTTGCCCACTGCGCTAAGCATACAAAGAGATATGTACGACTTTTCTTGATTGGGTTTTGCGGTTTTATGTACCAGCATTAGTAAATTTTCCTTTTGCTAGGCATTTATTGTAGACGTCAAGAAAGATACTGGGGTTTGATTTTACGCAGCTCTGCAGAATTGCATTTGTAATTCCGTCTTCTCCAAGAGCTTTTCTTAACTTAAGTTGTATGATGCTCTGCTCTAGTTCTTCGATGGTGAATAAGCTGGAGCTCTCTCCTGCTCTTCTTCGACTTGTGGAAACAGTTTTTTAAATTGTTCCTCCGCTGTCTTGCAATCTATCTCTTCCCTTTTTCTTGCACCGAGTCTTTTGGTAACCACCTGATATGCTGACCTCATACATTTTCCTCCAGCTCCAAACAGAGTTCTTTTCACTTCTTCTTGGATTCATTAATTAGCTTCTTCAAGAACTGTCTTGTCTATGTGTAGTCCGTGAGAAATTGTTCTATTCGTTGTGGTTTTTGTTGTCTTTTTCTATTTCTCTGTAATACTCTTCGCTTTGTCACACATGCTCTTCTCGCTTCACCTATTTCCTTTGTCCACCGGGGGAGTATACCGGGGTCCTAAGACTTTGAGGATTTCTCTTTTTCAAGGATTTGTCACACGCAGATTTTATTGCTTCGACGAGGATTTTGGAGTCCGGGCTTCTTATCTTTTTAACCTCTTTGAGGAAGTTTGTCTCTAATTTCTTTAATGATTCTAATGTGTACTTCCATCCTATCTTTTGGTTCATCGGTCGCGCCTCTCTAAATGTTCTAAACTCATACACCACAGCAAGGTGTGGCGTACCCAACCCAACCCCAACCCTAGAGAGTGTGGGTTAAAAAAAATTATATATATATATATATCTTAGCTTCTTGTACAGTTCCAACTCTTTTGGTGATTGATGTTCCAGTACAGACGATTTCGTGTTATTACATCAAATACAGCGCCTCGCCCGCAAACGACCTCGGCGATTTGAGGCGAAATCGTTCCTTAAATATCTTGGTAAAGATACAAAGTCTCCTATAAGAAGACGTTTCCTCTCACTCCGCCGAGGTCGCTTGCGGGCGAGGCGCTACAATCTTCCGAAACAGACGATTTTGTGTTAATATATCAAATCCTGCGCCTCGCCCGCACGCGACCTCGGCGATTTGAAGCGAAATTGTTCCTTATATATCTTGATAAGAATACAAAGAAGACTTATACTCTCACTCTGCCAAGGTCGCTTGTAGGCGAGGCGCTACAATCTTTCAAAATGGACGATTTCGTGTTAATAATTTCTTTTCATCGGTTATATGTTGAGAGATGGTGAAATTATGATAGTTGTAGTTTTAGTTCTTGTTTATTTTTCATCCTTTATATCGAGGTTTTACTGTAATAAATATGTTTGAAATAAAAATTTACCTCATCGTAAAATTGAAGTTGGGGTACGGCAACATCCGACACGGATTCGCAATACTCCTTGAATAATCGGTAACCTGAAACAGGAAGAAATATCGAGTTTAAAAGGTGGCTATAGAAAGAAATGGGAAATACGTGTACGAAAATGCACGGTAAGGGCGCAATTTACGACGAAAATTCAATTTAAGCGTCGACGTAGAAGTCGTCTTAAAAGCGAATTTTATAACGCTGCTCGATTTGAATTGGAAATGAACTGGCTTTTCAAGGGAAGTTAAAGTAGAAAAAAAAACATTCAAGTTTTTAAACGCAACAATTATTTTACAACTTTCGATAAAGTTGTGTAAAGCTATAAGCAATATGCATAGCTAAATCGTGCTTTACATGGAAGCGCAATAACTTCAAAGGTCATAGAGTTGAGTGCTACAGGATGTTATTGATCGAACGTCTCGGTTTTGCAAGAAACTAAATTAGAAAATAAACATGAAACATCGACTTGGATAGTTTATATCTTATCAATTTCTCATATCTCAAATTTAGTTCGCATCAAAACACACATTTCACACAAATTAAACGAAAAAAATGGTAATCCATGATATTTCATTTAGAACATTTCGCACGCAATTCTTCGGCCACAATGGCACCATTTAAGAGGGTAATTCGCGTCGCGAGCGAGAAATTTACGAGAATGGACGTTCTTTGTCGCCCGATAGAGATCAATATAATATGGAGGGCGTCGAACGACGCTGGCATTTTGCAACGGTGGTAGTTTTCGGTTAAGAAATTTCGAAACTTCTATATATAAACTAGAAAAATAGAGGATGCCGTCTTCATTAACATCGACATGAAGGTGATTTAAAAAAGCGGTTTTCTCCATTGCGCCTATCATCGTCGCATCAGTTTTCCATCTGCCCGGGTAATTGCTCATCTAAAATTCAGAAGCGAGTTCCGGTGCTCTAGGTTTTTCCGGTCTACTGAATATCTTGTTTTTTTTTTATTCAAACGGATGCAGAGAAGTTTTGAAGGTTATTTGATGACACGAAATTTACGTTTTCCTGACCGTTTATGCAAAAATATGTAACTTGTACCAGACATCAAGCAATTATATAATAGGTAATGGCTCAATTATCATAGCTCGAGTAACATCGGACTAATTACATACTGATGTTGATTAAGCGAAACCATTTCAACTATGTTAAATAATGGAAAAAGCTAGCGTCATTACCATGACGACTTAAAAATTACAATGGAAGATATTGTGTTTCAATAATACAATTTTTAAGTCGAAGACAATGCTAGCTTTTTCTGATACGTCATTATGATTAAACATTGTCATTATATAAGCTGGCTAATCTGATATCAATTATGCTGCATTATACAACTTGATGCCATCGACTTTGATGGTAGCTTTGTAATGATAACCTCCATTAGATTTGTTTTAAATCTCTATCCTGCTTTCATCAAGTCTTCACTATGTTTCTGTTAAGTCAAGATTGAACAGGGCAAAACTGCATCATATCTTAATCGGGCCTGCATCAAAACTACATCTAAGAGTGCATCAAACCATTTTAAAAACTGCATAAAGTCTCCACATAATCTGCATTAAGTTTTTGAAATCTCCATCAAATCTCCATGATGCTTCTAACTTAATGAATACAATATGACGTCATTGATGACGTCTAACATCAAGTTTTCTTTATGTCCATATTGAGATAAGTCCATATAAAGTCTATATCATCTCTGCATACAGTTTCTACATGATACTATAAAGTCAAGATTAGCTAAAATATCTGAAATAACTAAAAAAATGAAGTTTTTGTTTGCTTGGTTGGGTTAGGTTGATCATGTTGTCCATCAAGGTTGTGTTGAGACAACTCTGTATGAAGTCTACATCATTTCTGCGTCAGGTTTTTTACATTATTATTTTACTGAATAAAGTCTTTATCAAGACCACAATTAAAACTGTCGTAGTGAGAGGAGTCAAAAAAAACTTTGGAAACTTCTGGTCTAATAGGTTAATATAGCCTTGAAGTTAATGTCTCAATTGCTTTCTTAGAGAGTCCTAAATCACGCAATGACTCTATCATTCAACCAATTCTGTCTGACAATTTAATGGGCTAATATCTGTTTGGTGTCAAATGACTACACCTCAGATCGTCGTTAATATCACAAACTGACGTATCTCAATTTTATCAATTTTACAGGAGAATAGTTTAAAGTTGTAGACAATTTTTGAAGTTGCAGTGTGTTGCTGTGAGGTATATATTTTTCAAGAATGCTGTAGCAATGTAATTTATAGTTTATATGTGTAGCCTGTGACTGAATATACTGCAAAACGTGACTCAGTTGTTAGCTTTTGATGGTTTCTCCGGAATCTGTAGTTTTTATGTTCAAAATTCGAAGTTCTTAATAAATCTTTGAAATTTAAGAAGTCATTGTAGTGCAAAACCGTCGTAGGGATTCTGCCTGCGTGCTAATTTAAATACGAAAATAAGTTGTGAGGGTACAAAAAGATCTCCAGCATGCTTTATCGCATTAGAAATTGCGCTGTGAGCAGAATCCCCTTCGTTTTGCCCATGGAAAGATTCGAAAAATCTCAAAGATATTTCTTCAATATTCTTAGAGTGTCCAAAAGCATAGCAGCCATTATAGTGTTCTTGTTTTGACCACTACATCCGTCAGAAAATAATGAGGCGTGTTTCACCCCTCGCAAGTCATAAGCTTGTACACGCATGTTGCAATTTCTGATGAGCCTCTCTTACTTTCGGTTTCGTGCCAACAATGACATGAACATGCTTTGCTTGAAATATTGTAAAAAGTAAAGTTATACACTTTTAAAACAATGCACTTTCCTTTGAAATTGGTAAGTAAATTACCTGCTGTAAATCAAAAGACGCATAGAGAAAAGTGTTATTTCGTAGCTCTCGCTTTACACTGGTCTTTCAACTCTCTCAGAGTAGTTTTTTCCAAATTGTGCCTTTGAAATTTTTCTTCTTATTTAGTTTTCACACTAGCTTCACCGGATTTGTACGTCAAACATCTTTCTTGGTAGTATGAAATGATAAATTCTGAGTTTTAAAGACCCTGTGATAAGTAGAAAAGCTTGCTTTAAGATTATCTTCAGACACAGACTGCAAGTACAGATAGTACATTTTCGAAATAGAAAGTTCTGGATGTAAGTATTCCCTAGTAGAGCTGCTTCTACAGTAGTGGGACTCCATACTAGGAAACATGTTAATGTGTCTCAAAACATCAGAACGAATCAGTTGATCCCTTGCAATAACGCTTTCAAAATTTTATCCATTTCAACAATTCCAACCTCGTCTACGTTCTCAAAGGCTGTTCTCAGTGTCCGTTCTGAAATATCCAAAGTATTAAAAAAAAACTTCTTGCAGACAGGAGCACGAGTTTGGTTCCTGGAGAATAAGCTGGACCCGCATCTGAATCGTAGCCGTCACTAAATTGAATGCAACTATTAGATTCCTCTTCTGCCAGTTCTTGCTGCCGCTTTGTGAGAAGAAAATCTATGCCTACAGAAGTGTACCTACAGTTTTAGCTAAAAAATCGATTTTTTTGTAACATTAACGACAAGATGTTCAAATAAATTCCAGAATCTGGATGAAGCTCAAATTCATCTTCCTGATCCAAAGTCTAATTGATATTTAAGAATTTGACCAATCTCAACAATAACATTAGATAATAAATTATTTCTTCAAAAATTCTAGATACCAACGATAAAATGAATATAGGTCACCAGGCTTAGAAACTTCCTCCGCGAATACGTGAGGGTCGATGAGGTTGCATCTTGGGTCTTGTTACGTTACAGATATTCTAGTCAAACCCACGCATATAGCAAATATAAATCGCAATATCACGTGCCATGTAAGCCAGGATTTATTTTGTAATTTTGCAGCGGCGTGTTTACATCTCACTTGTCGTATGGCGAATACAAATCAAGCACATAAACAACATACAAAAATCCACCGAATAAGTTCAGCGGAGGCAGCAAAGAAAAATCGATTTTTCAATAAAAAACTTAACCGATTTCGACAACTAAGCCATCATCGGATCATAAAACAGATTTCTATATTGTAACGATTCGGAGTGTTAAGTTGTGAAAATTTGATATCAATGGATTGTGACTAAAATAAACGTTCTTTTGATGATGCCGCCTCCGCTTGTCCAAAGTGTCACCGTACAGCACAATGCCACCAGATGTTTAACTTTATAGACAATCGCTTCCCCCAGAGGCTATTATTATCGACTCCAATGGGATACGCGCCACAACCGATACGCACGCCCCCTTTAAACTACTACGTAGTTTCACCACGACATGTTTCCTGCTCCTTCGGGATAACACACAACAAAGAATTTATTTTGAAATAAAATGATTTAAAATGAAAATAATCTTACCTAAAGTTTGATGGAAAATTTTATCGAAACTCACTTCATTCTTCTTTTCCAAGTACTTATGCATGACACTCCGTACGCTGTAACAAATCAATTACCAATTAACGGGCGTTTCAACAAATAATTACTTGACAATTAACAATTAACCAATAGTTAGAACCAATTACGGTAGTCTAAAGAGGCCGTTAATTCAAAACGTGCGAAAACGTTTCATTCTACTTTCGAAGCGATCTAAATAATTATTGATTAGCGACCCGGGGAGCTTTTAACTTTTAAGGTGCGGAATCCAGGTGATATCGTACGATGATAAAGCGATTTACATTTATACTGGTTACCGTTCTTTATGGTTCCCGGAAACGGGGGGTTCAGTTAAATTACCCTCTTAATGGGAATAAGTTTGAATATAACTCAAAGGGAATCCACTCAAAACCGCAAACGAAGGTATTTTGCGATGATTTGTTAATCAAATACGCTTTTTTAATAATATTATAAAAACCTAAGTAGGTTCTCAGTAAATTTGATACAAAAATCAATAAACATATATAATATTAAAGGACACACACATGTTTAAAGGAGGCGACCCTCAAGGAAGGCGTAAAGTTGTGTTTATTATGAAACGTGACACTCAATGTTAACTTTGACGTCAATGAGCGATTCGGGTTCTCGTTTTGTTGCTATTTCCTACATTCACCTAGTATTTTTCCAATCACTTCTTAAAACTCTTTGTATTGACGATGATTAGGCAAAGAAAAACAATTTCAAGAAACTATTTGAAACCAATAAGTGTATTTGTGATATAGGTCAGTTAAGTTTATACTAACTTTCTTGTTTATATGTCGAATCGTTGACATTAAAGTTAACTAACATCTGGATTAGTTTATTTTTTTTGTAAATATATTTTTAAATATATATATTATAAAATGTGTATCACATATATCTATATAAACAAAATACTGCCATTATCGGCTACCTAAAACATTTACGACTAAAAGTTTATTAACGTAGATAAAATACACTGTGTTACTTTGTGTCTTTTAATGGGCTCATCATTACGTGAGTTTCTTTTACGACGTATTTACTTTTGTAACTTAGTAGTCAGTTTCTCTTTTCTTAATTATTTCCTAAAAAATATTTAACCATGGTAATTATCATCAATTTAATTGTAATTATATTTAAGCTTCCAATTTTAAAGTTATAATTTTTACTTTTAAACTTAACTTAATTCTAAACTGATAGAATATCATATAAGTCAGACAATGTCAAATACTTTTATTATCTGAAGTAACATTGCTGCAGGTGTTGCTAATTGATAACTGATCAAGCTCGTGCAGAGGCTATACCAAGTTCAGAAAGGCTACTGATGTAGTCACCATCTCCAACAAGTTAAGCTATTAACTACAATCCTTCATTCCTAAGCTGGCAGAAGAGGTGGAAATGTTTTGTAGTATCTTTGCATCATCATGGATAATACTCTATGTCGTTGTCTTAATTCTCTTATGGGATACTCAAGTCAATGTTACGTTTGGGTATGATAACAGATGTTGATGAGACAAACTGAAAAAGGCGCAAATATCTTTATTAGATTAAACCACTATAACTAGCATCTTACGGAGCGATAAATGAAAGTATCTGCTCTTTAGAGGGAGTTAAGATACCATCGTCATTATCAGATTGCAACACGGTGGAGAAATTGTGTTAATCTGGAGTGACTTTATTGCATCACGAAATTATGGATTAAGATATCCACGTCGTCATATTTAAAAGAGGTTGAGCCACCAACATGTTTATGTCATGAAATGACCCAGTTAAAGCGTCAACAATCCCATTAAGACGGTATAAGGGTGAGTTCAAAGTGTTGAAAACGATACTTCTGCGGAATATTAAGTTATTATTTGCACGTTAACATGAAAGTTAGATAAATAATTAACTGGAAATAGGATGCCTTTAAAATCCATTGATTAATAATTTTCGGGTTCCGCTTCGTTAATATTACCGGATATCCGTTACCCGGCATTTTAAAATTTAAAAACTCAACCTTATTTTAACCAAACATAGCATATTTAACCATTATTATTACGATTAGTAATGTTTATAAATAGAAGTACTGTATTAAACATTATTTGGCGTAAAAACTTAGGTTTGGATAAAATAAACCGGTTTCATCATAAAATATGGCATCTTCAGGAAAATGTATAACAAATAAGGATCGTATTAATAAATTTTAATTGTAATTTATACGTAGGATAAATAATTTAAAACACTGAATATAGAAAGCAATTCGAAATAGAAATAAGCCGACGGTAACACGCGCTCTGATTACAACAACGTCGTTGGTCCGTAACTGGAGGCTTTATGGAGCCGACATTAAAACATTATATCACAGTTGGTGGTTTCATGTCCTTTGTTCGTTCAATTTTACTCGTAGAGGAATATAATCCGCGAGAACTGGGCGCCAGTAGATTTATTGCCCCAATTAACGTACATTGTTTATTTACTCAGTTTCAGGATGGGGAGAGAGCCTTCGTTTGCATTGTGCTTATCAAATTGTAAAGGCAAAGAAACGTTTAATAAAACACAATTAAAAAAGAGATGGAGTAAATAAAAAGGAATCGCTTAACAAAATACAAATTTACATCATGTAATACATGATACGTAGAACTTAAAATTATAGTGAGTTAAAAGACATATGGTCATTCCGATGTCGGAATTATGGCGCAATAAATTTCTAGTTTGGACGAAAAAAAAAAAAATAATAGACATAAAAGATGTAAATAGAACGATTGATATCAAGGCGTCATAAAATTTATAACTTTCTGTAACACTTTTAATTGTCAATATCAACACTTGTGATTGGTGTGAATTGATTGATTTATAAGTGTGAATAAAAATAGTTTATTAACTCTTTAACGATTTGTGACAATAAATCGCACTATATTTAATGATAAAAATCTTTAGCTGAGCACGTGCAAAAAAACGTTTATTTTATAATCGAAATAATATTTATCTAGGGAATAAATCCTCATATAAATTATCTTGTTAGTTCTCAGTTTACGGACAATCACGTCGTTAAGCTAGAAATGCACACGTTTTTAGGCAATTTGCATGCTATTAGAAAAAATTATCTTTTTTCTGCAGTTAAAGAGAGGAATTCAACGATTAAGATTAGCGAAGGATATGACTAATAAATGGTGTGATAAATTTATCTAATCTAAGATAAATTAAAACGTTTTTTGTAAATATAGTTCATTTTGAGTCACAATTTTGCGAAATCGTTTCTTATATACCTTGGTAAAGATACAAAGTCTCCTATAAGAAGACGTTTACTCTCACTCCGCCGAGGTCGGACAATTTCGTGTTAATATATCAAATCTAGCAATCGTTCCTTATATAACTTGGGGAATACCCCGACTTTATCTATGAACATGGAATTGACCATTCTAACGAGGTCCGTTATACCGAGGTTTTACTGTAATAAGGAAAAGAAATCAGGATTAATTCAAGCTAAAGAAAAGCGGATTCACCAACATTTGCAAAGATGTCCCACTTTTCTGTTTTCTCCGTATACTCGGAAATTGAACGTAGCGAATGCGGCTTTAACGACTTCATTAAGTGCACAACCGGTGAAATACGACATTTTTCTCTTTCTTTCTTTGTCGCAGCTGCTCCAGACAACAATGTTCCATAAACCGGAATGCAGACGCGTGCAATATAAAATTTTTGATGGTTTAATAAAACGTTTATCCTTGTACTAAAGAAAATTATTTTTTTTTTTTAATAAATTTCCCAAAAAAATTTCCTTAAATTGAAATGAAAAGAATGATGACGAATCCCAATAAAACTCGTTTCGGATAATATTAAACCGCGTCGGTTTTGTGAGAGATGAAAATTCGAACTCTTCCCAATTCGATGGCAGAACAGAAGTCGATAAAGCAATCACATACGAGAAAAGAGATGATAAAAAAGAGATCACTCCCTCGGGACGGTTCTGCTCTCGCAGACCGATTTCCGGTAATTCTGATTGCTTCTGATGCGAGTTCTTTGAACGAATTAAAAAGAAATAACCGAACCTAAACCGAAAACACACAGGGGAAGTTGAACAGATGTAGATCGATTGCACTATTTGGATAAGTTATAAAAATATGAGTTAAAATTTTCCATTTTAAGTAATTATCGCCTTTTTAGCGAACGATCTTTAATTAATTGAGCACAATATACTTACATTCTTTAATTGCGAAGCCTTAAAACGATCTAAAAAAATATAAATAGAAAATGCATCACAAACAAAAAAAATTTTAACCTATAATCCGCCATTTTAAGGTTATGTTCTCCAACAACCACTTATTAATCATACTTTTGCTTTCCATGGTAAAAAAATTATCGTGATATTTAACGTAGTTAATCTGGAAACGATTTAGTGAGAAATTGGGTTTCCGCAAGTAATTTTTAAATATTTACCAAGAAATTATTAACAATTTGTCAACCTCTCAATCACAACACAAGAAAACAAAGTGAAGTTAGCTTCACCACAAGTTACGGTTTATTTTTCGAATATAACAAATTAAATTTTGTTATAAATGAGTAAAATTAATCTAATTTTTGAAAAATATTAATTTAAGCAATCAAAAATGAATGAATTTATTAATAAAATCATTAATATTAATAAAATCGTTTTTCAAAAAAAATCGATAGATGGCGCTTCATTTTTATTTTATTTATTTTTTAAAATAAATAATTTTAATCATATTTTTGCTTTCCATGGTAAAAAAATTATCGTGATATTTAACGTAGTTAATCTGGAAACGATTTAGTGAGAAATTGGGTTTCCGCAAGTAATTTTTAAATATTTACCAAGAAATTATTAACAATTTGTCAACCTCTCAATCACAACACAAGAAAACAAAGTGAAGTTAGCTTCATCACAAGTTACGGTTTATTTTTCGAATATAACAAATTAAATTTTGTTATAAATGAGTAAAATTAATCTAATTTTTGAAAAATATTAATTTAAGCAATCAAAAATGAATGAATTTATTAATAAAATCATTAATATTAATATAATCGTTTTTCAAAAAAAATCGATAGATGGCGCTTCATTTTTATTTTATTTATTTTTTTTAAATAAATAATTTTAATGTTTAATTCCTTTTTAATTTGTTGTAACACCTAATTTAGCACCCCCTAAAAAGAAAATTTCGAATTCTTTTTTTAAATACTTACAATTTGGAATACAATGAAGTTAGTTACTAACTACAAAGAAACGTCAAATATTAATACGTTAGAAAATATTGCAGAATATCTTAATTATTACTATAAAAAGGATGTGACAACAATGTTAAGCAAGAACGGCCGTTTTTCCATCAAAAATAAACAATTTTAGACAAAATCAAATAAACCGGTGCGTACCACAACCTCGCAGAAACATTGCGCCTGCTAAAACTAGCGAACAAAAGAGCTAATAATACATATTATAGTAGAGAGAGGAAAATATTGCGTAGAGTTGCACCGAGTTAAATATAATTAATATTCGCCCGGCTTAAGATAAAATGATAATAACCCAATTCAAGTTGCAATAAATAACTAATAAACCGCCACGTGAAGCGCGATATGAATTAAAACGGTTTTCTAAAATGTTTTATGTGAAATAACGCGATAAGATGTTGAAATTTGTATTTGATTATAAATTTCTGATTATAATTATTTAGATATCAATAAATTTAATTTTGACATTTAAACGTCAACATTGACATTTATGTGACGTTTCGACAACTCTAAAAAATGTGATACGTTTTCAGTATAATATCAAACCTATAAAGAAAGACTGACTCCGAAGTTCACTCAGTGCCACACATGCATCTTTTATAAATTCGAGTCAATTGAACTCATGCGAGTTTCTCAGAATTCCTTAGAATTTATTGTTTCCACATTTGGTGGATTCCTCGCGTAGTTATCTCGTCTTTTTAGTTTTTATCTAACAACGCGTATAACACACAATCTTGGATAAACCAAGTTCTGTATTAGATTTCGAGGAGAAAAATAATTAAAGTATTTTTGCTGTAGGGTTTAAGAGTTGTGGATGAGGAGTTCTCCAAATACGAGGACTGCTTAAATTCACTTGAGTCGAAACGTTTTCAACGCTTCTCTACTGTCCAGTGGTACAAGACTTTTTTTGAAATGAACCAGTTAATCTTGCCGGTTAAAACAATACATTCGAAGGGATTTAGTACCTGGAAAACGTTTTAGCAGAATGTGTAAAGAAAGTGCATCAACAGGATGTATCCCAAAGTAATCTTACCGCATGATTAGAATTTGTTAGTAACTAATTATGGATTAATAAAATCAATATGATGTTAATTGCATAAATTACGGATAATTGCTATTCAAAAGAAAACACACTTTGATGTAGTCATTACATTGGATGAGCCAGAAAGAATGGGAAATGTCAAAACTGGGAAATCTAGACATCAAGATATATGTTGTGTAATACAAGTAATTATTGAATGTCAAGGCTGCAAAAATGAGTTTCTGCTAATTATGAGTCAGTGAAGCTTAGGCTATTTAATTGAGAAAGATAAAAATGAATCGTGTTCGAGCTACTATTGACACTGACAGTTGAAAGATAATCATCAAAATTGTCAAATAAATACTAGACTATATAATTTTATGATATTGGCAAAGCTCCTGAAGATTTAATGTAGGAATTAGCGAAACCGGTCAAGATAATAAAGTGAGTGAGAAATTTTAATTATTGATAATATCCACACATATTATTTGATAATAGGATAATCAGCCAGTTTTTGTAGATAATCCCACTGTTTACTTAACGTTGAGTAATATATTTACATAAAAACAAATGCACTCATAATTGTTTTCAGTGTTATTCTCAAACAACACATTATTTTCAACAAATATTTATTGCGAGTATAAAATTAAATTGCTTCTAGTATAAACTCCAAAGTTTTTATAGTTAATCCCACAGTTTACTGTGAAGATTACAAAGAATAGTTGTGATGTTTTATAAGCTTGATTATATTTGCGTTTTATTTCATTAATGTTTTGAGATTGAAAAAAAAATAAATTGCAGTAATCTTATATATTTTCATGAAAATACTCTAGATAAGTAGTGGAAAGGATCTTATCTCAAATTTATGTAATGCAAAAAACGACATTCTATAATGGCAAAAATGGATCATTCATTCCATCATTTATTAATCGATATTATGGAGACTCGTTGATTTTGGGGGAAATCCAAGGAGGAGTGGTTCGTTGGGGGGTGTTTAAGGGCGGATCGATGGCGTTGTAGGCACAAACAGTGGCGTTGCGATGACCCCTTACCTGGGATCAGGTAGAATGATTTTCTTGCTAGCCCTTGCTGCCGGTGTGCATTTGCTCTTTTCCATTGCCATTAAATAGCTGACGTCCGCCAGCACGGCTTCCAAATCCGCCATTTTGACGCCGCTCTCCTCTCCTCGCGGTCTCTCTCAGCACACGTTCTCGACCCTAACACCAACCACACATACTCGAGCGCCCGCACCCCAAAAATATACCAACAATCGCACACTGCTCACAATGTATTTGGTGTTGGAACGCGATTTTAAACACCGCCGGCTTAAGGGGCGTCGTCACTTACATCGTACGCTTTACGAATTTTTGGGGAGCCCAAAGTGTACCTGGTGCTTTGCGTTTTCGAACGTCCGTACGAAAACGCCTGTCGCGAACGTTTGTGGCGGAAGCAAACGAACGCAGCTAAGTCGGCGTCGCACTGAAATCAAGAATCTTTCCCATTGGTGGTTTGATTCGGATAAAAACCGAAAGCGATCGGGTGTTTCCGACAAACAGCTGATATCCGCTAAAAACAGCTGATATCAAACATGCCAACTTTATAAGTACAAAATCACTATACTTCGATGTAAGTATTATACATAAATACACACAGAGCAGATATTAATTAGTACAAAAATCAAAAGGATTCGATAAGTATTGAATCAAGTTGATATAAACGTCATTTTAATCAATTTTGATGTTTTCTAGAAATAATTATCAAAATGGCTAACATACCTATGAATATATTCGATGATTTATTGAGTCAACTTACAAACTTAACGTATCGGAGGACCCAAGGAGATGTGAAACTTATAGAAAAGACTATTGATGAATTAAATAATATGGAATTTTCTTACTTTTTGATCCCACCACATGTAAGTAACATAACCTAACATGTATTTATTTTTTTTTAATTAGCAGAAAAGGTAAGGAGAATATAAATAATGTCAAGGTGGTTGCAAGGAATGTTATGGTTAATTTGGGGAAGACATTCTATAAGATTGGGACCATTTTATGCAGCATTATTACACAGGCAAAATTAGTATAAGGAATAATATCTTATAAAGAACAATTAGATAATTAAGCAGAGAGTGGAGGAGATTAAGCTAAAGTAATAACATACCATGTAAATAAATGAAGCTGGGAAAAAGGCGCAAGGAAGAAAAAATTGAATACTTTGAAGCCAGGAGAGATGGCTTCAACTAGCTGAAATTAGGGTTATAAGTAGGGCTTTTAAGCATCACAATAATAAACGTTTAAATTCAATACTAAAAATTTGCTGCTTTGGTTGGATTAAATTGAGGGGTTGCAATATACAGGGTGAATCACAGGAAGCGGATATTTTTGGGAGTCGAGAACATCGCGTGATTGTTTATGGATTTTTATTAAAAAGGAAACTACCCGATCCTGCCAGAACAGTGAATATGGATCGAATAACTGCTAGGCGACCCTTTGCAGAATTTTATACAAGGACTTGGCAATCCGACGATTGAAGGAGAATGATAACCAATTTATAAAAAAAGCGATGAATTCCATTATTGGACTTCAATCTCATCATGTGTGATTTTTGAAATCATCAATTATAAGTCTAATATGCTACAGCTTCCAATATTTTATCTCTGTAGTGTTAATCATAGCGTCTCGGCCGCACGCAACCTCGACTTAATCATACTAAGTTATACATTTTTGGTTTCAACCTAAGCCGAGGTCGCTTGCGGCCGAGGCACTAGTTTCTAATATATCAATGTAGTATTAGTTATACCACCTCTGCCGCAAGCCACCTCGACTTAATCATACTTAATTATACATTTTTGGTTTCATCCTAAGCCGAGGTCGTTTGCGGCCGAGGCATTAGCGTATATTATATCGTCTAATATTGTATCTATGTAGTATTAATTATAACGCCTCGCCCGCAAGCGACCTCGGCTTAATCATACTGAATTATACATTTTTGGTTTCATACTAAGCCGAGGTCGCTTGCGGGCGAGGCAGTCTAATATGTTACAGCTTCCAATATTTTATCTCTGTAGTGTTAATTATAGCGTCTCAGCCGCACGCAACCTCGACTTAATCATACTTAATTATACATTTTTGGTTTCATCCTAAGCCGAGGTCGTTTGCGGCCGAGGCATTAGCGTATATTATATCGTCTAATATTGTATCTATGTAGTATTAATTATAACGCCTCGCCCGCAAGCGACCTCGGCTTAATCATACTGAATTATACATTTTTGGTTTCATACTAAGCCGAGGTCGCTTGCGGGCGAGGCAGTCTAATATGTTACAGCTTCCAATATTTTATCTCTGTAGTGTTAATTATAGCGTCTCAGCCGCACGCAACCTCGACTTAATTATACTAAGTTATACATTTTTGGTTTCAACCTAAGTTTCTAATATTATATCAATGTAGTATTAGTTTACCGTCTCTACCGCAAGCGACCTCGCCTTAATCATACCTAATTATACATTTTTGGTTTCATCCTAAGCCGAGGTCGCTTGCGGCCGAGGCAGTCTAATATATTAGAGCTTCCAATATGGTTTCTATGTAGTATCAATTATAGCGCCTCGCCCGCAAGCGACCTTGGCTTAATCCTACCAAGTTATACATTTTCCGTTTCAACCTAAGCCGAGGTCGCTTGCGGTCGAGATTCTGTTCACTGATGAAGATTACAAGATATATTTCTCATGTTCGAAATCATAAAACTGCCAAATTTTATGTTAATAGTACAAAAAGCTTTAAAATTATCAAGAAATTTCGAAATAAGAATTTAACTTTCAACACCCTGTGCCTCGAAAACCACTGACATTTGTATAAGAGATGGTAGGTTAAATCATCATATTTTGGTGTCTAGTATCTCCGGTATTCGGATTTCCCATTCTTTCTGACTCACCCTGTATATTACAGCTTCCAATATGGTTTCTATGTAGTATCAATTATAGCGCCTCGCCCGCAACCGACCTTGGCTTAATCCTATACTCTTCCACATCCAGATCGGTTTTTATGACAGTCATAAATAAAAGCCGGGGTGAAAAGACTTATGACAGTCATACAAGGACAGGGTAGAACTTAAATTTTTTTAAACTAAAATTTAATTAAAAACCAAAGTTTAGTTATAACAACTAAAATTTAATTATAAAAACTAGTATAAAAGTCTTACGATTAGAAAAAAATATTACTTTTAGGAATGTCTAAATAATAGAATAACAAAATTTTAAAGAATCTAATTATTCTCCGCCCTCTTTTGTAAGTAGACAATGCATGCCTCCTCAAAACATTTCTTAGAAAAAATATGTACTTAATATTAGAAACACAACAAATAAGAGAATAATGAGTATTTATATATCATCCTATTATTTTTCTACAATTTGCAAGTAAAGGGTGTTCCTTAATGCGGCCCTGAGTGAGGAATCCCAGCATTTTACAATGGGGAACTACCTGTTACAACCCTGTCTTTGTTAGTTTTACAACTACAGTAGGAAAGTGACAGAGTCATAAAAACCGATCGCCGTGTGGAAGACTATACCAAGTTATACATTTTCCGTTTCAACCTAAGCCGAGGTAGCCTGCGGCCGAGGCATTCGCGTATACCGGGTGTAACAGGATCATGGTACACCCCTCTCCTTTAGTTTTGAAGATAATTGATTGAAATTTGGGACATCCTATACACATGATAAGAGACACTTTTTGACATACAAGTAATTTTTTTTTCAATTCCGGTTTCGCCGGAAGTGACTAACTTTAGATTTTTAAATAGAACACCCTGTATATTATTAAATTTTTGAAATTTGAATAATTTTCTGAATCCAATGGTACCACATAAGTAACATTTCAAACGTCAATATTTTTTAGAATTTAATGTATAATTTTCCATTTAAGTGTGCCATGAGAGTTCCGTTTTATTCTAATTAACCCGTCTAATGCTAGAAAAATCTAAATTCCGTTTATGACCGTTGATGATTTATGATTTAAATCCTGAGTTTATGATTTGGTATGATTAAGCCGTGGCCGCTTGTAGCAGTAGTATTTAACTCAAAAAAATATTTTGAAATATTTCTTATATTTCAGAAAACAACACTATTAGTGAACCAATGTTGCACATTAATCCAACCAGACAACGAAAGTTTAGTCTCTAAATGTTGCAAGTTGATTCAAAACTTCATCAAAAAGCACGACGTAATTATTGAGGGAAAAACTTGTTCAATACTAATTTCTTGGTGTTTAGAGGCGTTGCGGCAAAATAAAAAAGATTGTGTTATTATTGATGTATTAATTACTTTGGAGATGGTTTTAAAAGCTAACGGTGACAACGTCCATGATGTACGTATCAAATTGATTAATTTAAAAGTAATTTATTGGATTTTTTAGTATACTCAAGATATCATCAATAAAAACAGCGTTATAATGAAATTAACGGAAAATAAAAACAATCCTCAACGATTAATATTAGCTGTGGAATGTTTAGAAGCATCAACGGCTTATTCGAAAGATATGAAACGAATAAAGAGGGGATTCGAATCATGTTTGACCATTTTTAATAATTATTTAGCGAATAACATTGAATTTGATGAACCGTATCGAAGCAAATTATTAATATCTTGTTTAGGTGGGCTACAAAATATTATAAATCACGATGTAAATTATTTAAAAAGCGAAATCGGCTCTATTTTGGGTATAGTCCGTAGTTATATGCTTTACGGTGTGAAAGACGTCCAATTTATCGCGCCACAAAAATTACTTCCTTCCGTTTCAAGTATTCCAGACCCCGCCGGATTAATTGAACGAAGAGGCGGTCATCTAGCAAAACAAAGAAAACATAAAAACACCGTTTGGAAAAAGGGGCAACAAAATAAAAGCGATATTGATTTAAACGATAAAAGTAATCCTTCAAATTTTATGCTAAACGAAAAGCAGGAAACCAGAAATAAATTTACGAGTGATTCGGAAATGTCGGAAGTTGAATCTAACGTTTCGTCTAAATTGGTGCAATTCCAAACTAAAGTTAGGTTAAGATCTTTAAACATTTTTTATGATACAATATTATCGATAGATCGTCGAACGTTATTTTTATACTCCGTGAATTTTATTCCTGATGGTTGGCCGGCTGGAACTCACAGCTTAACATCGATAATTCTAAGAGATCCATCGAGAACTTGTCGCACGGCTGCTTTACACGTTTTACAAGCGATGCTAGTTGAGTTAAAAACGTTTTTGCTCCAAGCAGAACGCAACGATAAAAACACCCCATTTACAACATATTCGGTTACTTTAGGCTCAATCGTAGTCGAATTACATCGAACACTTCGATTAGCTTTAAATGATGTCTCAGCCAATGTGCAACGGCAAGTTTTGAAGTGTTTTGCCGCTTTGGTCCAAGCTACACCTTATCATCGATTACGACCCGGACTTTTAACTAGAAATGTGCGTAGTTTAAAACGATTCCTTACTTGTAAAGGTGAGTTAATGTAATAAATTAAGTAATTAAACTAAAAGTTGAACTAACACTAGTTCGTTCATCCAAGAGATGCACCGATTTGAAATTACAACTCCTCCCATAAATACGTGCAAAATTTGAATAGAATTTTTATATTATTGATAAGCCCGGTTTACAAAGGTCAACCAAGAACAGCTTTCTTTCTTATTCTTTTAATTGTCGTTTACGTTTATTTTCTTTGTAAGTATGTATTTTTTGTGTAATAGTGGGGGGAAATGACGTGGCTTCCTGCATCTGTTCGATGAACAGATAATAGCACTAGTGCGTCTCTTAAGAAGGCTATACCAGAATATTTCTGGTTGTAGGTCTAGTATTAGTTCTAGTTTAATAAAAATATACAAAAATCTAGCAATGAATAGGAATTAAAATTAAAGACGTACGAAACTTTCTAGTTCTAAACTTCTAAAAGTATTAAACTAGAACTAACACTAGACCTAGAACGAGAATCATTCGGGTTTAGCCGCCTTGAAAGATGTGCTTTTAAACCCGAATGTGACGCCTAAAAATAATTTTTATGTTTCTTGAAAGAGTTTCGCCGCCCGGTTAAGAAAAAAACTTTCAGGTGTTAATATCAACTATAATTTTAATGTTATATTCGTAATCATTATAAAATAACCTTTAAAATAAGTCCAAACATGACGCACTTATCTCAAAAAACAAAAAAGTTAGAATAAAAAACATTAAACCCGAAGTTAGCAACAATGAAGATAGCAATTTAATTTTTAAATATTAATACCAACCTTAATTTTTGATTTTTTTTATTGTATTTTTGTTTTTGTGACAAATTTTAAGGCATTTTATAAAAATTAAGAATATTTCAAAATGACATTGACATTTCAAACCGGAAGTTGCTTCTATCTCGAATAATATTGGAATTAAGCGTATCATGTTTGGGCTAATTTTAAAGGATTTTTTCACGACGATTACAAATATGTCAAAATTGACGTTCCCAACCGGAAGTTGATCATAACTTTATTCATATTGAAGATAAATAGGTCGTGTTTGTACTCGTTTTAAAGGATTTTTAATGAAAATTACAAATTTGTCAAAATTGAGGTTGACATTTTAAATCTGAAGTTAGTTATCACATAATAAGAATAATAGACAACTTCAAGGGCCTTTCATGATGCATTTATCTCAAAAAAAGAGAATAAAAACATGAACCTTAAATGTTTTTAGTTCTAGGTATAGTGTTAGTCCTAGTTTTAATTCAATAAAAATATATAACATAGTCATATCTTATAAATAAAAACTTTATTTTTAGATCTAAAAACTTCTAAAAAACTTATTTCGTTAAGATCAAATCATTCTTTCTTTATAATCCGCCATTTGTTTTTTTATTATTATCGAATTTGATTAATCCAACATCGTATTCGTGATCTACATTAAATTCTCTTTAAAACGAGCCCAAACTCGATGGGGTTATCTTAAAAGATAACAAACTTCCGATTGTCACTTTTTTGAGGTTATGTCAAAATTAAATGTGGGATATCGCGGGTATTTCTTAAGATAATCGAGTCGAGTTTGGACTCAATTTGAAGCATTTTTAATTCCAAACATGACGCACTTATCTCAAAAAACAAAAAAGTTAGAATAAAAAACATTAAACCCGAAGTTGGCAACAATGAGTAATAGTAATTTAATTTTTAAATATTAATACCAACCTTAATTTTTGATTTTTTTTTATTATATTTTTGTTTTTGTGACAAATTTTAAGACATTTTATAAAAATTAGGTATATATCAAGATGACATTGACATTTCAAACCGGAAGTTGCTTATATCTCGAGTAATATTTGAATTAAACGCATCATGTTTGGGCTGATTTTAAAGGATTTTTCACGACGATTACAAATACGTCAAAATTGACGTTGAACCGGAAGTTGACCATAACTTCATTAATATTGAAGATAAATAGGTCGTGTTTGTACTCGTTTTAAAGGATTTTTAATGAAGATTACAAATGTGTCAAAATTGAGGTTGACATTTTAAATCTTTAGTTGTCATATACGCACGGCTAAACCCGAATTTTTCTAGTTCTAGGTCTAGTGTTAGTTCTAGTTTTATATCATTAAAACTAACACTAGACCTAGAACTAAAATCATTCGGGTTTAGCCGTCTTGAAAGATGTGCGGCTAAACCCGAATGTTTTATGACGCCTAAAAATAATTTTGATGTTTCTTGAAAGAGTTTCAACGCACGGATAAGAAAAAAACTATCAGGTGTTAATATCAACTTTAATTTTATTGTTATATTCGTAATCGTTATAAAATAACCTTTAAAATAAGTCCAAACATGACGCACTTATCTCAAAAAACAAAAAAGTTAGAATAAAGAACATTAAACCCGAAATTAGCCACAATGAAGATAGCAATTTAATTTTTAAATATTAATACCAACCTCAATTTTTGATTTTTTTTATTATATTTTTGTTTTTGTGACAAATTTTAAGACATTTCATGAAAATTAAGAATATATCAAAATGACATTGACATTTCAAAGCGGAAGTTGCTTATATCTCGAGTAATATTGGAATTAAACGTATCATGTTTGGGCTGATTTTAAAGGATTTTTCACGACGATTACAAATATGTCAAAATTGACGTTGAACCGGAAGTTGACCATAACTTCATTAATATTGAAGATAAATAGGTCGTGTTTGTACTCGTTTTAAAGGATTTTTAATAAAGATTACAAATATGTCAAAATTAAGGTTGACATTTTAAATCTGAAGTTAAATCCGAAACTTTCTAGTTCTAGGTGTAGTGTTAGTTCTAGTTTTAGTTTATTTATTAATTATTTGGTTTCTTAAAATTTTAATTTTAGATCCCCCGATAAAAACGTTAACTTTAATAGTATTTGGTTGTATGATATCATCGTATCCAGTACTTTCTGAAGCAATAAACGTTTTTTCAAAGAATAGTATTGTTGCGGATTCATACACGGATAATTCCGAGTCTTCAATTCAATCTTCCTCGACATTTCAAGATGTCGAAATAGATTATGCTGGGTTTTCTTCCGATGAAGATGAAACGAATGAAGAAGAAGTAAAAAATGTCGGATTAAGAATACCGTGGTTGGTCCAATATTGTTTGGGTAATTTGGGAGTAATCGTTGATGAAAATGGGGAATGTGTTGAAGAACAAAGTGGGGTGATCGTAACGGAGAAGGTTGAGTCGTTAAAAATATTCACGGTGATGTCAAATAATTATTTTACGACTTTTATAACTCCTTATCTCAATTATATCTTGAAAGCTTTAGAATTATCGTTAGAAAGTAAAATAACTGATGTTATTTTGCACGCTGGGAGGGCGATTCATTTTATTGGTTACGGAATTAGCGAATATTTAGCAAATAACGCCAATAAAACTCACATAACAATCGAGCAAGGCTTATTTTTTTGGAACTCTTTATTATCCGGCCCATTTTCGCATCTAATCGAGTTCGAAAGTGAATCTCACCGAGCCGTGGCTTGCCAATGTTTAGAAAACATCGGCAAACACATTTTCGAATGTTTATCGAAAACCAAACAAATGCTGATTATGATGACATTGTTAGCATCAAGCAAAGAAACGGGAATTTACATAACCACAACCGCTTTACGAGCTTTAAGCGTTTGCATTTCTTACCCATCTTTAAGAGGTGATATTGGGTTTTTAATCGATACGATCGAAGTTGTTATAAAAGCGACTGAAAATGAGAACGTTGGGGTTCATGTCAGTGCTTATTGGGCGTTTGGAAATGTTAGCGATGCTTTAATTGAAAATGAAACCGATCAGATTTATCAAATCGAACCATTACCGAAATCAATTTGGATTAAATTGTTTGAATGCGGTATTAAAGGCGCTTGTGGTCATTATAAAAATAAATCGTATGCTGTGAGAGCGTTGGGGAATTTTATTTTTATTCGAAACGATATGGATGTAGATGAGGATTATAAAGTTTTAGTGAAAAAAAGTATTGAATGTATCGTTGATTGTGCCAAAAAGGGCGAAAATGCTAAAGTTAAATGGAACGCTTGTTATGGTTTAGGGAAATTAGTTAAGAATAAAACGCTTCATTCCGATAATACATGGCAAGAAAGTGTGTTTCAAGTCCTTTTAGATTTAGTCGTTGATTATAAAAATTTTAAAGTGCGGATAAACGCGGCGTCTGCGTTATCTAGCTTTACAACTCGTCAAAATTACGGGGATTTTTATGGAAAAACTTGGAAAAAATTGTTGGAGGCGCTAGAAAATTCGGAAAGAATGGACGATTTTACTGAGTATAAACACAGGGATCATTTGGTGGATCAAGTAATTATTAAATTTAATGTGTTTTAGATTTATTAATATTTAAAATTTTTTTTTAGATTTGTTTATCGATAGGAAATCTTTGTTCTATGATGGAAAAAACAGATCTTCCCATGTTAATTGATTGCATTAATTTTTATGAGGACCTCTTAAGAATTAACATCCAAAAAGTTTATTTGAGATTAATTCCAGAGAAGAGCCAACAACTTCTTTTAGCTGAAGAACATCTCCGCAAACTTTCAACATCCCCAACATTAACCAAGGATGAAATTAATGTTTTAGAAAGATTGATAAAAATAATTAATAATGATGTATTTAAAGAGTAACTAATTTTTATATTAAAGTAAATATTTTGTACTGTTAAAGTAAGTACAGAAAAACCTCGTTATAATGGAATTTTAAGTCATACTATTAATATTATCTATTAATATACAGGTGTCTCACGTAACTGGTTCGTTAAAACTTTTTCAGGTTCCACTATTCGTAGAGATTTGAAATTTTGGTAGCATGAGTTGTTCATTCGGAACTTTCGATCTAAAATATTTTCAAGATGGCCGCCACTTCCGGTCATGAAAATTTTCACAAATTTGTGATTGTTGTGAATCACTATTTTCATTATAAATTAAATAATACAGTTTTTTTGGTTAGAAATATTCTATTTTAATACCAAACGCGATTATGATGATGATATATTTGATTAAAAAATTA